CTATTGTGGGTTTACGACGCGCATTTGATTTCCATGATCTGACCCACGAAAAAATAAATATATTTTATGGATCATAACATTGGTTCACGAAAGACGAGGTGTTCCATTTAACTGTGGATATCGTTTGTGGGTCAGTGAATGTGGAGGCTTAAATATGGGACAAAAACAAAAACCGCTTACCTACGGATATCAACATGGAAATATTGCTTGTAGGCAACAAATATTGAACGTCACTTTCCTCGCTTTTTCCATGAATCGAAATAGTTTTCGCTTGAGAAAAAAAACAGCGGTTTAAAACACAATGCAAACACATGTTACGACTACTATTGTGAGAGAGATTCAGACGGGGGGGGGGGGGGGGGTGGGAGCGCGAAATAGATGTGAACATGGGTGTTGAGAGTCGGCATGGTTGTCCTTTCATCCGTTGCCGCATTACTCTTTTCGAAACTGAACGTTTTTATTTCATCATGAAAGGCCCACTGAGCTATATAGCTCTTTTTCAGGAGCGACCTGGCCACAAATGAAAGCTCAACGAAGTAGCTTATGTGGAAATTTAGAGCAACTAAATACTCTAAACTCATGTTTCTAAATGCAGAGGGAAAACCCGGAGGACCCGGAGAAAAATCCACACGGCCACGAGGAAAACATGAAGTGGCTTATCATGTGGGAAAGTATTGCAGCAAAATACTCTAAACGCGTGATGTTGACCACGGGGAGAGAGGCACGCAAACTTCAAACGTACAGCAGGACGTCAGGGTCGGGATCGGGATCGGGATCGAATGCCACAACCTCCTCCTTACCCGGCGAGGTAGTTATCATCTCGTCACCGCGGCGAGAACAAACGCCCCTGTGAATGTGTGCGTCCTCGCAATCCACGCATCCCGGTGTGAATACGCAGCACGGCTGCCATCTACTGGCCCACGGTCCCATCTGTCTCTCACGTTGCTCCACCAAAAAAAAAGTGACGGCCGCTCGCCTTTGATTTGTTGCAAAACCACCCTTGCTCGGACACGCGACGAACAAAAGAAAAAATACGACAACAAACTCCAGGGGCTTCAATAACAACCCTGGCACGCGCCGTGCTGGGCATTAGGGCGCACCCGGGTGAATTCCGCCGCTCCGCTAAAATCCTTGCGATGGCTCCACATAAAATCGATACAGTACAAAATCACTATCCTGTGCCAACTTGCTCTCTTTCAGTGTCTCCCCATTAGCGCATACCTCGCCACCTTCTTCTCACTCCAGACTGGCCAGAGCAAAGAGCCACTTCCTACGGAACACTTCAACACATCTGATGATCGCCCCCAGAACCAAGACCGCCCTTGGCTGATTTGGTGTTTTTTTCTGTAGCTGCACCAGTCGTCTGGAGCTCTCTCTCCCACTGCACACACGCAGCAGAATGCAAGCCCCATCCACCTTTAAGCTGAAGTTCAAGGCACTCACCTGTTCATACTGACGTAGGATAGACTTTTGAGCTTTGCCTCCGTGCATCCGAGTTCTCGATCGAACATTGCGCCCGATACGAGAAATATGGGCGTGTGAATGTTTGCGTTTATTCTTGTTCTTTCGGAACTGAATGAGGCAGCTGAATGATCAGCAGCCATTGCTACACTACAGCCATTGCTACCCTAATGTTTTTTTTCCATAAATTTTAAAAGCTACCTTAGAGTATTGATATATATTTACACACACATTGCACACAGTCCTTGAAGTGTTGCACTGTTTAGGCTTTCAACTAAGGCTGAAAGCGTAAAAGTATCGGCTCCATCCAACTGTCTGTCTGTCTGCAACATGGGGTCATAATAAACTTTCGTAAAGATGGCCCATTATGAACAGGACTAACTCAATGTTGTGTTGATAGTACGGTCTTAATAAAGGTTTTTTTGGGGGGGGGTTAGATCGCGTTTATTTATAAATGTGTCGTAACCCTCCACCACCCAACACGGCCAATCAGCAAAAAAAGTGTCACGTTGACAAAAGACAAATAATTCACTACTTTGGCCCACCGGTGTGTTGAAGAGTGAATCCACATTTACAGTTTGAGTAGTACGACGTTTCGCTGGTAAATACATCCAGCATCATCGGGCAATTCGCCAGAATGGTAAAGCCCTCGCTTGCTCCCGGTTTTATATAGAGCAGCAGGGTGACGTCATCACTTAACTCATCAGGTGCAGTGATTAGAGGCGGAGGGGGGGTATTGTAATTATATAATCGATTAGTGATCAGTCATTGGTTATGATTAGTAATGAGTTGTAGATTAGTAATTCTATAAATCAAAATGTAATGTGTATTATTTAATAATACGCTTTCAGGCCGCACTAAGCCTGTACTAATCATAACCAATGACTTATTACTAATCGATTATATAATTACAATACCCCCCCTCCGCCTCTAATCACTGCACCTGATATGAGTTAAGTGATGACGTCACCTTGCTGCTCTATATAAAACCGGGAGCAAGCGAGGGCTTTACCATTCTGGCGAATTGCCTGATGATGCTGGATGTATTTACCAGCGAAACGTCGTACTCAAACTGTAAATGTGGATTCACTCTTCAACACACCGGTGGGTTAAAGTAGTGAATTATTTGTCTTTTGTCAACGTGACACTTTTTTTGCTGATTGGCCGTGTCGGGTGGTGGAGGGTTACGACACATTTATAAATAAACGCGATCTAACCCAAAAAAAAACCTTTATTATGAATAATATTGGTCACGAAAGCCTACGTGTTAAACTGAGTAGGGTCTTACTCTATAGGGGGAAAAAAAACGGCCACATGGATCGAAGGCTTTCCTGCGTCCTTCCCGACACAGCCGCTATCCAAACCGCATTCGTTTCATCACAAGGCAAGGGATCTACTTGGTTTCTATGAAACCAATTCGATGCTTCCAAGGACAAATGCATATTAGAAAGCATTACATAATCCACGCGCGTGCAATGCCTTTTCTTCATTTGCATTAAATATGTTAATTATTTCATTGTACGTTTCATATGATTATTGTGATTATTGATTTCATATCTCCAATTGGGCAGCGTCAGGTAATTTGCAAATGTAGGTCATGTTGCTTTCCCTTTGAGGCGGTCCATTGTTTGTACAATTTAGTCCACGCGATCGGCGAAGGGCTGGTCTCGGAAATACATAAATCGCATTATCGGAGATCCGTCCGTTTTGGTGTTTGGTGTGTGGAGACGTATTTACAATTTCCTCTTTCACCAGCGGCTTTGGCGGGGGGGGGGGGGCGGTATAAGGGGGGGGGGGGTGGAAGCTGTCATTTTTCAACACCGCTGGATGGGTGTTGACTCTGGAACACCACCAGGACACACCCGACCAGGGGGTCACACCGTCGACTACACACTCCGGCAATAAGCGCGCGGTCCTCCAACGTGATGAGCAGCTCGGAAAAGTTGGCCTCTTTCTTCTTTTTTAAGTTTTGGTCGGTTAGTTCGTTTCTTCTTTTCATTGAACCCATCTCAAACAGTGACGGCACAGGACGCGCGTGCGGGTAGGGTCAGTCAGCGTGTCTGGCGATTGCAACAGGAACGTGGTCATGTGTACAAGGTTCATTTTAAACCAAGACGGGGGGGGGGGGGGGTTGGATACTGGGGGGCGGGGGACCTTTACTATGTTAACTTAAATTCCCAATGTTAGAATGTTTAACTTTTTTCGTGCCGTACGTAGCCAACCGTGCTCATCGGAGGTGCGGGGCAAAGGCAGCAGACTAAACACAAAAAAGTAGTTCTGAAGAAATTAGTTTTCAATCGATGTATATATTAGATAATTTGAATATGTATTTTATATGGGGAACGGGAAAGGGTACAGTTTGAGTGACAGAGGTGTCCACTTCATTGTGCAGTGATGTGTGTGTGTGTGTTGGAACTTCTTTCACGCCGTACGTAGCCAACCGTGCTAATCGGAAGTGCGGGGAACGACAAACTAAACACAAAAAGCAGTTCTAAAGAAGCGAGTTTTAAAACTGGATGATTTAAAATTGCATAGCTCCAGTGGCTTCCTAATATCTGAAGGAGGAGCGTTCCAGACGGCCGCAGAAGCGCAGCTGAAAGCGCGCGGCGCGGTGACCCATCTCTGTTCAGCAACGGTGAAGCGTTAACTTTCAGTACGCGCTAGATCGCAGTAAACGTTGCTTTGGTTTATTCCTTCATGTACAGTCACGTTAATGGTTAGTGCTTTAACGGCCGAAAATTTCCCATCGTGGCAAATCAGCAAGGCACAATACCGACATTTGTTTGTGGCTTCCGTTCAAACTCCATGTTGGTTGCACTCATAAGTTCCATGTCACTTGCAGTGCACCCACAAATTACAGAAGCTTTCACTTTGACACGCCCACTGAAATATGTTTTATTTGCGGGCACCTGTGTTGATGTGAGAGGTGAATCATTTACGTATGATATTTTCCCTGCAATAAACTACGACGAATTGAGGGCGTGCTGCGTACCGATTTCAATGTCTTTGGCAGAGTAATGTGTCTCTTGAGAAAAAAAGATTGGGTTTTTTATTACTAAGAGGTTAGTTTCCAACTAACAGCTTGAACGATTCAATAAATTAATGTTCTTTTACTTATAAAAGTTCCCCCAAATGGAAAATACAAGAGTGGGCAAAGTTAACCAAACATCCACCTTGAATTCGTAAAAGTAAAATTTCGGACCTTGACGCTTTCATCTCATAACAAATGCAAAACTCTTTGGATTGAATACTTCCAGAGGAAAGTGACAATTTTTTTTTCAAATAACACCTGCTATCTACGAATTCAACATAATAAAGTAAACTTTCATGCTAGAAATAATACGTAAAGATTTGTTTTGATATAACATATCAAATTGCTCTTTGGTTCTTTCGGTAAACTCACGTAGAAATAAAATAAAATAAATAATAGAATACGACGTTTCGATTGCAACACAAGCACTCGTCATCAGGTAAGAATGAATGAGATATCAAATTGGTTGACTCCAATTATACTTTAAAGCACAACATACTACTTGGCAATGGGTATAAAGTCAGATTTTATTCATCACAATTAATCCAAAGAAACTACGGCACTGGTTTTACATATTTTATTCAAGGATCATACGTAGATGAAGCTCAAGTATGCACACATGGAAACAAACAATCTCAATAACTCTATCCTTAAGGACCATTGCACGCAGTTGTGTTGGCGAGCACCTATTAAGGTCGCTGTAGAACGTGGCCAACACCACACATGCCCGTCCACTTTTATCATTCCATCTTCTGACATTTACCCAGCGGGTACCCCCATATCAGACCAAGTTAATATAGGGGGGCACCAGACCAGCTGAAGGCATGATTTACTCTGGCGTGCATCCTATTTTACCATGGTCATAATGCAGTGTGCTAACCAACGCATCAACTAACGGAGTCCATTGGTAATTTCATAAATGGTCTCACCTTTGACTTAAAAGAACCAACTCTTATGAAAATTGGCGGCCAGTTAAGGAAAAGAGCATTTGTTACTACAAGCAGTGATATTTAAATGATCATGTAAGGCACCGCATGTTACCAGATTCATTATTGCCACCCAAAAATAACTCGGAAATATTTCAAATGAAATTTGACCTTTTTTTGAATTTGCATTAAAAAGAAATGACATTTGCTCTCACGTGTTATGAATGTTATCTCTGGCAGGCCATGTAAAATAATAATAATAAAAATGAGGCACACTGGTGGAAACGTAGAACGGTCCATTATCTACAAACACGGAAATATAAGGACGCACTTTTATAGGACTTCGTAATAAAATATAAAAAAATATATACACGACTATAATGGCACTTTTAACAGGCGTTGACTTATAATAGGTATTGGATTTTTAATGAATTCCTCGATTAACAGGGAATTGTTTCATGCACACTACAGCAGGTAAAATATTTCCAGTAAAGCATCACAAATGCTGCAGAGAAATATCATTACTATGCTACACGGTTTAAGATGACGCAGATTGATATGCTGTACCATCCATTTTAGGATATTGTAAATATATAAAATTCTGCATGAATATCAGGATTTATATGAGGTTTGTCACCTTACAATGACAAATGTAAGTACGCTACATTTTATCAGATGAGAGTGGTTCTTATTTGTTTTTATACCAACTTGTACAAATTGTATACAACTCATAAACACGAAACAAACCAATCTCAACACTAAAGGCATCAAGCTCATTTATCCACTTTATTTAAAGTGAAGCAGACATAAATGGGTGGATAAATCAAGTACCCAGCATGTTACTGAATTTAATAGAAGCACTGTGTACACAAATATATTATCCTTATGTTGATACATGAAAGCAAAAGATTTGTATATTTCAAAAAAAGATGCAGGACTCTAGCATTTAGACTGAAGTGCTGACGTAGATTCATGATCATATCCCAATGTTATTTTGTATATTACAGAGGGTCGTTGCTTGTGAATAATAATATTGTATAATTGAATCAGAACTTAAAAATAGATGAGATTGTTTTTGTTCCTAGGCACCAATTAATGTGAGTTCATACAATTAATTCAGCTGCCACGGTGATCTTACTTGAGCCTGCAGGCCATGCAGCAGTTGAACTGCGTGCTGCTGTGCCTTCAAGATACTTCACTACATTTTCTTCTGGCTAAAAAAAATATAACTTTGACTGTCACCTGGCAAACATTACCCTAATACACAGGGTAGCGGGGAAATGTATGCCCTCTACTGTGTAGATCACAAGGATCTCAAGGTATAGCTGTGACATCCGCTTCCACAGCCCATTCTCTCACCTGAAGGGTTGCTAGAGATCCGCATGGATTCTTCATCTCATGCCATGACGCCGATAGCACAATTGGAGTAAAATTACCGGCAACAAAACGATGCCAAAGCAACGTATCGCTTGATTTCAAGTGGCTAAATATGTGCATAATGGAAGACGGTGCGACAGAGGGAAAGCTCCTGGACACCAAGGATGAAAACGATGACCCCCTCAGACATCGTCTATGGCACGAGGAAACCTTCTCCGTGGAGGCCTCACAGAATAGGGGCGGAAGAGTGGACCCACCGCAGGCCACCTTGGTTGGTGGAAAGGATGAAACCAGCGTGGATGGAATTCCTGAGCCAAGTGGTGGAAAGGCATCCGGGCAGGAAGCCTGGGCCGAGGATCATAGTATTCAAAGAAGGGTTGCTCAAAAGGCAGTGGCTCCAAGGGCGGGAAGAGGCCGATTGGGAATGGAGGTGGACCTGGGGGGCACCTGGGAGGAGGGGAATAAAAACGGGGGGGACTCTCCATAACGTCGGGCGGCACATGTGAATGGGGTGGGGGCGTCGGAAGAAGAGCCTTCATTTGTCCCAAAGCTTCTTCGGACGGCGGAGGCACACGGGCATTCACCGGTGGCGATACGTCACCACGGGTAGTACCTACAGCGCAAATATTTTCCATCGGCTCGCACTCAAATACTCTACCCGCCTCCATCAGTTCCTGCGCCAATGGCAGCCGTGGTGCGCTCACACGTTTCTGAATCGCGTTCGACAAACGAGGCACATCTGGGGGCCTTGTAATCAGAGGGTTGGAATCGTTATTTGCTCTGCAACTTTGAACATCGGCACACTCTCTCACGGACAGACCTTCCGTGACATTCCGTGGCACTGCGTTGCCTTGGCCGTTTTCCTTCACCGCTCCACGAACGGCCGCTGCGTGCCGCGCGTCCACCACCGGTACGTTAGGAAAGGCACCAGGCCGGCGTGTGCGTGGGTCCCTCGGTGCCCTCACCGTAGTGGCGTTCGGTGTCGATGTGACATCCGTCTGGCTCCGCGTGGGGTTAATCTCCGTCGAAGCAAGGCCGTGCCCTTTCTCCGACACGGCTGCAGTGGAAAACAAGAGGCGGCGGAAAACCTGACCGCCCGGGTTGTTCGCCACCGGCACTGGCTCCCTTGGGGCTTCCGCGCGTTTATTCCCCTTTAACGGTTGCTTATTAATTATCTGGGCTGCGTCTTGATGGTGTTGGATGACGGCGGAGTGTGGGAACACCTCACCGGGGACGCCGTTAGATTTAACATCGACATTTTTGCCAGCGAGGCCATATTTTTGGTTTAATTTGAAATTTAAAATGGGTGTCTCGTTATTAAATTTCCCGGTTTGTTCTGCCTGAACGGGATTGCATCCACGAGTCGATGTTTTCACCGAGTGGCTCCTTTGGGCATGTTCTTCTGAACCTAAGAATGAGCTGCTCTGGGGTCGATCTGACGCTGTGGCGGTGCCAGTCGGAGGCTGCTGCTGACTCAGCTGACAATCACCACGTGCGATTTGCTGCGGGTCTGCCGGCTCGCGTCCACTGCCGTGGTGGGTTGGTTCCGCGATCGGTGAAATTTTCCCGGTCGAGGCACATTCAGCTTTCGAGTTGTTGTCCAAACCTTTGCGCGCAGCGCCGCCTTGATCGCATTTACTCTCTGGGCAGCTCTTGCACGCCTTTGGGTTCCTCGCGTCCGTGGAGTGAGAGGCGCCCGTGCACCTGGGGCAAGCGTTGGGAGGGTGCGCTCGCCTCTGAGCGTCGCACGTCTTCGTCACCCGTTGTTCCGCGCGACAATCGGCAGGGCCCTCGCAGACCTGCTCGTCCGCTTGCTGCCGTTTCCCTTTCTGACGAACCAGCACGCCCACAATTGCCCCTGCCTCTGTGTTGTTCAGTCCTAAAAAAAAAAACAAAGAGTGAGACCATTAGTTATAGAAATAGGGTTTACCCTTTTAACTGGCACAAAAACTGACACCTTTATTCCAAGGCATCGTGTTTGCAATAACCACAACACAAGCAGTCAAAATGCAAACAAAAAAGACAACTCTGATAATAATATGCACTGTCCTTGAATTTGATTGGTCCACACCCGAGACGGCTTTTCTTAGAGCCTAGTCTCCATTGGTGTTGGACCGGAAGACCCCAAAAGGCGTACAACTCAAAAACAGCGCACTATCAGAGTATTGAGGGCTCGGGGTGAGCATTTACATTATGAGAAAAGGAGGTCTCATAATGAGACCATTAGTGTTCGGAGGTACCGTAACGTGCACTGTAGTTAAAGAGCCTTCGGTTTGTATCAACTTACACGTGCAAGTGATTTTTGTTTATTTATTTTCACAACACTTTTAAAGAGTGCAGCCCCATTGAGCCGCATGCAAGTTGTATTGAACTTGCAAATGTCCTTGAGCACTCCATTGGAACATTAATCCTGAGTTCAGAAAAAAAAAGTGTCTTGGGAATGCAACTATTTTAAAACAAATACAAAGTACGAACAATACATATTGTGTTTTACACAAATAAAATAGGAAACGGTAAAAGTGCAGCCCTGCAATTGCCTGTTCATGCCACTGCTTGCAGAAGGTCCTCGACCAGCAGGGCCCTCTAGAGAGCCCCTCTAGAGGGTGTTTTTGCCTACTCTTCCATACTGGACAGAGCTCTCGGAAGAGGTGGCAGTCTCAACACTTTCACCCACCAAACGTAAACTACCAATTAACTGTGCTGTAGTCATTAATTTTGCCTGAGTGGAGAGAGAGATAGAGAGGTGGTGAAATTTAAGAAACTTCCTCAATATTTCAACTGGAACACTGGAAGAATGAACTGGTGACCTCTGGGTCTCAAGTCCAATGTGCTCACCATTAAACACCACGGCAGATTCATTCCAAGGGAGCAACCATGATATTAACTTAGAACGTAGGATTCCGTAATCAATATAGTTATCCATGTTTATTTTTGGGTTAGGCCAACCCAAAAACAAATACGGATCATCGTGTTCATTACGAAATGAATAAAAACCATGCAGCATATTATTTCCTGTTTAAAGATAACAATCAGTGTGTGTGTATATTGGGAAAATGCATCAATAAACAGCGCCTCATATAACAATTTAAGAATAGGTTTTACCCTTTCTGGCGATAAAACAGGTGTCAAGATGTTAAAACACCAAACAGAATCCTTGTTCAAGGAATCCTGTCTGCATTAACCACACGTACGTGTGGTGAACATGCAAACAAAAAACATGCTCTGATAATTATATACGACACTGTCTTTGAAACTGATTGGTCCACACCAGAGACAATTTTCTTTTGAGCCAACTCTCAAAGTGTTAGACCAGAGGACGCCAGCAAGCTCGGAGTGAGCGGCTACAATATGGGCACCTTTCTTGCCAGTATAAAAATATAACAATAGGTGTAACCCTTTGTGGTAATAAAACAGGTGCAAAAGTAGCGCCTCACCTGGGCCTAACAGAGAGATCAGGCTGCTTGGGAACTTCTGTCCGGCTCCCGTGGGGATGATGTACAGGTCCTTCACCGAGTGCGAGTTGTTGGAAATTACCCCGTAACGCTTGCGGCCACTCAGGTACGAGAACACGGACTGGTACCCGTCGCGTTCCTCCACGGATGCCGGTACAAAGCGGATGATGCAGGCCTCCTTGAAAACAAATAAAAAAAAGACATCAACCAAGAAAAACCCAGTCATAGCAAACCATTTGGATTACATTTTTTTGTTACTTTATACGTTTCAAAATATGCTCGCATTTGTTACACGAACGATCAGGTCTGCAACCAATCACCAATCCCGCCCTCCCCCATCTTTCACCCCCCACCACCACCACCTCCCCAAAGCGATTCAGTGAATTGTCACAATTAGCCGTCACGATTTGATTCAGGAATCAAAGCGTTTCTTGTCTTACTCATACCACCATAATTGTTTGGTGTGTTTCTTCGTGCATTCTATCTGTGCCATTTGCATTGCGTGTCTCGTTTGTCCTGTCTCATGCGCCCTGTCTTGTTTAGCTCTGCCTCGTGTGTAATGCACGCTTGTACTGTCTGTCTCATATATAATGGCTGTCCCATTGGTGTTGTCGGTTTCATTGGTAACATTATCATTGCATTTGCATACTTTGATTATTAAATGAACGTTCTAATGGATATATCTCGAGCGTAGAAATCAATCTTATTGAATGAGTCAATATGTATGTATGTATGTTGAACTTATTTTGCACCCTACGTAGCCATCGTGCTGAACGTGTCCACTAATGAGAGGATGAATGCCATTTTGGTATTTGCAAGACGTGGAGAAGTTGCGCTGCTCTGTGAGAATTACGGAACTGACCCTTCACCTCATGGCATGACACCCAATTGCGCAATGGGGACAGTGGGTAGGTACCGACAAGCCATTCTTTATTTCTGTGAAAGAACGCTCAACGTGTAAGAAGCATACGTTTGTGTGATTGTTTGAGTATGTCTGTATGTCCTCTGTTTGATCACAATACCTTTGAGGGAGTTGCTTTGAGCTTATAAAGATAATCCCAAACCACCTGCGGATGAATCCTCCCCCCAATTTGAATTGAATCCGGTAAATCCTGCAATATATGCACATGAAATCGCAGGATTAAAAAAAAAATACCGCTTGATATTATTTGCCGTCGAACAAACAAGCTTCCACGCATTTGGAGCGAATATGACAACAAATGCACTGTTACGTGGATAACCTTTAAAACACGGTGACGCATGTTTATATGAACATTACAAACCTCAGTGAGATTGTCTGTAGGGCCGGACACAGGATAGGCCTTCATGACAACCTTGGCCACATTGGGAAGCCCAATAAACCCTTTCCAGATCTCTCCCGGCAAAGATGCAGCTTTTGCATCTTTACCTTTTTCCGGAGATCTGAAACGAAATTGAAAAAAAAAATTTTACCGCGACTACTAATTCAAACCCCACATCAATGCTGAGTCATTTTGGCTTTTAAAATGACATTCATTGTACACATTTAATGGTGGCTATTTTGAGTTCAATATGACATAAATGAGGTCCATTCACACAAGGATACCTGATATGTGGCAGCTGCTGTGTGTCCGTGACAGGAGATGAGATCCATTTCTCTTCACAATCAGATTCATTCAAAGGCTTGCAAGGCAACTCACTGACATACACGTCGACCAAAGGCCCTTGCACAATCTCTGCCATAGCATCACACAAAGACCGGCTCCCTCTGATCTTTTGCATGAGCCCACTGCTTTCTTCCCTCGGACTGCGTGTCGGCTGCCCTCCTGTGGCGTCCTGCTGAAAACTCGGTGCGGGCCCTCCTCCGCACGTTGTTTCATCGCCGTCGCGATTAACGCCGTCATCGCCATCATCATTGCCAACAACCTCGAGACTGTCATGAATGTCGTCATTGTGCGACACTTCAGTGGGCGCTGGCGAAGACGAGGTGCGAGGAGATGCGCCGGAGACCTGAGGGGACTTGTGCGAATCTGCCGCAGCGCTCTCAGCCGCCTCGCCTCCGTCAGCGTCCCCGGCCTCTCCGTTCGGTGGTGGTCCTGCATCAGGGCTGGAGCCGTGGGCCATGTCAGCCGAAGCCGGAGGATGCTGGGATGCCCTCTTACCCAACTCTGCCTGTTGGGTGCTGGCGGCAGGCTTGGCCTTCTTTGAGGACGGTTCATCAGTGTCCTTCACTGCAGTTCCATGAAATGCAATTGACAGATTAAAAAAACACCAATCGACAATGCAAAAGCATCAATGCTAAAGCCCAAAGTAAGCTGCATTTGTCGGTAATATGTGTTAGCTTAGTTAACTGGTACAGAGATTACAATATTTGCATGACTAAAAAGGTGGAAGGAAGAATATTTGACACGTTTCATCCAGAACTCCACCTCTGCTCATAACGTATATACCACTATTATGCCAATGTGTATCCATGCTGTCAAAACATGTCAAAACTATTTGACAAATGATCCTTGCAAAATACCAATAGCTTTCTATTAAATTGTACATACCTGTGAATAGTCTTGGTTCTTTCGGTAAAGTCACGTAGAAGGGAAACAATAAAATAATAAAAAATATAAAACAATAAAATTATCACGACGTTTCGACTGCAACACAAGCAATCATCATCAGGTGTGAAAACCACAGCAAGAAAATTTGAAATTTCATTAAAATTTAAAATTTGAAATTTCTAATTTTCTTGCTGTGGGTTTTCACACCTGATGATGATTGCTTGTGTTGCAGTCGAAACGTCGTGATAATTTTATTGTTTTATATTTTTTATTATTTTATTGTTTCCCTTCTACGTGACTTTACCGAAATAACCAAGAATATGAATCCCTGCAGTCACGAAAGCTTTAAATATAAATACCTGTGAATGTCTGATGGCGATGATGATGATGAAGGTTGTAATGATGATGTTTAAATGGTGCCGATTGTTAGTACTATTAAATTGTACATACCTGTGAATAGTCTTGGTTCTTTCGGTAAAGTCACGTAGAAGGGAAACAATAAAATAATAAAATTATAAAACAATAAAATTATCACGACGTTTCGACTGCAACACAAGCAATCATCATCAGGTGTGAAAACCACAGCAAGAAAATTTGAAATTTCATTAAAATTTAAAATTTGAAATTTCTAATTTTCTTGCTGTGGGTTTTCACACCTGATGATGATTGCTTGTGTTGCAGTCGAAACGTCGTGATAATTTTATTGTTTTATATTTTTTATTATTTTATTGTTTCCCTTCTACGTGACTTTACCGAAATAACCAAGAATATGAATCCCTGCAGTCACGAAAGCTTTAAATATAAATACCTGTGAATGTCTGATGGCGATGATGATGATGAAGGTTGTAATGATGATGTTTAAATGGTGCCGATTGTTAGTACTTCACTTGTGGCCGTACCTTTGCAGAGTTTCCAGTTGTGATCAGACAATTGAGACGTGCCTTGCTTGGCTGCATCCAGCGGTGCAGAACTTCTCTGAAGGAATGCTTTTCTCCCGCTCCTTTTATCTACTTCCCTCTCCAGGGTAGAGTTCTGTGAATTTTAAAGCCAACGTGATTGATTTTTGTATTTTTCTCAGCAATCCCTTCCTCTGCAATATTCTACAAAAGTTTTTGGGAAAGTTGTTGTTGTTATTGTTGTTTGTGATTGTTTCTGCCTTGATTTGTTCTGCCAGTAATTCCTTCTTATTGAAAAAAGTAGTGGGGGGCGTGGGGGGTGCTGAGGGGTGGGCATTCTAGCATAATAACCCAAAGGAATATCACAGGAGAGGCCTAACATTTCAAATCATCGACCTGAACTATTTTCAAATGAAATAACACATCACAAAAACCACAAACGCATTTTGACTTCGACAGTCACTGTCCATTAGTACACAACAATCGTTCGATGGCTGTTTGTAAATAGTTTTGGCATAAGACTTTTGAAACGGTAATTCTTCAGATCTAAAGTTAAACACCCTCTAGGCGAAACGGAATGAAAATGCTCATTTAACGATATCATATTCGGGGGTTCGATCCCGACACTAACGCCTATATATTTGGTGTTTGCACGTTCTCCCCATAGTCGCGTAGATTTTTTTTTCTCCGGGTCCTCCGGGTTTTCCCTGCACATTTAGAAACGTGCGTCAAGATTATTTAGATTATGTTGCTGCTATACATGCCCAGGTGTCTTCTGAAAAATAAGTTAATAGCTCAGCAAGCTTGAACTGGTCCAATAAAAAATAGTTGAGTTCTATTTCCTATACTTTGCACTCCTATTGTGCTTTTGTCTTGTTCGTTGTTGTGACCTTCTGGCCTACCCCTACTGGACATTTTTGTAAAAAAAAACGTATTTACAGCTCATCGGATTCCTCCAGTATATAATACACTAGCTTTACTACCCAGCTTTGCCCGAGACTTGGATTCTTGTCTTGGATTAATACACGGCATACGCGGAGGGTGCAGGGGGGGGGTGACGTCAGCAGGTACACTGCGTGACGCTGCCGCATGTGGGTGACATCACAGATGTGACGTCACCGCTCACTTGCCATGCAAAATATATCCATTATTGCGCCCACCCCCCCCCCCCCCCCCCCCCAAAATACAAAAGTCTATTGTTATACTTTTTTGCACTGTGTACAGTCTGGAAGCTACCCACATGCCAAATTTCAAGTTTGTGGCATGTTGGGAAGTATGCTAAACATTTCGAACAGACACACATATTTACAAATTTCCTGTTGTTATATATAGATTCTGATTTTATTCCGTAGAGGGAATACTCAGAATGTGTTGTGAGATATTTTACCTGCATGTCCACCAGAGAGGTCACATCACCAATCTCCACGAGCCCTTTGTGTGTGGTCTTTGTGATTGGTCTTTTCTCCATTTGCTGCTGCTCTTTCTCAATCAGTTCAATCATCTAGGTATTACAAACATAAGTAATAAGAAGAAAGAAATCGTACATTAAAATATTACCAAAAAAAACATTACAAATCTCGTCCGTTCACATTGCCTCGCTTTGTCGGCATGTAGCAATGCATTGCTCAATCGATTGAGAATGATGATGGAATCATAAGTGGAATAATTGATCAATTAAAATATATATAAATTATTAGTGAGTTCTTAACTGCTACATTTATTCAAATAGAGCAAAGGTTACTTACAAACAATAAAGAACAAATAAGATGCAATGCAATTGGAATGATAAAAACGAGACCAACATTTTTTTTCCAGAATCAATTCACTACCCCAAATCATGACAATTGTTTGAATCTCTGAGGGGGTGTAGGAGGTGATGGTGGCTTGAATCATACTATGCATATTTGCTTGGCTTTAGGCTGGTGGGTGTGTGTGTAGAACGCTTGGCCGTCACATCTAGTAATCCTACATGCTTGTTTTCTCATGCATTGTATGAATACTTGCTTAGCATTTGGCCGATATATGTGTGTGTGGGGAGCTCCGAACCAGTGACCCGAGTTCAATTTCCGCTCACGGCAAAACACCAGTGACGATTATTTAAACCGGTTTTGGGCCTCGCCTAGGTCGACTCAGCCTCAAATGAGCGCCTGATGCGGTGTGTAAACATCGCAACTATGGAGACAAATGCGACTGGGCTTGGTGCTGACCACCCACCCCCTCGTGTGCCGTTTCGACCTTCATAGGCGCTCGTTAACAGCACTTGCCCCAACAGTCTGTTAAGGCAATATGGAGACCTTTGTCTATGTAGAACGCATGCTAGTTGTTTCCCGTAATCCTCGGCCTTACGAGCTGCTCGGCTTTGGCTCGGTGCGCATCTTGTGTGCGTGTGGAGGAAGCGTGGCTGCTGCGTGTGTAATCGTACGTGCTTGTTTTCTCGTGCACGCCACTCTGCCAGTTCCTGGGATGCCATTTGCTGGGGACTCATTCTCACCACAGTGTGTGGGCTCACTTCGCCGGCCAGCACCTGCCCGCAGAGCCCCTAACAAACACGCAAAAACACAACATATTAACAGATGACGTGCCCAGTTGACTCAACCGTCATACACGCTAAATGTGCTGTACATTGCTAAGGTGAGTGATGACGCTGCAATAAAAAATACCTTGTTTTTTTGATCCTTCAAATTAAAACTCAAGGTTCTGTATTTTGTCTTGTATTTGCTTTCAGCATGGCCCAAGAAAGCGTACAACTCTTTCTCAATTTGAAGAGCAAGCCTGGCAACATCTTTCATATTCACTTTCGGTCCTCCAATCTCTTTAAACCTAGTTTGTTTGGAGATAAAAAAAAATAATCGGACTTTAATACACAATGCAGTTTATATTGTAGATGAAAAAAAGAATCGAGGTTAGGCAATCAGTGTTCAGAAAATTTTAGAGTCGGGGAGCACAAGTACACGGTCCCCGTGCATCGAAGGTGGACACTGCGAGAACCTTGGCATGACAATACATAACCGCCTTAATCCTGAAAGATATATGCAAAAATAATAACAATGCAATAATGTCATTATTCAACTAGCTAAGTCTCACTGATTTCAAGGCTCCTCTTTTAGAGGTTCTTGCATCGGGATATTTATCCATTTAATGTGTTTAGGAAAAGTTTTCTTCTGTTGGAGTAAATCGGGGTACCTGGATAAAACCAACACAAATGAGGGGACAACTGGCCACCGCTAAGCTCAATGGGTTTTTTGAGTTTCGCAGATTCGCATGATCACTCAACCCTTTGCCGCCGAAGCGCTTGATTACAGGCATGTGACATCGCAAACCCAGCTAAAACGTTGCCTCCAGCACAACCAGTGAATTAATAAATCCATTAAAAATCCATCAATACATTTCGATTGAAAGCTTTCGTGACTGCAGGGATTCATCTTCTGGGTTCTTTCGGTAAAGCCACGTAGAATGGAGATAAAATAATAAAAATAATAACAGAATAAAATTCTCACGACGTTTCGGCCACAACACAAGTAGCCTTCCTCAGGTGAAGAAACAGGACTGTCCGGAAGACAGCATGACTTTACCGAAAGAACCCAGAAGATGAATCCATCAATACAATTTCAAACCAATAATTTTCACCTTTCTGCGGGGAGCGGTCGTACAGTGGTTAGTGCAGCGCGATAAGAATTCAGATACCTGAGCTTGATTCCCACCCAAGGCTAACATACTGTAGGTGGCAAGTGACATCTGAACCAGTTAATGAGTCTTTGCCAACCCACACAATCCAGCGTGGTGAAGTATGGTCAAACAACTCCCGCGTCTGATTCGGCGTGTAGCGACCTTTATGAAGCAGTAGATTCAGAGAGGGCTTTAAATTATTTGCAATTACTACATTTTAACTCCAGGGAAACCTCCGTAAAAAAGCAGTCACAATGTTTACCACAGCGTGTGATGCTTACTCACAGTAATGTTCAGGGGAGCTCACCTTTTCAGCAAGGTATCCCTGAAGGCCTTCCTTACTGTCTGACGAATTTGCCAGTCAACCGCTGCGGCCTTGGCGACTTTCGCCGGGTTGCAGTGCTGCTGGGCCTCTCCCTCGATTTCATTCGAATTCAGATTTTTCATTTCCTTTTTATCCCTCGGCTCTCTCGGCGCCAAGCGGCGCTTCTTGCCGTACGCGAGCGACTGCCGGGAGTCCGTCCTCTCTTTGCGCAGGATGTACAGGGTGTCACGAAGGCGCGCTTCTTTGTTATCGTTTGCTTCAAGGAAATTGGGATTCAAGGCAGACGTTTTTTTAGAGTCTGAATTCACAACCTCATTTCTCGTCATTAACTTGTTTTATGCGCGCGCGATACGGCGTTAGTAGCGGGGTGAGCAGTTGATTTGTGCGCCCAAACGAGATTGGCATGAAGGTAAATTAGCGGCTCCCCTCCCTCCCCACTCCACCACCACACATTTTCTGTGAGGGGGGAATGCAGCCTGCAAACATTTATTTTGTCAACGATGCCAAACCAAAGCCACCCCCCACTTATTGCACTGCCATACTTCACCCGGCTAGGGTCCACAATTCCAGTAATCACGCTTGAAGTCTCTCATGCTGTCCGTTTATTGTATATCATCATCGTATAACAAATCAGCAAGAAATAAAACTCTGACTTTAAAACTATACCTTTAAAAAAAACGCACGCTATGCAACCAGTTATGTGCGAGGCACTTTGGGACATTATTTTACGGTGAAGCGCTATAAATTAAGGAGCAGGAGAAGAAGAAATATAATACATCATAACTATTAAAGTCGTTTGTGGTGTATTTTTTTCCAACCACCACCACAATGCCTCTCTCCGTTTCCTACCGGGCTTGTAGAAGACGCCCGATGGGATGACCTCTCCCTCGTGGGTGGGCTGAGCCTTTCGATTACGAGTCGATCCCTCTTCTGTCTCACTATTTAAAGCCGCACGCCTGGGCTCTGGTGGGATAATGCTTTCCTCTTTCTCACTTTCAACATCATCACTGGGCGCAGCAGACGTCTGCATGATCACCTCGTCGGGGACAACGCTGCTCCTTTTTTTCACCTTATCATTTGCAACCTGCAAAGAAGAATCATTTGTGTTTGTGTGTGTTGTTAAAAAGTGGTTGCGATATTTTATTTGTACTGCATCAAAACGTTGGCCCCCCCCCCGCCCACCCCATTAAAAAGTCATGTAAAAAGAAAAGCGTTACAAAGCAATCGTATTTTGAAAGAAAAAATAATAATCCGCGCAAACTTGTGTCAATTCAACTGGGCCTCGGACACAAAACTGCACTTTGTTTACGGATGGTTGCATAAAACAAAGACATCACATTCCCCCCCCCAACCCCCTTCGAGGGTCTTTTTTTTGTCTGTGTAGCACAGCTTTTATCTTCAGCACGCGGTGTGTGTGTGTGGCGCTTTTAATTAACGGTAACTTTACAGCGGATATGCAGGGGACTGGTTTTTTTTGTTGTTGCTGCAATGCCATAAGCTCGCGGGCCCGTCAATAGGACACCTCCAAATCCTTCAGTAAGTCCAGAGGATTGATGGAACCCACATGGGGATCGGGGGGGGGGGCTACCACCAGCTGAGAGTGCTGTATTCGTGGTGGAGTGGGGGGGGGGGCACCACCACCACAGGCTGTGCACACCTCTACAAAGACAAAGAATCCACCCCGCCGTGTAGCCTTGGCAGACTGTTGGGGCAAGTGCTGTTAGCGAGTAGCACCTGTGAAGGCCGCACCTCTACCCCACCACCGCGGATCTCGTGGCTTCGTTATTGGTAGAAAAAAAAAACCACTCGCCCAATTCTGTCATTTCCTCTGCGGTTCCCGCTGCGGTGTTTCTGTCTTGTTAACAGTGCCACTCGCGATGTTTTGCTGGAGGAAATCGTCCTCCGGGTCCCCGGATTTTTTCCCCTCCACATTTAGAATCAACATCGTGCGTTTTGAGTATTTGGCGACGATAAATGTCCACGCGATAAGCCATTTCACTGGGCTATCATTTGTGGCCACGTCGCTTCTGACAAAGAGCTATATATGTCAGTGGGCCTTTCCTGGTAGAATAAAAAAAAAAATAGTTTTAATATTTTCATAAACACAGGGTAACCCTTGATTATCCGTGCGCTGCAATAACCATTGCTTCTGCTTGCGAAACCACACAACATATTTACTCGTGCAGTCGTATTGGTGATGAACTGCTCCTCACTCGTCGAGAGCAATTCACTCAGTGCCAACATGACCGCCCAATATGTTGGCAAGCAAACAGATTGTATTAGCCAGGCGGCGGTGGATCACAGTTGTTGTGAAATTCCCTTCCCGCGGATATCGAGGAGGTGCCACATACCCTTGTCAGGAGAAGACGGTATTAGTACAATAACTTGAGTCATCTTTGTTAGATAATAGGGTGTTTGCCCCGTCACACATGCCGTGTTGTGTCCGGGTGCTGAAAAGATGCTTTAAATGAAAACCCAATGCAGGACCCTCCGGAGTGCTAGGATTCGGCATGGTTTTCCTGAATGGATGTATAACTAAACAGTTATATACCCTGATATTAACCCTAATATTATCATAACAACAAATAAATACAGATGACACGTTCTACGTTGAAAGACAATAAAGCACACTTTTAATGCATCATTTACATTTGTTTTGCATTGTGTGTGCGTTATGTTTTTTTTATTACCTGGGCCACCCTTGCCTTCTATCCCCCCCCCCCCCCCCCCCGGGATAACCCAAGATCATCGAGCAGCTGACTGCAATCGAAGCCACGATTATTAACTCCAGCAGTGAAGGAGCCTCACCACGAAGGAGATGATTTCCTGCTTGACCGACACGACCGTCGTGGGCTTTCCACCATTGGCGTGCATCTCTCGGCTCTTCTCCAGCCGCTGGATGGCATAGGCCGCGTGTTTCAAGATACAGCGGTTGCTGCAGTAGATAGAGCCCGGCACAGGCGCGCGGCTGCAGCCAAACCCCACACAGCGCAGCCCTGATCCCATTGCCTGTTCACGGGGGGACATCGAGTTTGAAGATAAAAGAACAAAAATGAAGGATTGCAAATTGACCAAAAGAAATACCCCTAATTTTCCTTTCCAGATATGCTATTTTGCACAAAACGAATGATAAGAGTAGTTTCATTCGCAAGCAAATAGGATGCTCTTTTTTTTTCTAAATACCCTGCCTGCTCTTAAAGAAAAGGAACAAGCAGTAATTTATTTTCCACAGCAGAGAGGCGTCAAGGTTGGCTCTGTGTGTCCAGGTGTGGAAAATAAACTGATTAACTGTGACGTTTTTCCATTTCACGTATGGTTTGTTCCATTAATTATCAACCTCCACCACACACCCACTCCAGTCAACACCCCCCCCCCCCTTAATCTGCCACTGTTAAATGAACAAATGTATTAAACACATTTTATATTGTATAGTCTATTGCAATGCAGTACACTCACCACGTGCACATGAAATTTAATTCGACACCGAAAACATTTTGCATTATAATTGATCAATTTCTCCACACTGTTTTCTATTTTTTAAATCACAATTGCTAAGCAAAGACCAAAATCCCAAAAATGTCAAAACTGCCAGCAACAAACAACACTGTCGAAATTGTAATTGTAGAGGAGAGTTAGTACGTTTCTTGAATTCAGCAAGGTTACAATAACGTGAGAAAAGAGACGATGTGAGGGAATTCCAAACGCAAGCAGTGTGGAGGACGAAGCAGAAACAGCAGTTTTGACCTGCAGCGTGATGGTTGACAATAGTATGCGTGAGAGGAAACGGTCTGGTTGACCGAGTTTTTAACATGTGATTTAATAATCAATTAGCGAAGTTCATGTGAGCAGACGCCATAGCAGTAGAGATAGGAGAGTGATGATATGTTCGAATAGCTAACCATTGTGCTGCTTCCAGCCTTCGTTGTATCTTCAGTTTGACCACGGCCTGCATTCCCAGTGGCCACTAGTAACCTGTTATCATCCTCGTCCATCGTTATGTGGTCCGTAATCTCCGTTCCCGTTGACGTGCACTGGGATGTATTCTCGGACTTGTCATGGACCTGGCAAGAATATTCTTTTCTGCCAGTTGTGTCAGAGCAAGGCCCCTGGGTCCCGTCTGGTTGTAGTGATTTATGAGTCAACTCTTCCTGCTGACACGCAACTTGTTTGCCAAATTCACGGGTACCCATCAAATGACGGTTACCCAAAGGGTGGCAAGTTCGAACCGGGCTGCCTTGTGAAGTTGTGTCGTTATTGCCCTTTTGGTATGGCTCTTCTTCTAGTGAGAGTGGCAATTCCTTTAATTTTTCAGGCGATGGCCTCTTATTTTCTTTACACGGAATATCACTGTTCTGCTTCTCATTTGGTGACTTTGTACTCTGCTGTCGACGATCTCGGAAACTCAATTCTGGAACAAATTCTTGATGGACACCGCATGTGGACAAGAGATTGCCACATTCTTGCCCCGTTTCTACCGCAGAAGCGTTACCGGCTTGTCCGTCCAAAGAAGTGTCTGGGGAGGCTGTACCCATGGAGGTCCTTGGGGACTGGTCGCGTGACATCGTTGTCCATTCTGATTCATGGTCAAATCTGTCATATTGGGGGCTTACTGTTCCATTCTGCTGGCTGTCATTCTGAGTGTCAAACTGACTTTTATGAGGCTGCGTCACTGCAATGTTTTGCCCATTACCATGACTTGGAGCGCTCCAGGCATAGTTGGGAAAATGTTGATAGTTTTTACTCATTCTTTCCTGGTCACCTACATTGGTCTCATTGCTTTCTGCTGTAATACAAATGCACACATGGATTTATGTAAAACATATTACAGCTGTGCGTATATGTGTGGCTTCACCATTTTTATTTGTAGTATTTAGAGAATTTTTTTTGACGGGCATTGCAACACGAAATACCAACCGGAGGTCAATTCACTTAAACAGCAACGATACGTTACCATCAAATCATTATTTCGGCAGTCTCACACTTCCAAAAGACCATTCATTATCTGTGGCATGACTAACAAAGCGTGGCATTTGCATTAGGTGATGGACCGTTTAATTACAGCCACCGCGTTTACAATAGCATGATGCTTTTGTGCATGTGATTTGCTACTGTGCATTGACTCACTGTGGAGTTGTAAATACGACTGCTTTCTCTGCTCGTGCTTGCTGGATGGAGGAGTCAGTTGTACACTCCCGTGCGACATTTTCATATTGGACCCAGTGCAGTGATAGGGCTCCTGTGAAGTGCAGTCCTTTGAAACGCTTCCATTTACCGTATTTCCATAATCCAAATTAGACAGGGCTTCTAAAGGACACATTGCACAAAACACAAAACAATACTCCGCAAAAGTGATGATACATCGTGAAATTATTCGCCCAATTCATTATTTAAAACCCAGTGACCTAGCCAAAGATGGTCAAGTATGTAGAAAAGATTTCGAACTCTGCCGCACCAAAAAGTTAATTGCAAAATTGCCCGGTTGAATAACACATCGCGACATTTTGATTCCAGATATGTCTACCAAACAAAGAGCATTAACAATCTCACAGCGGTGACTCACCTGCATTGCCCATGAGGTAGGGATCATTTAGACCATCAGGAAGCGTTGTTCTGAAAGGCGTGCTGGGATAAGCAAACATGGGCTCTGCTTCCGCGAGCAGACCTGTGAATGGCCCTTTGACCTGGCAAGGCAGAGAATCCTGGCTTTGCTGGAATGAGCCCCCAGACACAGGGTGCTGCTGGCGAGTGTTGTTGAGGAAAGACTGAAATTGAAAACGTCCGGGAAAGAGAGAGAGAGAGAAAAAAACTAGGTCAAACATTCACAAGCGTATGTGGTACATTTTGCAAAAACGGAACGGGCTGGCAGCGTTATCACTGAGCCAAAAGAAGATGTTTCAATCGATTCCTGTCGATGCTTATTGATTCAAATGCAGCTGGTTTCATCTAAGTTTGCAATAACTACAATTCTAACTGGATTTGTTTTCTCGCGGCCTGGGGTTCGTTTCTAATGTTTATGTTTTGAAAACGCGTTTTAAAGCACGTTCACATTTTAAGCGGGGCATGACTTATTTGAAGCTTTGCAAACATTTCTCACAGGTAGTAATTAATCTTGGTCATAATTATCTCGGATTGGGACATACACCTACGCTCAATTACCCAATTATGAATGCACACTATGGATTTTTTTTTAAGTAATCACATTTTTTTATATATATATGTTCAACGGAGGCATAATTAAAATAATAAACATTTATAATTCCAATCTGAAATAAGTATGCTTAAAATTAGACAAAAATAAATATTTTAAAGCTGATACATTCACATTTCAAGCAACATGTGTCCATACTGCTCACGTCATGCAATTATTTCTGGTAATCTGGGATTTAAACTCAGATATGTTTATTTCTGTCAAGCACATTACTGGCGATTAATGAACACTTGGATACAATCTAATTACATGCATTTTTCAACACAACCATTTCGCATTTTAAATGTTAAACATTTAATATTTGAAAAATTATCCACTTACGGGACTATTAGACTAAAGTTAATCATTCATATTTTTGTAGGCAATTAGTGTTATGTTATTGCAAATTAAATCTGCCTTTATAACCAATTTAATTAACTCGCTTCTGAATTTTCAATTGTGACTTCACGATCAACCCTCTAACATTTGGCAGCACACACAGCACACGCACGGCCGCTATCTCATTGTCTGGGCGACACGATGGCAAGATGTTAACTACCTCGCCTGGTATACAAAAGGTCGTGGGTACGATCCCGATCCTGAAGTCTGTATATTTGGAGTTTGCATGTCCCTCTCCCCATGTTCCTGTGGAATTTTCTCCGGGTCCTCCGGTTTTTCCCTCCACATTTATAAACACACGTTTAGAGCATTTGGCTGCGATAAATTTCCGCACAATAAGCCACTTCGTTAAGCTTTAATTTGTGGCCAGGTCGCTTCTGAAAAAGAGCTATATAGCTATACTCTCTGGTTCTATTCGGTAAAGTCACGTAGGTAAAAAATAGAACCAAAGAGTATGGATCCTTGCAGTCACGAAAGCTTCAAATCTAGAAGCTATATAGCTCAGTGGGCCTTGCCTGGTAAAATAATATATATATATTTTTTTTAAGTAGTTTATTTCCTAGTTGAATCTGACTCCCCTTTTAAGCAAAGGGAAAATCTGCAGCCTCTAAAATGTCTTGCTTGATACCACTGCTGGCGGAAGGCTCTCCACAAGAGGGAGCTCCAGAGAGAGTACATGCAGCTTGATATATGCTCTCTCAGGTGTGGCGGGTGTTTTTGCCCGAATCTTTTTCTTTCCACGCTGGCCGCACATCTTGGAAGAGGTGGGAACATCCCACACTTTACGCCTCCACACGCGATATGGTTGCTAATCGACTAACCGTGGACGACCGATGAATACTACTGGGTGGACAGAGGCGAGGAAATAGAAAATAAACGTTGAAACTTGAATTTGGAGCTTTCGTGACTGCAGGAATTAATCTTTGTTTTTGTTCGGTAAAGTCACGTAGAAATAATAAAATAACATAATGGTGTACGACGTTTCGATTACAACACAAGCAATCATCATCAGGTACAGAAGAGCTAAATTTACGAGAGAGAGAGGAGACACATAACCGCAGATATATGTACAGACACAGATACAACAGGGGATACAGAGAGAGAGAAACGTGGGAACACACTAAATCAAACAGGTTTTAGCAAGATTTGGAAACTATATAACGCAACACAGACGGTCGGTCAAAACACAATGAACGCAAGGTCAGGTTGATTACGTTATTTCAAAGATTGCTACATTGTAAGTTAAGTGTGAAATTTAAAATCTAAAAAATATACAGACCACATTCACATATATAGACATCCAAGCAGAACGGGTTAGCACAGAGACACATGGAGAGAGGCAGGCACACAATAAACGTTCTCATCGTTCAAACTGCCACGCCGGAAGACCATCACACCAGAAACCATCACACCGCGGCAGCATCCCCCGCCTGTTAGTGCGCGCGTGTCGAATTAGTATGCATGTGTACAATGTGCATTCCCGTCAACGTTTCAGTTTCATTTATTAGGTATAGCCCTGTGAACCATGCGGCTCTTGACTCGGGTGCAACCGCAACAAACAAAAACAAAGAACATCTTAAAGTGACAACGCGTAACAGAAACATCCTGGGAAAAAAAAAACAGCAAAGGTCTTCCAGAAAAAAAATAAACACCGTATATCAACGCTGTGTGCAAAAATCCCGGTGGGATGCAAGTCAAACAATAACAACCGTAACGTGAGGCAGACCTCTTCGAAGCTTGCCATCTCGGGATGACCGAGCGGCGGGAGGTCCCAGGTGTAATCGGCCACCCCTGGAGGTCCCCCGGGTGGCCGTGGTGAGGTCGGGCCCCGTCTGGACATGTGGCCCAACCCAGAAGCCAGCAGGCTGAGCTCACTGGCCATGATGGTTGCACGCTGGATACACATGGCAAAGGATCAGTGTTCATTTGATCGGAATGTTTTATTTAGTTGTTGTTGTTGTCATGTAGTCTTAGTCTAGTCTGGGACAACATGTGGGCATTGTAGCCAGGCCTGAGTAATGAAATGTTGGTGTGAGGAGAGTGAAATTCTCAATATTATCAGGTCACCCAATCACTGAAACCAATAAATATTCATTTTTCTCGACAAATGTTGTTTATCCAATTACCGTTTTTAGTCTTCCTCAGTGCGCTGCTGTCTCTCGTAACGAACTAAATTGCCTATTTCAGTCTGCATCTCCATTCAGTTTAGTTAATTTCCTCTCGCCTCGGTCATGTCTTTGGTGGGGTAGTCAGACGCCGTCACGCTGGATAACTCACATCAACTCAGTGACGGTTGACCAACAACAACAGCAAAAACTTTTAGTAAACGCGCCTCCCTGTTCACTGATTTTGTTAAACACTGCAAAGCGTGGCTTACAAGGGGTTGACGCCACAATTCCACTCTCGCGCCATTGCTTTGTATGATTGTCTATTTTTTTTTTTTAAAAACCTTGTACGCACGGACTCGTGGGTGTTACCTGATTAAACATGAAACCCAGCGAGCGAAATGCAAATCCACGATGGCCTAAAAATGCAATGGTTCCGCATGAAAAAGTCTATCATATAAAATTACGATGTACAAATCGTACAATCAAGCCAGCCGTGCGAATCAGAGGTGCGGGGGAAGGACAACAAACTTAAACACAAAAAGCAGTTCTAAGGGAACGAGTTTTCAACCTAGATTTCAAAACGCATAGCTCCAGTCACCTCGTAATAAAACAGTAACAATGTACAGCCCTTTATATTCTTGACTCTTTCGGTAAAGTCACGTTGAAGGGAAACAATAAAATAACAAAATATATATAAAACAATAAAAAAATTCTCACGACGTTTCGACCATAACGCAAACGGTCATCATCAGGTGTGAAAAACCAACGGCAAGAAACCGTTTGCGTTATGGTCGAAACGTCGTGAGAATTTTTATTGTTTTATATATATTTTGTTATTTTATTGTTTCCCTTCAACGTGACTTTACCGAAAGAGCTAAGAATATGAATTACTGCAGTCACGAAAGCTTTAAATCAAAAGTACAGCCCTTTGTCAAGAACATAATGACATCGCATTGAGCGTGATGTTTGTTTGACCATACTTCACCGCACTTGTCAGTGCAGGTCCGGTACGTGAGAGGGCAAACAAGCTGGTGGCGCTGGGTTCATCGCGAGATCCATCGACGACGACCGGACCATCAACCCCACCGTGTCATTTAAAGATTTCGCAAAACACTGCACTGACATTTATTCCGTTGCGTGAGGTCCCACAGATGAAGTGGAATGAACATTCGCCATCCCATCCTCCCAATTTTAAGTTACGCAAATTATTTGGTAATACTGATGCGTTTGCAGTGGAGCACAAAGCACAAACAACAAACAACAACAACAAAAATGAACACGATCGTGAAAAGCACCGCGTCAAAAGTAAAAACAAATTTGCGGCCATGAATGCAGTCTTACGTTTATTTAACATTTTTTTGCCCGAGGCCGAAAGTTCAAGTGTACTTCATTTTTCAGCCACACGAGGGCAGAATTCGCCACGGAATAGGTGACGGGACTTCAGTGATGGATAATTCAACGGCGTGTATTGACCAGATTTGTCTCAATATGGGAATTTAAGGAAAAAAATCCAAGATAAACATACCGTCCGTTTCGCAAATAATTGTCATGTGATGATTGATTTTTGACATGAACGATGTGATGCATGTATTGTGAACGGACGAATCGATTGTAATGATTCATTATTGCATCGGTACATGCTGAGTCATGACACAAATATATTTAAACCAGACATTTGTCAAGGTCTTACAGCATAATGTGAACTATTATTATAATTCATGCACAGTCGGATAGTACCTGCCACCAATCACATCAATAAATACAAATGTAGTTGCTTAGCCTTATGCTTTGTTAACATCTCTTCACCAAACCTTATCCAAGTAGACTTATTCAACCCACATCATTACTTGAAATCGGTTAAATTTCGTTAACATTTTTTTATCGCATGTCTATTTGAATGATTGTATTTGCATCATCAGAAGCCGACGTTTATAAAATTAGTATTTGCACGTGATTTGAAATGTTTTTGTTGGCTCCAGTCACCTTTGAACAGCAAGAAGCTACAATCTACTTAATCTTAAACGACTTGATCCATTGACTACTTGGACTGGTGATAAAGGCAAAGACCCACCCCACCCCTTGTACAGCCTATTAACAGACTGTTGGGGCACGAGGTGGGTGGGCCAGCACCACGCCCGGCCGCCTTTGTCTCCCGAGTGGCGACATTTACACATCGCGCCAGATACTTAATTGAGGCCGAGTCCACCTAAGAGCACGCCTGTGACCGGTTCGGATAATCGTCGCCGGTGTTGGCCGTGAATGCGAACTCGGGTGGCCGGGGTTCGTTAGCGCGGCGCGTGCTAACCGCTGCCACGTTGCATCGCGATTACCTGCCGCCAAGGGATGAGAGGCTTCCTCCTCCAACGATGCCTTGTAGACTCTGCTGCAACAGCCGTGCCTCCTTTTAAATGCCCAGAAGCATGCGAGCACTGCCCCCAATGCCAGCCACTCTTCCAGCTCCACCCAAGACGAACCCCGCGGCTGGAAAGTGATTGAGGTTTTGGTTATATTTTCCCGCCATCGGCAACCTTATCGCTTGTCATCAATATGTTGCTGCCTTCAATCTGGACTGCGACCAATCTGCGATGCCCATCTTATAAACAAGGACCTCGCGTATTCTTAAGTATCACTTAAGAGTTCAGTTGGAGGGATTCAAACAATGTAAAACTCTATCTAATCTATCTCTTAAGGTGCACGTGATAAATATACGTACACCATAGCACAATAAATGATTATCCTGTATTTTAGCTCGGTTTATATACCCTTATGTGCACAAACGTCATCACTTTAGCTCAAAATGTAATTTGTACACTAGAACAAAAACCCCTGCAAGCCTTTTAACAGATTGTCACGTATGCACACATATGCATAGATAATACTTTATGGGAACGTAATTGTTTTGTGTACCTCGCCAAGTAAAAATGTTTTGGCAAGTTGGTCCATTCTCATTTTAAATCCCTCATGACAAATAGTATTCAAGCTTCACAACACTCAAAATATAAAAACAAAGTAACGTATTTATTACTCAATTATTGTAAAACAAAAAATACACTCCCATATGTATATTCGTAAATGGTTCATGAACGTACACAACTACTTTGGCATTCCATTTACCCCCACAAGCTCCACTGGCACGTGACCTCAGCCACCAGGTTGACATTACGTGTTAACAATAAGTCTTCAAAACGGACACCTGCAAAGCTTGTATAAGATAATTATACACTGCACCTGCATGTGTTAAAAAGAATAAGTTTTTTTTTTTAAGTTCCATCTTCAGTGCACGTGTAGATTTTGTTTCCAGAGCTCAACCACCAAATCTTAATCTCTCAGGGTTGGCTTGGTTGCATGGCCACACTGTGGAGATGGCATGATAACGGATGACCACAACCCCAGCTTTGGAAGGTAAGCAATCTTTCTGGTTTAACTTTTGCCGCGTTTTTTGTTGTTAAATGCTCCAAATACCAATCTGTGGACAAAATGCACTTTTCTGGAGTTAAACATTTCGAAAGAATTCAGCGGCAAGGACGTGAATCAAAACCAAAGCGTGGAATAACATGACAGCCGATGATACATAGTTTATTCCATAATTATTACACATTCACACCAGCAAATCTTACTTAATACTCGCAAGACATCAAGTCAATTTATTGGGGGATGTCTAAAAGCCATTTATCCTACAAGTCATTTATTATTGGCTCGCAATTACTACAGCCGGTCAATCTGTTCACGCTACTAAATGTGGAATCCTGTGAAAAACAACAATGCATTCAGAAGACAATTTCAGCACCAAACATAAAGCAAATTGCTTTTACAGTATTTTATTCAGGCTTGAAACTTCACTTATTTTTTTTTATTAAATATTGCCAAATACAACAAATTCACTACAGCTGCTCACTTAAACAACATTGCACTTCTAAACATGAAATCTACAATTGCCAATAAGCATGCAATAACCATCAACCAAATGTTGCTTTCAACAGTAATTAGTAAGTCAAATTGTAATTTCATTGTACTCGTATAATTTGTACTCCTTGTGTTAGTGTAACATTTGGTTGCCAATTAGGAATCAAGTGTACAAAATCCAAAGTAGGTGAATTCCAAAAATAAGTCTCAAATTGTATAGCAAAAATGCTTTAATTTCAGTGTACACAAGCCAGGTTTAATGACAATTTTAGGTTAACGATCAGATGATTTACCTGTCATATCTGCTACAGGCAAAACATTGTCCAACATATTTGAAAGAAAAAAAGGTTTTCCTAACCAAAATTAACAGAAATCATCAAAAAGCTGTACCTTACATCAATGAAACACTTTTGTGCCCCGATGTGTGAAAAGTGCAGCTGTTCTGCAAAATAGATTTTATTTTATATTTACCACTTTAAATACGCATTTTGGAAGAAGCAGGAGTTGTTAACTATTATTTTTACACAAAGAAATCAATTATGGCAGCAGGTGCAAATAATAAATTGTGATCTAAAGTGATAGGTGATGGACGGAAGGCCAGAAAAGTACTATATTTTAATGTTTGCCCATAAAAATTACACGCAGACATAAGTTATAAAGTGAAATTTGTTTCTGAAAAATGGCAATGACCAAGTTTAGGCAACGTGGAACCGTAGAAAGTTAGAAAAAATAAAAAGACCTTACAGCATTGTAAATTACACCTGGTAAATAACATTATTCAAATTGTCATTGTATATGTAATCCTTGGGGTCAATTTGTTTCTTGATTTCAAAGTTTAAATAGAACGATAAGCAACCAACAAACACTTCAAAGCCCTACTTCACTACAATGCCCCTAATCCCCAGGACGTGTTTTTAAACACATCCCAATAAAAATTACTCATGCTCCAATAAGTAACCAGTCAGGCACGTTGTACACAACATCGAACCACACATCAATCTGAATGGCCAACAGTGAATTATAGCAAAGCTTGTGGCTTGGCAAGTCTGTTAAGGTAGAAAGGAAGGTACAAAAAATATAATTAACCAAAGTCTCCATGCCAGAGCAGGCCAATATCGTATCTTCTAAGAAACAGTATTACCAGCAAAATGTTAATATTTGGGTTAGACTAGGCATGGCAACTTTGGTTAAGCAAGAGGTGGACATCAAGTAACTTCCACTCTAGCCACTCCACTTTACACAACAATACCAGGCTGTGGCATTTTTGATATGCAGATAATGCTGATGATTTAGAGGGGATACCGCTCCTGCAATGTCTCTGAGGAAGCAGCTCGCCAACTTAAAGATGCATTACAATTTACAAAACTGGCATTTACTAACTTCACATTATGTGCCAACTGTTACACCACCTATTTGTAATGTACAAATATAATTTGACAAGTTTACATTTTAAGCAACTAAAGCCAAATAGTATCCTTAGTCAAGCCACCAAAATGTGCAAATGTCAATGTGAAGTATGCTGGTACACAAACACATTTGTGAATAAGCACTTAAATTTAACCAAAAGACCCAAAGAATATTTAAATTTAACACTTATGCCACGGTCCTAGTAGTCTTACTAATGCAAAGTAAACATTCCTGTAAAACAACGCAAATGTTCATAGTTTTATTACACTAAAAATGTGTACCTAGATGTAATCATAAACCCCTTCTTGGACAACCTTCTTCTGACATCCTGTATGCAATAAGCTGAGGTATGACTTATGGGTGATGATGCATGGCAACTGACTACAATGATGATGGCAATGATCATGATTTAATTAAGTGAATCTACTGAATGCAGCAGTTACTCTTTTGTCCATTTGTATCCTTAAATCGAAGACGCATCTTAGAACGATACTTCTCCAGGTACAGAAGCTGCTTGCTGTTGATGGCTCCTCGACGCTTCCTGTATTGACAAAATTAAAAGAGGGAGGTGGGAGGGGGACTGTTGCTCATTACCGATGCAAAATGAGTACAGCAATGTTGTTAGCAATGCTTTGCGATATTTAATTGTGAGTGTGATCATGGCCGTGCTGGTTAAAGTATTGCACTCAAGTCGAATGTAATATTATACGTACTGCCTAATGAAATGGACAGCGTCTTCATACTTCATGCCACACTCAATCAGAGCCAAAGCCACCAAGACAGGTGCCCTAGAAACACAACAGCTCATTAGTAATAGATTTTTACCCTTTTATCTGGCACCAAAACTGACACCTTTATACAAGGGATCATGTTTGCAATAACCACAACACAAGCAGTCAAAATGCAAACAAAAATAGACAACTCTGATAATGATATGCAGTCCTTGAAATTGATTGGTCCACACCCGAGACGGCTTTTCTTAGAGCCTAGTCTCCAGTGGTGTTGGACCAGATGACGCCAAAAGGCGCACAACTCAAAAACAGCGCACTATCATACTATTCATACTCTGATAGTGCGCTGTTTTTGAGTTGTACGCCTTTTGGCGTCATCTGGTCCAACACCAGTGGAGACTAGGCTCTAAGAAAAGCCGTCTCGGGTGTGGAACAGCTCATTATTAACACAACACAATTGTTGTCTAGAATGACGTCAATTTCAGCAAAAAAGATTGTTTCTAATTATTTTATATTCGCATTCACATGTTAGATGGTTTACTGTTTACCTGAACCATTTACCAAGCCACTGTTATCTGCAAGCAGATGACGATTCGGCGTTTCTAAATACAAATGGACTTCACCTGCCAAGTCCAGCGACACAGTGCACAGCGATGCAACACCCCGGCTCCTCTCTGAACTTGACCTTGAGAAGGTTAATCCAATCATCGACCACTTTGCCGGGAGGAGGTGCTCCATCGTCAAAGGCCCAATCCTGTATGAAAAACAGGAAGGATATCTCAAACAAAACAATTCACGTAAAGGGGTTACAGAGTTTTAAAGTTCGTGATACAGTAAAGAAGCTTGTTCTATTCCTCGTGTTTGTTGTCAGCAGTACTTTCTCAACCACATAACTGTACCTTACAGCATGCATAATGCATTACAGCCTGTTTGTCACTCCGCGACTGGATGAGCGACTGCCAATGTGGTGGAGTCCTTGAGCGTTATTTGGCAATACGTCACGATGGTCGGTGTATGTTTAAGATCGGGGGAGTCGAGCGGCAATGTATGTTGCTTCATTGACCTCTATGGCCCACAAAACCTACTAGACGAGTTTTTGGATGCATGGTGGTCACCCATCCAAGCACTAATCTGACTCAACTCTTCTTAGCTTCCCGACCCTGACACCTGCTGTACATTTGGAGTTTGCGTGCCTTTCTACCCATGGTTGGGTGGATTTTTCTCCCGGGTCCTCCGGTTTTCCCCTCCACATTTAGAAACATCTGTTAAGAGTATATGGCTGCTATAAATTTCCACACAAGCCACTTCATTCAGCTATCATTTGTCCAGATAACTTCTGAAAAAGAGCCACATAGCTCAGTGAGCCTTACGTGGTAAAATGAAACGTTGTTTCGCTTAGATAAGATGGATTCTGGGTGATTTTATAACATGCAATGCATGGTAATAAGTTAAAACAACGTGGAAAAGCAAGCAGTCCTTTATAAATTCCAAACAGGTCAACTTGAAATACGAAATAACTAAATTTGTGCCCCAATGATTTGCACGTATACATTTTCGCTTTTTAATCTGATTATATAAACACTGGTACAGTGGGACCACCTGCAGGGCAAGGAATTTGTTCAGTGCAGTGAAAGTTCAGGCCAGAAAACCTTGTGTACAATAAACCTATTGAGTTACATTTAGACCATATCTTGGCATGATTAACACTGAAATTGAGGAGCTTAACTCCAAGCAGCTGCACTTGGAAAAATAGTGAAATCAGTGCTGGTGGCGTCTGTGTGCAGGTGTGAATGAATCAGCTTGCCATGAGTGTTAAAAAAAAATATTAACAGTAAATCATCCAGTTTTTTTTTAAGTTCTACACCATACGTTGGTTAGTCAAGTCAACTTTAGGGATGACAAATGCACTAATTTAAATAATGCATGCTGATGCGCTTTGCATCAACCAGCATTTGGCAGCTAAAGTAGCCAAAAATAATGCACCATTAAGCAGACAAGTCAGCTTAACAGTGTGTGTACTGTGGTTCTAAAACAATGCAGGAATTAAAAGCCTTAGAAAAAAAATGCATGTTAATCAACATTTTGGATGGGATTTTACTTGTGCTGCCAGCCTTAAAAAACACACACACAAAAGCAGTCAGAAACTGGATAGGCTGTACAGTGCTGCATTGATATATTCGACATTTAATTTCTGGGCTGTAACCTACCACAAGCAAAATCCTTTCGCAAATGTTATGAAATGAGCGTTCAGAATCGTAACACCAACACACTCAGAATGTCCACTGCAAGGATTTAATATTTTATAATTTTGCAGAAAACTACACGAAACACAAACGAGAAACAACTTTTACTTACTTACCATTACAGTGATTCCTTCTTTTTCTACAGGCACCTTGTCATAAGTAGCTTCACAGACTCTCACTACAGTGGTCACGCCACATTTTTTAAGCTCCTGAAAACACAAAGGGAAATCAATAATACAAACAGTGTGTTTCTTTCCTGCACCGTTACACGCCTCCCCCAAAAGGTAAAGAGGCTGCTCCAACTACTCATTAAATAACACATTTCTCGCAACCATTATTCTTACAGATAAAACATGTGTGGATAGTGTTGAAGTCCTTCAATGAGACTGCAAGAAACTTACTTCGATGAATTTATCGAGGGTGACGTTGGTGGGGTTGTGGGTGATGAGAAATCGCATGTTCTTGTAGGTGACTTCCACCGCAGCAGGCCGGTTGAGGCGTGCCATTGCTGAATCTTTTCCTATGTTACACAATATCCCAATGTGGCTCTGGCTAACACCTTAGGTCTAAAAAATAAAAATCTGATGACCCACAAACAAATTGCAACCAACACTCCCCACCTGTGCTCTTATGGGTGTAAACAAATACAAAACAGCACCCTATCACGACACTACCCCATTCGGCCAAAATTATTGCACCGGTGATGGCTTTGAGCCGGTCAGAGGGCAGCAGGGAGGGAGCACCCAACACTGGCTGCCAACTCTGCACGGTTTAAGCCAGCACGGTTGCAGCGACACAAAAATGGGAGAAATTATCAGTTCACTTGTCTGCAAAGACCTCGTGCTGAGCCTGGCAATACTCGCCACGTCCCTTCACAAACTCCATAAATGTGCGACCAAGAACACCGCAGAATTGCTGCAGGAAAAAAAGGAAAAACGAAGCATGAAGACAACGCTTTGATACCGAATTAATTTGACAGAAATATAAAGCACTAGCATGTAACAGCAAGTCACATTAAATACATTTTTTACAAGATTTCTCAAATCCCTCAAAAAGCAGACCAATTATGCACCAATATCATTTGGAAGTTTACCAGCTTTCTACATAAAACAATGTTGGTAAAGAACAGTGATGTACAGGTAGACTATCACATGATTATGTTCTCAAGAAACAGCATATCTGATGTTGGCAGTGTCTTTATAGTCATGTTCCAGATAGTAATTAATCGTTTCAAGTCTATACTTATACTCAAAATATAGTCTTAAACCATGTGCGAAAATCATTTTTAAATGATATATTGCAATTGTTTCACATAAACCCTGCAACGACTTCAGATTCTACATTCATAATGGACACAAATATAAAATTGCGATCATTATTCAAATCGTGGAGGGAGAATCGTAACATGTCAAGATGTGAATACACGGCAGCCATTGAAGTGTGACTTATTATAATAGAGACAGAGGGTACTGTGCTTTGTTTAGCCAAGGAAATAAGGGGAATGCCAATCTGTAGCACAGGAGACAATGGGTGCCATGCTTAGGAGATAAGGGCTTCAAATACTGTGTATAGCCCAGGTGACAGGTACTGTTGCGATGCGTGTATCCAGGATGCTGTATGTGGCCCGGTTGACTGGTGGTGCTGGTGCTGTTTGCGATTTCCTCTGAAAGAGGTGATGTGTATAATCCAAGAAATAAGTGTTGCAATGCTCTGGTGTGTCCAAGTAGACAAAGTGTCATACTGGTAGCCCCGCCAGATAGGTGCTGTTCTGTGTGTGTAGCCCAGGATACGGAGATGACGTGTCACGTAGCCAGGAGACAAAAGTGCACTGCGGTGTAGTCCAGGAAATAGAGGGTACAAAACTGTGTCTGAGGAGACAGGTGCTGTGCTAAGCAGTTTGCGCCACACGTGGTGCCATGCTGTATGACCGAGGAATAAAAGTTTTCTTGTGCCATACAGCCGATGGGACAATGATGCCATACTACCTGTGTGTCGTCCAAATGAAATAAAATGGTGCCTTTCTGTATTACCCTGGAGATGTGTGTATCCTACGTGCTGTGTGTGTGCACATGTGTATGCAAACCCAATTTGGCCATGTGGAATGTCCAAACGATCACTGGGGAGTAAAGACTGCCATTTCTCTGTCAGGAGCTGGACTGGTATTGCCTGGACCTCTGTGGCATACAGGTGATCTGGTGAACTAGTTCTGGCTCCAGTCCCCACTCGGGAAAGGAAACTACCCAACAGGGAGTCGCATTGCTCAAACAAAATCATTAATGGGGTGTGGGAGCGTGGAGGCACGGAGTGGGAAGCTGTGAGTACCAGGCTACTGCGGGTTCACCCCGCGAGGAATGGTGGTGGTGGCTGGGATGATAATCGGTGGAGGTACACTTGACAAGGCCGATGAGTCAGATGCCTTCTATAACCTCTTGTCCCAAGTGCTGGCTAAAGTGGCGCCTCGGGCTAGAGTCATCTTGTTGGGCGACTTTAATGTCTGAGTGGGTCATGAGGTAGGCACCTTGGCCGGAATGATTGGAATGCATGGGCCAGATCATCTCAATAACAGTAGAAGGCTGCTCAACTTTTGTGTAGCCTATGGGCTTGTAATCACCAACACACTGCTCCAGAATCAGCGTATCCACACATCATGGATGCACACCAGGTCCAGGCAAGAATACCTGCTGAATTAAATAATGATGGAAAGGAGAATGTAGGCCCATGTCCTTGATACCAGGACCTACTGTGGAGCTGATCTGCCCACTGACCACCGGCTTGTCATCTGTAAGAAGCACCTGCCATCATTCCACTGCGGTGGTGGGTGTCCACCGAGGACTGCATTCAAACCCGCAATAGCCTGGTCTCGGCTTGCTGATGGAAGGTTGCATGTGCAAACTTCATGATAGTTGCAGCTAGGGTTGGCATCGTCCCGCCCTCCTCTTGATGCCAAGGGGAAATGGGTAGGTTCAAGTGTGTGACTCATCCAGCTACTATGGCTGCATTGGGTACAGTCCAGACCTCCCGAAACAGCCTGGTTGATGGAGGTGTTCTGGCTAGCTGAAACAAAGCGGAAGACCGACTCCTACTGTCTACAACATCCCAGAATTAGGTTTACCAGTTTACTTGGAGGTTCCGAAAGCCGTGCAGAGCTGCAAGCATGAGTGCTAATCGTGGGTTTTTGAGGAGATGGGTCGGTCATGCATGGACACCATATTCTCTGTCCATTTGCTACAGCAAAGGTGTAGGGGATTTCAACAGGACCTATAGCCCTGCTTTATTGACCTGGTTAAGAGGCCTATGGCAATCAACAGGCCAGGGCTCTGGGTTATTCTTCGTGCTTTTGGGGTCCCTGATCCTCTCCTCACAATCATTAAGGACCTTCATGATGTTGGGCAGGACCAGGTAAAAATGCGTCGCAGGGAGTCAGTGCAACAGGGATGTCCTCTGGCCCCTAAACTATTGAACATATTATTTAACTACGTAGTTCATAACGCTCTCCATAGCTGTACCGAAGGAATGTCCATCTGGTATAGATACAATGGGAGGCTGATCAATCCCCGGGTGCAATCAAGGGATTTGTCATTATTGGTCAACCATGTTATGTATGATGATCTGTTAATTGCTGCTCACTCTGAGAAGGATTTGGATACTCTGCTGCAGAATCTGGATAGTGCTCATAAGAAATGGGGCCTCACCATCAGCCCCACAAAAACAAAGCACCTGCCTGGATATTTTATGCCATCCAAACACTCCGCTCCCTCGACTCTCCTGGGCAGTGTGCTTACGACCGGCTCCTGTTTGGTAGAGGAAGTCTCAATCCGAGACCGGAATTGTTTTTCATCAGCTGTCTAACGCTGTATGGAAACTACTTGGCCTGGCCTATCTCTCCATACGAAGCTCCGGGTTTTTCTCTGCCACAGTTATGCCCTCCCTTTTCTATACTTGCGAAAACGTGGACCCCTTTGAAGGAACATCTGTGCCGGTTTGAAAATTTCAGGCTGACCTGCCTAACATCCATCCTGGGTTTAACCAGACTGGATTAAGTGAGCTTACAGATCCTTCAAATATCTGGACACAGTCCCATCAGAGATCTCCTCCAGCAGGCAAGGTTGCGTTGGCTGGGTCGTGTAGCCCGCATACCCAGCCAATGCATGCCCAAGAAGCTTCTGCTTGGCCGGATACACGGGGCTAAACGTGCGTGTCATGGGCAAGATAAGACATGGCCTGATGCGGCACAGACGCATGTAGAGCCTATTGGACTTGGAGGTAACTGGTACCAGCGGTGTCAAGATCGGCCCTATGTGGAGGAAGTTCGTGGAGGACGCTGCAAGGCAGTTGGGAGGCAACCACCCTCGATGCTCAAACCAAGCGAGTGCAATGCGCATAAAACTCAGTAAGTTGGCACAGTGGGGGCACTAGTGGTGACACGCTGCTGGTCACGTCAATCAACCAATGGGTATGTCCCGTGACCTTTTGTCGGCGAGCCTTCGGCACTTCGCGTGACCTCAATGTGCACCTAGCGGTTCTTATATCCCAAGTGTTGTGTGCGTATCCTTTGTGCTGCGTGTATATATCCCGGGTGCTGCGTGAATCCCTCGTGCTGCGTATGCATCCCCATGGCCCCGTGTCATTTCTCCTATTGTGCGCGTTTAATGCCTGGTACTGCGTGCAGATCCCTGGGTGTTGTGTGCCATTGTGTGTGTGTGTGCGGTGGATCCCTGGAGATCCGGACGCAGCAGTAAAGGAAGCCGCCGTCTCTGCGGCAACAGCAGCTCCACCACTCTCCCTACCACCGGACACATCTGTTCGATACAACGACGCGTTCGCCCATTGGGAAGAGCCGCTCCAATTTCCCACAACGCTTTAGCTACCCGGCGGATTTTACCCCCAACCATGTGACCGACCCAGGACCAATGGGCGAACGCGTTCACACCAAACCGGCGCCTTACCCGCTCTAGGAAATACAAAGCGGTTGCCCCCCCCCCCCAACCCCCTCTCGCATCTCTTTAAACAAAACAAAATCGGCAACGAACTGCGCGCGGATTCCCTCGCGATGTATTTACCAACCACGCGCGAACGACGACGACTACGGCAACAACAACAATAAACCCCCGGCTGTCACAACGAACGAGAATCGACCGCAGTCTCCACCCCACCGAAGTCTCTCTCCCCCCCACCCCGTCCGGCCTGATTTCACTCCAAGCAAGCAAAGCCACACATTTTTTTGTGTTTGTTCCTTTAAACAAAAAAAAACCTCGGGGCGGGTGTCGTGAAACGAGGCAAAAAAAACATTTTTTTTTTACAACGAAAACAAAATAACTCGCACGGTAACGTTGCGTGCGTGCGCGGCCGCGAATCTTTTACTCACCGCAATGTGCCTATTCATTGAAGTGAATGGGTTAAGAACCACGGGGAAATCTCTAAGGGATGAAATAATAACAACAACAACAGGCGGAGAGGGAAGAGAAGCGCGCGCCGGACCGCGAGCGAAGCAGCGAAGACTCGCTACCCAGTAGCGTCACCTAGCGGCGTCGTGACGTCACCCAGAGACGTGGTGACGTCACCTATAGAGGCGTGGTTGGACGTCACGCAGCGGCGCGGTGACGCAAAGAGGGGGAGGGGTAACGGTGGGACGATCCTCACGCCGCGTGCCTTTAATCCTCACGCTGCGTGACGTCATCCGCGTCGCGTTGCGTTTCACCGCGCGGCGTGACGTCGCGGCGCAGCGTAATGTTTCACCGCGCGTCGTGACGTCACCGCGCAGCGTGGAGCGACCACCGCGCGACGTGACGTCACGGCGCAACGTAATGTTTCACCAGGCGCCGTGACGTCCCCGCGCCGCGTGAGGTTTCACTGCTTAGACGTGACGTCACCGCGTTGCCCGGTGTTTCATCACGCGCGTGACGTCATCGCGCAGCGTGATGTTTCACCGCGAGGCGTGACATCACCGCGCAGCGTGACGTTTATTGCGCGGTTGGCAGGGTCCCGTGCCCCCCCCCCACCGCCTCTCGTGACGTCACCCAGCTCCTCCCCACGCCACTGGGAGGTTGACGTCAACGAGCGGCTGACGCTAAACCGCCCGGGGTGGTGGGTGGTGGTGGGGGGGGGCTGTTGCCATGGTCACGCGAACCCCCCCCCAACCCGCCCCAGCTCGTGACGTAATCTGCCTCGTGCGTTGGGAGGAGGGGCAGGTAAGCCCATCATCCCCCCCTCTATCACCCCCCCCCCTAATGAGGCTCGTCATAAGTTTAACACTTTAGGCTTTCGCAACCAAATATTATCCATAATATTGGTCGCGGGTTAGATCGCGTAAATATAAATGTGACGTTAAATCGCCACCACCCGACACAGCCAAGTCAAGTCAGGTTTTTCACGTAAACAAAACGTCCCAATTTAGTAACTACTTCAGTATACTCGCGCGTGTGTTGGAGAGTGAACCCACTACAACATTGACAATTATAGTCCGACGTTTCGCTGGTGATTACAACACCCAGCTTCATCGGGCGATTCAGCCAGAATTGTGAAGACGTCTTCCTGTTTTGGGTCCCGCAATAACTTAAGATTCATCGAAATTGCAACGCATTGTAAATTAGAGTAACGAATGTTTTTAATCGATTTTTTTTTCATTGATCGCTACATTTAGCTCGCTTGAGAATCGTCACCGACGGTAGATGTGACAGACAATACATCATATTTATTTCAGATCAGAATTTATAAAACTCCTGTGTACGCGTTAACAACCCTTGTGGCTTTGAATCCACTGCTGGATGACATTTCGACAGGACATTGATACGCAATGCAGTGCACGCGATTAGAAAGCTAAGTATCGAACTTTAAGTCGAATCGTGCCACTAATGCGTCGACTCGTGGGGATTGGGACGTGGGAGCGAGCGGTGGCGCAGCGGTTAGCGCGCCGCGCTACTGAACCCGGCGACCCGACTTCGATTCCCAGCTCACGGCCAACAATCGGTTGAGGATATTTGAACCGGTCCCGGGCCTCGCCTAGGTCGACTCAGCCTTAAATGAGTACCCGCTGCGGTGTGCAAAACATCAGCGCTGGAGAGAGAGACAAAGACGGCCGGGCGTGGGATGCTGGCCACCCCACCCACGCGTGTGTGTACGTATGTTGAACTTCTTTCGTACCGTACGCAAACCTGTCAACCCACACGGTTTACCCCGTATTCTTGTACAGGGAAATTGAGTTTTCAGCTCCGTGGGACTTTGTAGGATGACATTTCAGATTTATAAGGGCACGGGGGTGACCAATAATGTCCGAATTGGTTTGTAATAAGGTAGGGCACTGACAAGGGGGTTGACAGCTGTGCGTACGCAGACGACCTAATCGGAGGTGTGCCGTGTCAGCACCTTCGTAGGTGCCCGCTAACAGCACTTGCCCCCAACAGTCTGTCACAGGCTATACGGGGTATATTTGTCTTTGGGATGTGTGGGGGGTGGCGGGGAGGAGCGGTGGTGCAACGGTTAGCGCGCTGCGCAGCGAACCCGGCGACCCGAGTTCGATTCCCTCTCACGGCCAACATCGGTGGAGATTATATGAACCTGTCCTGGGACTCCGCTAGGTCGACTCGGCCTCAAATGAGTACCTGGTGCGGTCGGGCGTGGTGCTGGCCACCCACCCCCTCGTGTACCGTTCCGGCCTTCGTAGGTGCTCGCTAACAGCACTTGTCCCTACAGTCTGTCACAGGCTATACGGGGGATCTTTGTCTTTGTTGGGGTGGGGGTAGTGCGGGTGGTGGTGGTGGTGGTGGGGGGGGGCTGTGAAGTTTCATGCTCGGTGCTCAGAGCACGCGCTGTGCAAATTTGACGAGAAGGTTTTAGTGGCCACGCTGTGTGCTGTGGCTGTGTGCTTAGCGTGTCTGTGAGTGGGGGGGTTTAATTGCCTCCGTCATGCAATCTCACACCTTTGCATTTGCCTGACAACAACAGCCCTTGCAGGTTTCAAGCTGGGATGGATAAACGTGCCGGGGTAATGGAGTGACAATGTGAACGCGAAGCCCTCTCGTCGTGGACCAGCAGATCTCGACGTTGGCATTTTGCTCCACGTACGCACGAATCGAAGAAGAAGAAGAAAAAGAAGAAGAGGATTTGGAGGCAGTGAACTTGTTGCCAAGTTGTCATTGCTGTAGGAATCACACGCGTACAGGACCGCGCGATTTCATGAGCAACTGAAAAGTCAAGATTACAGCAACAAACAACGCAAAAGGTAACCCGTAGTCTAATTACGCACAGATCGTACAACATTAGAAAGGGTACTTGCTAAATAATTGAGTTGCAAAGTAGACTGTACTTACAAATGCTGTTTGGAATATCTAAAACGTTAACAACTTCTTAGTCCACATCCGGGCAATTGTGTACAAGTAATAATAATTTACAACACTTTGTCAATTAATAATTTGATTAATTCCTCCCCATGCCCTCCATCATTCATGGGGGTGGGGTGTGTTGCTTGCCCATACTTATTGGCTAGTGCACAAAACGCGACACACACACATGCTGCGTGCAAATTTGACAGGGAGGTTTTAGTGGCAACGTGATGTACACACGAAGCAAACCCTGGGGGAGTGTTTCGTGTGTCCGCGGGCGTGTGTTGTTGGTTGGTGTCACTGCGTCTGCGGCAACGCATCTCACTCGCACGTTGCCCTCACTTGATCCGCGCAGTTTTATGTTTAATTAAAGCTCAAAGTTGCGGCGACTAATGTGACGATCATTTGGGCCGAGTGTCCTTTGTCCGGTGCTGAATAAGGGATTGTTCTGTCACACGTGCGTCAGATTGTCTCCATGACCACTGAAAGGTTAAGAAGCTCAACGCGAGAGGTAAACGTCTGAAAATATATATGTATAGCTCGTTCGTAATTCAATAACAATTAACGGGGGGGGGGGGGGGGTTTCTTCATTTCTAATTGTATATGTTGCATTATTTAGTTGACAAAGAATATGAACACAAATTATGTTCTAAAGATCTAAACATTAAAACACGTTAACAAGAGCCGAGACATGGCTCAGCGGTAGTGAGCGGCTAAGCAAACGGAAAGTTGCGAGTTCAAAACTGTGCCCATCATCCTTCATGGTCGATAAAATAACCACTCTGCGGGGATGTCAAGGTTAAGTGTCATGTGGATAGACTTACCATAGGAATGTGGGAATGTCACTACTGGCTCAGATCTCTAAACCGTTGAGCACCGATGCTCATATGAGCAACACATCACTTTAACTTGTTTAACAAATTACATTCAACTTGGTTTGAAATTAAAGTAATTGCAGGTATGATTAACCATTGCCATAATACATTGAGTGTGGGAATGCGTGGTGGCAAAGTAGTTTGCGCACTCTTCTATGACTTTGATTCCTGGCCATGGATAAGTGGCAAGTCGTATCTGAAACTGTCCTGACCTCCCCCCACCGCGCCCCCTTCATTCACCAACCCACACCTAACCAGCGTGGTGAAATATGGTCAAACAGCTCCCAATGACCGACACGGTGTGGGGGGAGGCCTTCATGCAACAGTGGATTGACAAAGAGCTGTCTGTACATGCGCATTAATTGTACAGTTATCCTAAATTGATAACGGTTACTTCCTGCTGGTATTGTTTTGTGTTCCAGTCCATACAGCTTGTACTTGGGGTAACATGTGGGACCGAAGTGCTTGCCAATGTAGTGATTTTGCTGTGGGGGTGGGGGCTCTGTGTCCCTGTAGAGATTATTATTAAGGCCGCGTTAGCTGATTTTTCCAGACCAAAGATTTTATGAGGCTACACGAGACTCATGTTAAAGACCGGTTAACAGGCCCTGTGCTGCATTGGCCGGTCAGCGTCAGCCAGGACGGGCATGATAAGGCACAATTTTCACCGTCTGCATTAAACGTTGAACGCAGAGAAAGGTCGCGATGATGTTATGTAGTACAGAAATACTATTGAGTACTTGAATAAAAGCATGTCAGCAAACATGACTTGAAAGTCAAACTGAAAAAACATAAGCACCATTCGGTTTGTTGGCAGATTAGCTGTGAAATGCTTAAAATCACTGGCGAGATTCTCAATGTAAATTGGGCATGTCTGCACTTGTAATCGAGATCGCTTAATAAATGCTGTTAGCCTTTGCTATGGTAAATGTTTCCTTTACAGCGTGTTGATTTCACAATTGTATGTACAAAGCGCACTGCTTTATAATGGCCACTCTATTCAGCCCTCTACAGTATGTATTGTGTACCCCAGACTCGGTTTGCACTTAAGTTGCCAGGACATCTAAAAACACATACTCAGTCTTTTCAGATTTTTTTTATACATACGTTGGACAAATGTCAGGGTAATGTGCCTTCCATGGCCACGAATCACCTTTAAGTACCAAAGGACATTGATGTTTTAAATATTGTATTTTACAAAGCCTGTTTTACCATACCACTTGCAAGACAAAAGTGTAAATGTATGAGCCTGGAACTGTCACGGTAAGTACAAAATAATCAATATTCTGATCACATTCAAGTTTATGTAGTAACTCTTTCACGCCAAATCTGCTGATTGTATATTGCATGAAAATGGGCTTTGACGTAAGAATTTTCTGAGTTACCTATTCTGTGATAGGTTGAGTAAACTATTTAGTATAAAATCCTGGACATCATCATCCAGTCAATCCACTTTTGGATGAAGGTCTTCCCAAGGCACTGCCATCTCCTGTGATCTCTACGAAATAACTTTTTGATCGGTACCGACATACGAGCTTATTTAGTCACTCCATCTAATCCACGAAATCCTGTCGGACGCGTTCCATTCGTTGGCTGTCAACTTTGCCACTAAGCCCACTTTACTTAACAGTTTGGATTGTCTTCAACCTGCGTATGTTCTCTTAATCCATGTTCCTCACTCTTGTCTTTAAACGTAATTGTACAGTGCCGTATATGAATTCAAGCCTTGCCGAAAGACCTGATTTTCGCATGTTGAATCTGACAATTTCAGCTTATGATCTGTATTTGCCTGTATTGTTTGTTGATCCAAAATATATATATATTTTTTCAGAACACTAGTTTATGCCAAATCCAGCTAACATATTGCATGTGCACACATTTGGAATGCCAGGTGTAACTTGTCTGTTTGGACAATAAACAAACGGACGTATGAATAGTCAACAAAACGTACGTATTACACCGACGTGACCCGATCAGCGAAATGTACTCGTTGTGAATGGCCATATTCATACAATACTCTATACACAATGTTAATGTAGAGAATATGCAGGCATATTATAAATCATTGATTTATGTTCATCATAGTGGCTTAGCCACAATATTGAAATGTTTCTTGGTGCAAGATAGTGTCCAGTTTACATTTGGTAAATACATGCCAATCCACTACTGGAAACGAGCCTCCCCATGACACGGTTTATACGGATTATTATTTAATCATATTTCACCATGCGGATTTGTGGAGATCAGAGGTGAGAGAATTGAATCGCAGTTTAATAAATTATGCTTGCACTGCCCTCTGCTCAACAACTAGCTCCGCAGCCATACAAATGGCTAATGCATAGATTGGCCAATGCACATGTCGCAAAGAAAAACGAGCGCAATAATTGCAGAACCCATTAGTCGGTTAGTCAAGCCTTAGAAATGTTCCTTTACACATCAGAGAGTCAACTCAAGCGACGCTGCGCCACGGCTTAACGCATTGTGAAAACCTAATGGAGCCAAAACGTGCGTTTCATTGCATATTTTCCATCGCACTGTGCGCAGATTCAGTTTCCGTGTGCCAGCGCGTCTCGGGGAAGGCAATGGAAGGGGCTGCGGAAAGAACGGCCGCCCACAGACCGGTGAAGTCGGCACTTAAACAGGGCACTCGGAGACACGCGCTGCTGCCTCCTCGCCGAGTCGGCTTTAATCTCGCGCGCACGCAGATCTTCTACGTGCCCCGGGACCAGCCGGTCACTCCGCTCGCTCGTCCGCTGCAAGAATATATCCGTCAGGTGTATCCGTCCTATGCCCTGCCGAGCTCCACGCTCCGAGCGCGGGGAGAGCGCATCGGCCCTCTCTCCGCGAGCGCATCATTGAGCGCAATCAGACCATCGACCACTCAGTGCTCCCCGCTCTCCAGCAGCGGAACGTTCCGACCCGCGAGCACCTTTACGTCTCTTCAGCGCGGCAAAGAAAGAATGAGAGGCGACAAGAGGATGAACTACGACGACATGGCCATTATTGCGCGAGGCTATAAGCCAATGCTGAGCAGGTCCTGTGAAAATGTGTTCTCGAACCGCAGTGATGTAGACAATGAGGTGAAGTCGGTTTTAAGCGAGGACTCGGTCAAGAAGGAACTGTTGCTCGGTTCATCACTGTGGGATTTGAGGCCAGCACCTTTCCGCAGGTCCATCTCCACAGGAGTGAGCTCCCTGCCAGGCTTCTCTCGTGGACTTAACCAACACTCCAGGATCACATCCTCTGGACAGGTAATCTGTTTTACAATGTAATTTCTTACACAAAGAGTTCTCAATTTTCAACTCGGTCGTTAAAGCTCACGTACAAAATGAGACATGGCTTAGTTGTTGTATGGTTGTTCCGCTTGTTACTTAGCATGTCCCAGCATGCCGCTCCATCTGCCGAGAGCTTTTTCTGTAACTAAATTGATTCCGCACAACTACATAAACATGCGCAGGGGTGTATTTTTGTTAAACCATACATGTGGCAAAAAAATTATCAATTGTGAGAATGTCAAAATGTGCTTGCTTAATTTTAACAGGATTATATTTTTTTAGCTGGCCCTCCATCCCGACGCGAGTTCTACATTCCTGGATTCTCAATTTTCGGTGGCTGATCTTCTCACCCGGCGAGATTTGACCTTTGCTGCCTTCGTTGATCGGAACTCGGCGACAGGAAGACCAGGCCTGCGATCAGAACTTGTGAACACACAGTGCCAACTGGGAAATCTAACACCGAGATTAAGGCACCAGCTGTCATTTAACACGTGGACATAACACGTACCTTCCTATAGATCATAGGTTTGTTGGCAATTAATTAACAGCACTTAATTGTTTTATGTACTTTGTTTCATCATTTTGTGTGCATCTTAAGAGTGAATAATCCTGTCAGAAACATGAATGTAAATCATTTTATTGAATTTTGAGTCATTATTGCAGGCTGAATTCTATCAGTTGCTTACCTAACAAAACATGTGATATGGAGAACACAACAATGTTAACATTAAGGAGTTTTTTTTATTATACAGTAAAATGGAAATCCCTATACATAACATTATAATTTAACGTACGTTTTTCAAATGTTAAAAAAGAATTAAAGCTTCAAAACAATATGTATTTGAAAGCAATGTTAAACCTGTTTGCTTTAATAAAGTTTGCTAATATTTGCCATGTAGTTAAAACTCAAGGCAAGGTATAAAGATTTACAATTGTTGCAAATAGTGTAACGTTTGCTTGGAAGACCCTAATAAAAGTGGCACACGCCATGTGTAGCCATGTGTAATCCATGTGTAATCTTCTTCATCGCCGTTACCTTCCCTCAATTAAAACCGTATACAACACTTCGCACGAAGAACTCTGCCCACTCCTCAGCACGACTCATTACAGTATTAAGGCAATCTTCCAGTTTGGTTTTCAAATGTTGCATGATAATGTTTGGGGAAAAATAAAACCACATTTGTCATTGCCAATCCTTTGAAACAGAACAATATATTGTAGGCTCGCGGTTTTTTTTGGCAATGGTCCTTCTACAGAACACATAAGAGAGTAGAGAGGTGTGTATTGACTTTTAGTTGGAGTCCACTTTACATCGTGCGGCCCTGAGAACACTAAGACATGTTAAGTCGACAAACAGTTTTGAATTCATAAGTCAACACTTTGCTAATAATAGACTGTGCTTCAAGTGATTATGAAATCAAAATACATGCACACCCTTGTTTAAATTATAATTATTAAAATATTAATGTAGAACTCCACAAATGGAAAAGGTGGAGTTTTTTTCGTTTGTGCTCGCGCACCACTGCCAACAGACGCTCAGATGAGTTTTTATTACGTTGGGGAAACCAAGCACAAGGCAATTGTCATGACATTCAGTAAAGTATTCAGAGCCAATAAACCATAATCTATACTCTCAAAAAGCCAATAAGATGCAAATTGACTTTTACCTCATCTGTATTTCTCAATGTCATTAAGGTCCACATGCAAATATATGGAATTACGTTTTTTTAATGTTTCTAACTACAATTTTGAGGCGCTGCATCTTTACACCTTTTGGAAACCTGTTTAACAAGGAATATACAAATAAAACGAGAGAAGAACATATGTGAAAGAGCAGTGCTGTTTAGACAAGACTTGCTTTCAAAAAGTGAGAAAGTTGGCATAAAACAGCCCCATGTATGTACAGGTACATTGCAATTCTCTTCATCGTCCCAATTGGACGCGCTCACTAAGCAGCGGCCCCCGCAGGCCAAGTTGGCCATTCGACCACATGGCTAGGAGGCATGCAGATGACGGTTGAAGGCATTATAGGCGGACTCCAGGTCAAAGAGCATCTGTCGCACCTGTGAGTCGTCCAGCTCGTCTGACGCTGACATGGCGCCCAGTGTCTGCAGCCTGGAGAGATGGATAAGGTAGAGCACACATGTAACTACATCCCATTTTTACCATCCACCTGTGTTTGTGTTAGAACAAGACGTATATTTCACGGCGAAGTGTTCTTCATTGCAAGACCCGCAGGCCACTGGTGGCCTTTAGTGCGGCCCCTGACGTAAGGCCCCCGACAATAAACAACACGTGACAACACTGCCCATCATCATCGTGCTGTCAAACCCAATGGTTTCAAATGTGCGGCGGCCCTCACACTGATGTCTGATCGGCGAAAGTGGCTCCCCCCTCTAAAAATTGAAGAACACTGTCACAGCGTGAACTCCTACGAGCTGCCCTTCACTATTGGTGGTCCTGAACCACCGGTGGAATTATACATTACTTTGTATTATTAACTCCTTAAATTTAATACAGCCAGGCCTCGCTTAGCACTCAAGACGCATCCCTGGAGATGTGAGCCCTAATCAAATCGGCACTAAAAGGGGTCATTATAACCACTGCATTAATAAACTAAACTTTTTATTTCACCAGGTAAGGACCACCGAGCTATACAACTCTTTTTCAGACGCGACCTGGCCACAAATTATGAGCTCAATTAAGTGGCTTATCATGTGGAAATGCATTGCAGCTAAATACTCTAAACACGTGTTTCTAAATGTGGAGGGAAAAACCGGAGGACCCGGTGAAAAATCCACTCCACCACAAGGAGAACATGCAAACTCCCAAATATTAAGGCATCAAGGTAGGGATTGAATCCACAATCTCTTGTATACCAGGCGAGGTAGTTAACATCTCGCCACTGTAGCGAGAGGGTGGTCCTGGCTGCGTTATTACTTTCATATGAGCAATACGAGGGCTTCATTGGGGTATCGGTAATAGCGCTAACAGATGGTAATTGTTCAACATGTAAATCACCTATCCTGAAGCGTTCTTACCAGGTTCTCACTTTCTCTTTTCCCTCAAAGTCCGACGGAATCGAGCTCATGCGGTTCATGGTCTCCATCAGCTCTCTCAAGTCAGGATGTATCTGTAAATATTTCAAAACACGTGGATTATCAAGCCACTCGGCCAACGCATTTCATCGCTCGAATGCCTGTGACACAAACAATGAAAAACTAATTTAAATAACCAGCATTGAATTGAAAAGAAAAATTAAGGTGATTGCCTAAGTTGGCCAAACATAAAGCTTCGAGTTATAAATGTATTCGTATGGACACGTGGTCCTTTCAGTACGTACCTCATCCATGGCTCTTATATCCAGGCGAAGTTTGTCCATCACTGTGATGAAGAGCTGTAGAATCAAAGATCACAATTGAAATGGTTTAATGCTGAGAACAGTGCTTAACAGCAGATATTAGCATGTTTAAGATCATCAATCTTATTTTCGTACCCGTCCACCAAAGTCAAATGTCCTTCAAGTGGCGAGAACTTTTCAGCGCTCGGAGGTTGCGTCGCTGCAAGATCTTGCACAGTGCAGGGGCCTTCCTCGAGCAGGGGTGCTGCATGGTCTGCGCACTCGCTGCATTCCCAGCTCTCTGGTTTTGTGGAGTTCTGACGTTTGGCCAGGTTGGTGGATCTTGAGCATCAATAAAAAGGGACATTTGTAGCTTTGACTGTACAATGTATCTATTTTTTCTGTCGCTTGGAATCCGATTGGTTGTTTTTTGCAATTGTATACCAATTGTGTTAAAAGTGTCATGTCATGGGGGAAAAAAAGTGTCCATGCAGAAATTTTGCAGAGCAATGTATCACCCAATGCAGGATGGGAGTCCGTAACTGTGAGATCCATTCAGGTGAGATAAATATTAATAAATATAAGTTTTTTTGTTATTTTCTTTGAACCTATCTACGTGACTTTACCAAAAAACCCAAAGAATATTAATTCCTGCAGTCGCGAAAGCTTTAAGTCAAGAGATAAATATTTGTCATATGCAATTAAGATCTGCACTTTATAACATCTGTACCGTCATAAAATAGTGATTATCAGAAGATGTGTAACATGCTTGTAACTAAGAATACTCATTGTTAAACTTACCGAAACAATGTCTGCAATACATCTGTTCAAATTTCCTTTATCATCTTTGATGGTTATCGGTCGATCTTCCTTGATTCTTTCCATTGCAAGTGGGCAATCAAGCTGTAAATACAAAATAGTATAATTTAGCTTTCTCCGTAATGTATTTTTTTTATGCAATCACAACTTGAATTTGTTCTGAAACTGACATGTTCAAAGTAGTATGAAAATGAGGTGCTCTACGAAAAGGTTTTGCTAAATTACCACAATAGCTTGTGACATCTGTACATACCCTGTACTTCCTACAGAATTCCTCAATGTTCTGAAATTCAGAGCCCTGCACTTGCTTGAAGGCAGCTTTGTACTGCACAAGTAGCCGAGAGCAGGCTGCGGTGTACCTGCCAGCACACATCACAAAGTCAACTAAACCTTAAAACATGCAAAAATACACAGTATATTAAAAATAATAAAAGGGACATTTGTGACTGTATGTCTGTTCAAAATGTTTAGCATACTTCCCAACATGCAACAAACTTGTAATTTGGCATGTGGGTAGCTTGCAGACTGTGCACAATGCAAAAAGTATAAAAATAGACTTTGGTATATTTTTTTTTTGGGGGGGGGCGCAATAATGCAAATATTTTGCACGGCAAGTGAGCGGTGACGTCACATCTGTGATGTCACCCGCATGCGGCAGCGTCACGCAGTGTGCCTGCTGACGTCACGCATCCCCCCCTACCCTCCGTTTAGGCCGTGTATTAATCCAAGACAAGAATCCAAGTCCCGGGCAAAGCCGGGTAGTAAAGCTAGTTGAAAATAAAGATAAGTTTAAAATAACGCAAGCATTAAGCAGGACTCAACTGTTTCACGAATATGACATTTGTATATCACATTTATTATTACATCATACATTTGTTTGATATATATTTACGTTAATTAGCTTATGAGTGCCATCCTTGCGCCTCAAGACTCACTCATTTGGAGTCACGCAGTCCTTTATGTAGGCTTTCTCAAGAGCTTGGAGTGTTTTCACAACAGCAAAGAGCTCTGCCATGTTGTCAAACCTTATACACGAACAAAGCACAAATGGGCACAAATGGATCAGGTCATTTTGTGGTGCCGTCACATTAAGCCGAATAAATGTAAAATAAAGAAGTGTCATTTAAACGCCAACAACAAATGCACAGTACTTACTTTTCTCTTTCGCGCGCATTTTTGTACAGCTTTACTTCCTGAAAAAAAAATTTGCATAAAAAGTTCAAGGGCATTGAACAATGCATATCAGTGAAATGAAATTATGAAGGAATGTATAAAAATATGGATAAACATTGAACACTTACCTCATACAGCTCAGGATTGTTGGCAGGTGCTGTTGAAATAATGCCACAAAACAAAATAAAAATTAGAGTTGAGAATACAGAAAATCACCAAGTTATCAAAATAGTATTACAAATAACACACGTCCTGAAACACACATGATACTGTGAAATCCTTGCCAAAATGGTATTCACATCTCATGTGAGCGTACAGATACCCTCGCAAGGGCAGGAGTGCCTCCGAGTTATTGATCAAACAATAACTTGTCCGTTTCATAAAGATTGTACACTCAAAACATATATTAGTGCTTTTGTCTTATTCTTCTCGAAAACAGCTTTGTAGCTCGAATAGATAAATTTAAAGTCCCCAGTGTAGACAATTGGTTAACTATGCTTCAAACAATCCAATGATAATTAGCTTATTTTTAATAAAATTAGTGCAAAGGTGCAAAGGTGACGTTTTTAGACAACTGCAAACACACTTATATTAACCTTTTTGTAAGCGAGACCTAAGATAAAGCATTTTGAACATAAATGTTCACAATTCTTATATACAGTTAAGGTCTCAAGAGTACGCGGCAGGGGTTAGGTTCCGTGTACCCCCCGTGTAAGCGCGAATTTGCGTAATTCGTGGTTCACCTATATGGGTGTAGTACATAAAATGTAAGAGTGTATATTTAATGTACATAAATGTACATAAATGTTTAACAAAGTACAGTAAACGATTCACTAATCATCGTTAGCATCCGAATCAGATAGAACACGAGATATTTATTTCTGACTCGTTTCTTGCACGGGCGATAGAGTTACACGCCGTCAAATAGATCGTTTGCGTGATGGCGGGTGGTGAGATTTGACTCGTTTCCCAACCCATACTTGTAGTGAAAGTACGAGTCACAAGTGTAAGTATGAATCAGGGTCGGTCGCGTATGAGCGGGGTCCGCATACTCTTAGCCCATGTACTCTGAGACCTTACTGTACTCGGTAAGGTAGAATACATGTGTAGTGATGTAAAATAGATCACTACGGCCCGTAGCGCTGAGTGCAGTATAACAAGGAAATATGGGGACAGTAGTAAACAGACCGTGCAGTACCATAGTGCGTCAATGGGGGCGTGCTACCGGCTGCTCGCAGAAAGAGGCAAAGGAGCCCTACCGACAGAATAGGGAATAGCAGCCACTACGCCAGCGCAGCAAGTAATTGCCACATAATGGGTCACGAGGGACCGTGATGAGGGCTGCTGGTGGAGAGGGGATGCGAGGACGAGTCACCCCGGCTCCGGGTGAAGCGCGTGATGGGCCGGGGGGAGGGGTAGGGGGAACAGGTGACTGAGAGGACACGGGTAGTGTAGCCGAGAAGCTTCTGGAGAGTTCCTGAGGGGGGCGTGGTTAAGGGCGGAGCCGGGCAGGTAGCATGTACGAGGTTGTCGGGAACCTTCGGGAACATTCGAGAAGGGGGGCGTGGCCGAGGGTGGAGCCAGATCGCACCGAGATGGATAAAAGGGGAGCCTCGATCGCATATCGGGGCTGTCCGTGGGTGAAGTGGAACCGAGGTGCTACGTCTACGTCTTCGTCTCTGTCTTCGACATCGTGGGTCAGACAGCACGTGGCTGCTCTGACCCAATTGTAGTTATCCCGTATAGGAAGGAGATAGGAGTATTCTAGTCCCCGTGGGTAACAGGAGTGAGAGACAGGCGTGTTAGTCCCGTGTGTAACGGTGTCGTGTAAAGTGTAGAATAAACGACGTTGTTGCCGCCTCCTAACGGTGTCTCTGAAATGATTCACCACGCGTTTCATTGTGCCCTTACCAGCGTTTCCAGCAGCAACCCCACGAAACATGTCGCCTGAAATTCGGCCCTTATGCAATGTTGGTAAGGGAACAGAACTCGACCCTGAAAAGAAGCAAACGTGTAACAGTATGTTAGGACAACCGTGAAATATGGAGTGCGATTCAAAACATGAATAATAAGCGAAGCACCGGTTAAGATTGTGTCTTTTTTGGGAAGATAGCCATACAAGTCATGGTTAGTAGCGCACATTGTTATACAATGGCTACTTGTAACTCATATTTATCTTACTTCATTGGTAACATGCCATTGCTAACACATGACAATACGTCAATGCAGTGCAGAGTCTACATGTTGCAATACATGTTACACAACAATATTTAGAATGTTACAAACTAGCTCTACTATTTATAACACTGTATGATACAGTAATGCAGGGTAATGATAATGATGATTACAAGGTTGATGACATTTAAAAGTTATCTAGGCCATTATTCATTGCCGGACCTAACCACATTCCTATGGCAGGGTTAGATGATTCTTAATACAAGTATTGTTGACCTCCCACCAATGTGGCAATTCAATGTTTTATGGCCAGTAAGTCTGTCTTTAATGGTAATGAACTAGTAGTCTTACACACCTGTTTGTACTTCTCCCACCACTAATGATGACGGTGCTAAAAGTGGTTGTGCGTTAGGCAGATTCAGAAATGCTTGTGTAGCAACAGGAATAATTCTAGTGCTCTATTAACTGAAGGCCAAGGTGGGGGGACAGATACTGCTCATGCAATGTATGGAAGAGGCTGTAATTGAGGTGACAGTACTAGTAACAGTAGTGGTAATAATAGTAACACTGTATCGGAGCGTGACCAAGAGACGCTCTCTGCTTGTAAGGTGACAATAACAACTGTGATAAGTGATAATGAGACTGCATAGTTGAAGTGCTTTTAGTTATATATTGCCTATTGCTATTAATAAAGTGATATTAAGAGTAATACGCAATACATTAATCCAAGGTAATACTCTGCTAACGTTGAGGTACCACCAGTTGTAGTTGGAGGCTTGCCCTGCCCCCTTTTCTCTCCGCCTGATGACTACCGCTTGTGTTGCGATCGAAACGTCGCGAGTTTGTTTTTTTATTCATTTTATATTTTTTTATTTTATAATTTTCTATCTACGTGACTTTACCGAAAGAACCACAGAATATGAATTCCTGCAGTCACGCAAGTTGAAGTCCAAATTTATACCATTAATACTGCAGAGGACAGAAATAAATACAAACATCGATGGACGTTATTGATAACCAGGTGAGAGCCCCCTCGAACAAAGACTCTTTGGGGAGCGAGACCAACAATTGTATGATAGGAGTTAGAATATTAAGAGTAACATGATAGAGTTACATAAATGTAGAACAAATAATAGGCATACCATTCTACATTAAGCCAGGGGTGGGTCTCTGCTGACGTGCCAATGATTAATTATAATCATAACAAGAAGCAATAATATTGCTGGAGGTTAACCACTGCGAGACACTGCTGAAGAGACACACTAGCTAGAATAATGTGATCATAAGAGCAATCAACAATACAAGAAGCAACAATAGCATCAAGGGCAATGTCAATATGCCATCGAGGGTATATGCTGTTTGCTTTGATAAAGTCTTCGCCACATTCCATAGTTGCTTTACAAACACCTGACGTTCAATGTTGTAGCAAATTAAACCAAAGGTAGGTCCTTTTGATAACTACCAAGTACTTTTAATGTACACATCACAATGATAGTAATACATGGAAACAACAGCAAATAACAGCACCGATTAGCATGGTTGGCTACGAACGGTGCTAAAGAAGTTCAACACACATACATACTTTTAAAACTTTAAGCCATATTTTAGCGATATGAATGTAAGTTTTAGCTAAACAGTAAAAAAAATACCCAATTGTTAGCACTGTAGAAAAATAATTGATGTTAGAATACTAGTGCAGTATTCAAAGTTTAATACCAATTATAATAAACTATCATCAAAAACAATAACGCTGTACAGTCCCCAAGGCCATGTTACAACTCTTCTGGCAAAGTAATGTTAATGTAGTTCTATACCAATATAAAATAATCGTGAACATATACAACTGTAAAAGGAACACCCTGGATGTAAATCATAAACATCATCAATGTTAATAATGTACTGTAGTTTAAAGTGGTAACATTAATGAGATAAGAGCCAGTTGTACCAATGTACTTGGACCGCATTAATCCATGGTATAACTAAATACCGTAGTCAAGTTAAATTAATCTAGTTACACGATCTAGCGGTAATGATGCTAAATAAGACATCGTTCAGTGGTGCTGGTTGTGAAACGAATGTACTCCACTTACTATAGAAACAAGTTATAATACACGATAACACGATCAATGCGAAACGCTTTATCCAACGCCCAAGGGCGTGAATACACTTTTTTTTAAACAAATACAGGCCTTGTAGTAGCTTTACTACACTAAGCCACGGCGAGTCTGCGCTCGTTGATGTACTTACAGACGAAACTTAACAAATTATTGCATTCAAAGACGGCGAAGGAATTCTATCGCTCCGCGCCGAGGCCCAATCTCAAACGGCGAAGCCTGCGGCTCGCCTAACGGCGGCCGCCGCCTCTCGCCGCGATGCGACCCCCATCACCTGCTGGCGCCGGTCGCTCCCGATCCAGCGCTGTCCCTGCCTCTCGCTTCTAAATCACCCGATCAACAGCAACACATAACGACGACAACGATGATGAAACAACCAGATCGGCGTCGATCCGACGCGAGCAGACGACGGGCTGCGAGCGGCAAACGCGGAGGTGGCAACGGCGGCGACTTCCGCGGTTGACGCGCGGTGGTGGGCGGGGGGTGGTGACGCGCGTGCGGTCACTGCCCACGTGCCCGTCGATCGATGAGACGTCGATGGAGGAGTCGTCGATGGAGGAGTCGTCGATCGATGAGTCGTCGATCGATGAGTCGTCGATCGATGAGTCGTCGATCGATGAGTTTATGATGAAGCGTCGATCGATGAGTCAATCGATGAGTCGTCGATCGGTGAGTCGTCGATTGGTGAGTCGTCGATCGACGAGTCGTCCGTGAGTCGTCGATGGAGGAGTCGTCGATCGGTGAGTCGTCGATCGATGAAGAAGTACCCACACTTTACCCCACCTGACGTGGGACGCGAGTGTGGGTCACTGTCCACGTGCCCGTCGATCGATGAGTCGTCAATCGATGAGGATGTACCCACACTTTACCCCACCTGACGTGGGACGCGAGAGCGCGTGCTCGGCACCAGCCGCATGCCCATCGATGGGTGATTCGTCAATCGATGAGGATGTACCCACACTTTACCCCACCTGACGTGGGACGCGAGAGCGCGTGCTCGGCACCAGCCGCATGCCCATCGATGGGTGTGATTCGTCAATCGATGAGGATGTACCCACACTTTACCCCACCGAACGTGACCTGCCCATCGGGAGATGGAATCTTAATCAAGTCCAGCGCGTGCTCACAATTTGCACCACCACAGTAGCCAACCTTCGTTTGTAAGGTACAATTATTGGGGGGTTTTTAACGGTATGCTTGCTAGACATTGTGATATGCACGACAAACCGGTAATAGTTTTTACCGTTTTTGTTTTTCATGCGGTTATCCATAGGACTAGGATATGCATAGGACAACCACCAGCTGTAGACTCCCCACAAAGTAGTAAGCATTTTATAGACCCCAGAAGTATGATGGACTGAGCTAATCCCCAATCCAGGATTTTAACTTTCAACGTTCTGATTGCAAGCTGCTTGCTCTACTACTGATTCATCAAGGCGATTATTAATTATTGCAATTATGAGTCCAGGCTTAACAGTGCATTGTTAATACTTAATTTACAAGTCATAGAAACCGTACAATAATTCATTCGTCTTTTATTTGTCCATTAATTTCCAGTTCATCATTTGATGACAATTCCACATTCTGTAATACATTTCGAGTGCCGTATTAATAATTCGTCCAACACGAGTCAACCATTATTCAACAATACATAATTTACCGATATTCTTTGACTATTCATTTGTCCATTATCTTATTATCCTTCAAAAGTGGAGAATTCATCGCGCATATTGATATCAGGATCAAGAACCGCATCAAGGCCGAAGACATTGATGCAACCACCACCGACACCATGCCTCGCCAACGCTTTCTCCCCTCTGTCAGAACAGGTATGTTAAACAAAGAGTATGTTGAACGTCTTTCGCACCGTACATAGCCGACCGTGCAAATCAGAGGTGTGGGTGCAGCTGCTGCACCTTCAGTCTCCCACCATCTATCCGCTCTCAGATCTTGCCTTTGGTCGCCAGAATCGTGGAGACCACTCCCAACTCACCAATTGGGGCGCAATCAATTGGTTATCATCGGTACACAATAATCAATACATTTGGTACACGTATTCGGTTCAATCGTGCACAATTCAACATAAGGCCACCTTTCTTAAAACCACCTCGTCCACGATTAACCGTCATCGGTGAATGATTTTTCGGCAAGTGCCAACGCACCTGGTCATGCATTTGCACCACTGACATTTTTTTGTTACGAGAGGTTTACTGCTTACTTTGTTAACTACAGGCATGAGAAAGACGCACTGAAGTCAAGATATCAAGGCAAGACGAAATAGGACAGCAAAGTAATTTCACTGGGTGGAATTCATAGCACAAGTTGTGCATTATATTATTGGTTCTTTCGGTAAAGTCACAAAGGGAAACAATAAATAATAAATATATATATATGATTGCTTGTGTTGCAGTCGAAACGTCGTGAGAATTTTATTGTTTTATATTTTTATTATTTTATTGTTTCCCTTATACGTGACTTTACCGAAAGAACCAAGAATATGAATCCCTGCAGTCACGAAAGCTTTAAATCAAAAGTTGTGCATTCTTATATTTTACCAATGGTCTCATTCCAATAAGTGCCGTTATTCTAAATATGACTACAGTATACAAACTCCACTCATTAATTGTACGATTATATTCTGGTTATTACTTTTGCACGGTTATATTGTTTGGGCAAAAGTGGCACCATCATTCTATATGGCACCATAATGTTCGTTTCACAAATGCCTATCCAATATTTATACAGAACCTTTTAAAATCAATGCAATCTTTATTATGCTTTAATGCCTGCGAATGCTTAGCTAATATATGCCTTCTATTATATGTTTATCATTTTATGTATTATAGTAGTGCACTTAAATTATAACTCAGAGTTTAAGGCAGAATGCATTTCACTGTGATTTTTTTTCTAGGCACAAAACCACTACAACATAATGCTCAATTTTTACGAAAAGCAAGTTTTGCATATATCCAGCTGATTGTGTAATAAAGTGTTAAAAGTTAGGTTATGTTTTTCATGAATGCCGTTACCATGTTTCATGTTTTAAAATTAACTATAAATACTACCATATAACTTCTACAGAGCTCGTTACATTTATGTATTGCTTTCAGTTTTTGTAGACAGTATTGCAAATCCTTCATGTTACAGTTCACCTAACAATATTGGGATGGATTCATTAAAATTATAATAACGTTTAAAAAATATATATATGCTGTTTACAGAAAAGCATTGCAAATCACAAAATGCATGACACTACATTAATATATATTTTTGGCGGAGCAGTAGTGTACATTCATTCAAATAATAATCATAATAAGAATAATCAGGACCACTTAATTCAAAATGTTTAAAATATGTTAAAGGAGAAATGTAAACGAGGCAACAAACTGTAATATTAGTAAATACTTATACACAAAGGTATTATCAGTTATATCCAGGGTTATGTTCAATGGTTGCACAACATGGCAACAGCTGTGTTTATGCTACACAAGAGTACAGTCTAAATAGCTTAGTGCGGGCTAATTCCATGTGACATGATGATCTAAGCACGGTTATTATGTCGCAGTTTCATGAGGAGTAGATACCAAGGGGAGGCATAAGAAGCAGAGGAAGACAGCGGAAGAGATGGCAAAATGAAAATCGCAATTTGGAGGACACTACTGAATTTTTTACTCAGCAACGGAAGGAATAGAAAACATTAAGGAAGTCTTTTGCCCAGCGGTGGGAAGTTATAGACTGACAACAACAAAAAATAAACCCATAAAGCCCAGGGGTCACATTTTATAGTCAACTGACCAGAGGATTAGTTAGTCAGATCGTTATACTGGTAGGAACCTCCTGGTTACACCAGCCCACAGGGGATTATTGTGTCCGTCCGTCCATCGTGCATCCAAAAATGGGAAGGGTGGGGCTGGGTGGAGAGGGGAGGGTGGGGAGGGGCTGGGTGTGGAGGAAGGGGCTGGGTAGGGAACGGAGGGTGGGGAGGGTGGGGCTGGGTGGGGAGGGTGGGGCTGGGTGGGGAGGGTGGGGCTGGGTGGGGAGGGGAGGGTGGGGAGGGGCTGGGTGGGGAGGGTGGGGAGGGGCTGGGTGGGAGGGGTGAGGCTGGGTGGGGAGGGGCTGGTCACCCCGTGGTGCCCTTATAAAACTCAACGTTTAACCTACTCACGCCGGCTTGTGTCCGCCCTCACAGTCGGGCATATTTGCGGAACACACCACGTGGTGCCGCCGTTGACCCTGGCCATTGACCGAGCAACCCAACGTTCCTACCAGCTCCCTCCGCAGGAGAATGTGTTACTGTACCTTGGAGATAACGCCCATGCACCTGGATCAGAGAGAGCTTATACCCTCACATTCAGCTGCGACGAGACTCGTAACCTGCACGTGTGCCCAATCTCATCAGATCACAGAAGCGAAGCAGGTATTAGCCTGGTTAGTACTGCACTTGAGTGGAAGACTGCCTAGGAATGCCAGTGGCATGTACGCTCGGGCGAGCAGGTGACCTGGAGGTGGCAATTCTTGAATATAGCTGTGCGGTGCTTTGAGTGAAGCCTCCTCGTGCGCGTGAACTTCATCTGGGGGTCTCCTGTCGTCCCACACCTTTGTGGAAGTGGACACAAAAACAAGTGTCGGCTTCAGATTAAGTGAGACTTTCCTTGACAAATAAAGTTAACTCTCGAACATCTCTTGACGGATTCTCTGGACTGCAGATTTAAAAAAAGAGAAAATGTGGCGTTATTGCACTCACTCTCCCCCTTTCATTTCCCAATGCTCCACTGGTTCTATCATTACACTATATAACACGATTTTTGTCCCTGGGTAGTAAGTGTTATTTTTTAAATTTTGATTTAAAGCTTTCGTGACTGCAGTAATTCATATTCTTAGCTCTTTCGGTAAAGTCACGTTGAAGGGAAACAATAAAATAACAATATATAAAACAATAAAAAAATTCTCACGACGTTTCGACCATAACATACCTGATGACGACCGTTTGTGTTATGGTCGAAACGTCGTGAGAATTTTTATTGTTTTATATATATTTTATTATGTTATTGTTTCCCTTCAACGTGACTGTACCGAAAGAGCTAAGAATATGTTATTTTTTAATTGCTTATGCCTAAAAAGTATAGAAAATGGCTATTATCCCCCACAAACTTTGCTTTTGTGACCAGGACTTTATGTGAAGGAATGACACAAATGCACACCACGTGTTCTCATTGAAAATAGGTAAATTTCGAAATATCACTGTCCTGGTCACAAAAGCAAAGTTTGTGGGGAATAGTAATAACAATAATAGCCATTTTCTGTACTTTTGAGGCATAAGCAATTAGGAAATAACACTACCCAGGGAAAAAAAAATTGTTACACAGTGTTATTAATGGAGTGGATTATTAACTTTGCTCTTGTGTCCTGGTCACAAAAGCAAAGTTTGTGGGGAATAATAATCTCCATTTTCTGTACTTTTTTTTGTTACACGGTGTTATTAGCAGTTGCTAACCCTTGACTCAGTGACTGCTTTAATGAATAAAAACAACAACACGTCCACTTCCACCTCTTCACCCCCATTATGCTTCAGTAACAACATTTTAATAAGATGTTGCAGTCTATTTTACGTCTGATTTGAATCATCCATGTTTTATACTCTTTGGTTTTTTCGGTAAAGTAACGTAGGTAAACAATAAATAAAATCCTATTCTCATATTTTGGTACTGGCAAAGGAGGTCCCATAATGTAAATGCTTAAAATCGAGCTCTCAATACTCTGATAGTGTGCTGTTTTTGAGTTGTACGCCTTTTGGCGTCTTCTGGTCCAACACCAATGGAGACTAGGCTCTAAGAAAAGCCGTCTCGGGTGTGGACCAATCAATTTCAAGGACAGTGCATATTATTATCAGAGTTGTCTCTTTTTGTTTGCATTTTGACTGCTTGTGTTGTGGTTATTGCAAACATGATCCCTTGTTTTGGTGCCAGATAAAAGGGTAAAAACCTATTACTATATCTTGCTACTGGCAAAGGAGGTCTCATAATGTAACTGTGATTTAATTTAGTTAATTTAATTGAATTGTTTTTATTTATTTATTTTCTCACTTTTTAATTTATTGTTTACCTACGTGACTTTACTGAAAAAAACAAAGAGTATGAATCCTTGCAGTCACGAAAGCTTCAAATCTAGACATCCGTGTTTTGTTTAATCCACGCTATACCCCTCCCCCTTCTACCAGAAGTCTATTTTTGTCTCAACCATGCTGTGTTCGACACCACACTGGAGGTCACAGCACTGAGCCCATTCTTTACATGCACTGCTCAACTTGGGAATTCCCTTCCCACCCATTGTCTCTTTTCCCAAATCCATATAACCTTTTGTCGATCTCAAGAAACGTGTGAACGAGTATCTATTACACCTTTGCTCATGCTGTTTGTTGGCGGCTCTTTTGGTTAATTCGAGCGTTTAGGCCAGTTTTTGGGTTAGATCGCAGACAATTAGTAGGGGTTGTCGCGTAAACAGAACATGCCAATTCATCGCTAGTACAGCACACCGGTGTGTTGGAGAGAAAATCCACAACATTTACAATCTGAGTAGAACATTTACAATTGTTTAACGACACATTCATTTTTACGCAATCTAACCCCCAAAAAGCTATGTTATGGATGATATAGGTCGCGGAAGCCTAGGTGTTAAACTGTGATACAAACACAAATCCCGGATAATCGAGATATGACTGTACCATGATTTATCGTTGTTATTTTCCACGAAACATGAGTGCAAGCAAATTCATATCGGGTGGGTAGACAGATTGGCCATGACACCTCTTCAGTAGTAGCCACGAGGATTGCCACCTCTGTGATTCAAAAACCAGTACTCATCATGGGAAGGGGAATATCTCACGTTATAGTAAGATGGGAGAATTATGGGTAAATGCATTGTCTCGAGTGGTGCATTCAGGGAATTATATCAGCCAAAGTTATCTGGGGCCGAACTTTGCAAACTATTTCCTCCCTCTGGTGGGCCCTAGAAAATATTCCATGGGAAATTAAGACCCGGGCGTGTTATCATAACCAACAAAAAGCTGGACTTCATGTCTCAAGAAGACATATGGAAATCTCAAGACAGCGATGTCAAAAAAGAGGACTATCTTGGGGAAAAAAAAACAGGATCGGGGGTGGCAACCCTCGTCGTGGCCATCCAACGTCATTCCTCACGCATAGCAAGCCGGCGGTCATCTACATCAACCCATGCTCCTCTTCCTCCCCATTGTTTGGGTCTGGTTGTTGGATCTGGGGCCTTGTGCAGAGGCATATGGGCGCAATGACGGCGTTGGGCATGGAGCGCAGGGAGCGCAGCGCCAGCAGGCAGCAGCCGCGCAGCAGGGTGGGCAGGCCGTAGAAGGGCCGCCCCACGGCCACCCCGACGGCCGCGCCAGCCTCGGCGCCGGCGGCCCCGGCCGCCGTGCCTCCGGGCCGCCGGAGGAACCAGGCGACCGTGGGCAGGATGGGCCCAGCGAGCACCAGCGTGTCCAGTAGGGCGCTGCCGCTCCAGTAGCTGGGCTCGGGTGCCTCCGCATGCGGGCAATCCTCGGCTGCAAGCGGAATATGAGCAGAGCATGGGGGAGGGGGGGGGGGGGCACAACACGCTGATCCACGTGGCCAGTAACAAACAACACCATCACCGTTTAATGCGTAGGCTTTTGTGACTAATAATATTCAAAATAAAGGTTTTTTTGGATTAGATCGCGTAAATATAAATGTGTCGTTAACCGTGCCACCACCCGACAAAGTAAATTCTGGCAAATCGCCTGATGAAGCTGGTGGTAATCACCAGCGAAACATTGTACTCAAATTGTAAATGTTGTGGATTTTCTCTCCAACACACCGGTCTGAGGAAGTATTAACGAATTGGCATGTTCTGTTTACGTGACAACCCCTACTAATTGGCTGCATCGGGTGGTGACGGGTTAACGACACATTCATATTTACACGATCTAACCCAAAAAAACCTTTACTATGAGCACTAGCACAGTTTAAAAAAAATGAAAAAGTTAATGGGATGCCTCAATTTACCAATGTCAAAAGAACTTGGGCAAATAGACAACCGAGAGGGTGTTTCCACAGTCGAGCAGTGTGAGGAATTGAAGCAGAAAGAGGAGTGCATTTTACACTCAGGCTTTCGGACTTCCTGGTTCTTGTCTAAGAGTTGCTCCGCGTGATTTTACGTGAAACGTCGTACCCAATTGCTATTTTCGGTTGCGACAATTGGTCATTAACTCCCTGGGTGAGCTGAAACAATAATCTTTTTTAGACGGAATAATTAAATTCGTTTTGGCTCAGTCGGGTGGTGGAGAGTTCGTATGACAGAGATTTGTCCTGATCATTACATGACCTAACTCATAGTTATATGTATGCATTATTTATTTAAAAAAATATGTCAACAATTACTGAGTACAGCTGTAAAAAAACACATGAAAATGGCACGGAGACTAATAACAAGTAAATACACTGCAAGTCCTTTGCAGAAAAACAAAAAAATGCAGACATCCTTACCAGCTTCCTCAGCCAATTCAACAAGGCTCTGAAGGCTGCTGTTAGAATGGCTGGTTACCAAGCAGCCAATCGCAGCGTTGTTATTGTTGATGCCCACTGGCTCGGCCTGTAAGCCGCTCTGAAAATTATCCGAGGTCAAACAATTGCAGCACTCCACAGAGGCAGCGGCTGGGCTGGCAGCGGTTTGGCCCATCCGTGCATCTGCACCTGAAGCAGTTGTCTCCACAGTTGACCTATCAGACACCTGCACCACCGTTTCGGGGTAGCAAGCACCACAGTCAGACTTTGCGTCGAATGAGCCTCGCTCTTCCGAGGTCGGGGACGACAGCGACTTATGCATTTCTCGATTGCATTGAAACTGCAACAACTCTATGGTGCTTTCCCTGAGTTCATCTTCTACACGTTCGCCATCGGCTATGGAAGATGCATTCGCCTGCGACCATTTGTGCAGCTGCGAGAGGATCGGGCTGCAGGCCTGAGATTTGAGCGCCCTCGGGTCGGGCGCGTTTTCACCCGTGACCTCGTCCGTCTGCACGCCCTCCTCCTTGCTGATCCTCCTGACCCTGTCCACGTCCACTTGGGAGAAAGTCAGAACGTTCTCTTCCACCGGACTCGTGATGATCAGCTTCAGCAGCGAGTGCTGAGACTGCGTCTTTGGCAGGCCCTCGGCCGACTGCACGTGAATGGACAAGGTCGGCGGTTTGGAGTCACTGAGCATAAGGCTCAGGCAATCCTTGGACGCGTCCCGCGAAATGCCGGGGCGGACGTTGTCGTTGCACGCGTCCACGGTTGCGCCATTTTCTTTGGTTGCGTGTTTTTCCAACGTCCCCTTTTCCGCCTCGGCGTCCGTGTCCGTGTCCACGCCGTCGGAGCTCTCGCCTTCATCCTCGGAGCCCTTCGTGAACGCGGAGCTGCGGGTGGCCGACTCTGGCGGCGACGAACCCTCCTCCTGGCCCTCCCCGGCTACGCCATTCTCCGCCGCCTCCTTGCGCTTGAGCAGAGCCTCCAGCTTCTTGTTTTGGATGTTAATGTCGATAAAGTACTTCTGCACGCCCTTGCCCCCGTCAGGCTCCTTGTCCACCAGCATGTTCTTCATCGTGTCGATGACCGACTTGAGCTGCTTAATCTCCTTCTTGGCCTCCTTGAGGGACAGCTGGGCTTCCAGACGCTGGTACTCCTCCTCCACCCAGTCCTCTTGCATCTGGCCCAGCTTGAGGCGCAGCTCCTCCATTTCGCCCTCCCTGCGAGCAAGCACAACGGCGGCCAACATTCACGGCCACATTCGCCGGCCTCTTCTCCTGAGCGATTCCCACGGCAGAGCCGCCTCCAATTAGAATGGCAGCGCCTCCGATTAGCATGGTTGGCTACGTGTGGTACGAAAGAAGTTCAGCATGCATACGTACATATACAGGTTGCTTCAAAAACATGTTAACACTTTTAAGAGTTTGCAACAATACCACAAGAAATGTGCTGCTGCCTCCGGGCTCTGGAGACCACCTGGAGAAGATTCCAGCCACGTGTTGACAATGATGGTGAACAAGTGGAGACTCTTTGACTTTTTGAGGCTATAAACATTACAATTGTTATCATGTTACAGTCTATAATCCGTTCTTTTCCATTTAAAACGATAGTCCCATGTAAGTGTTAACATCTTTTTAAGCACCCCGCAATTGTTTGATCACGCCGCCGCTGGCATTGGAGCGTGATAAAACACACCCGGTGTGCCGAAGTAGCAAGTAATTGGCACGTTTTGTTTACGTGACGAACCTTACCAATTGGCCGTGTCGGGTGGCAGCGGGTTAAAGACACGTTAAGAGTCACGCGGTCGAACCCAAAAATAAAAACCTTTGTCGCGAATAACATTTGGTCACGATAGCCCGACGCGTCAAACCTACTAGCGTAGGGGCCCTCTGCTCTAGGGTGCTCTGGAGAGCCCCTCGAGTGGAGGCCCTATTGGCCAGTGGTGACGCGAAAAAGAAACCGCGGGGCTGCACGTTTACCGTTCACGAGCGCGCATTGCGATTGGACGCTCGTTTTGGGGTCAGGGCGTGTGGGGGTGGGGGGTTACGTCACACTGCCCTCTCACCTCTCCTGCATGAGCCTCTGCGAGTCCTTCAGCTTGGCCCGCAGGTGCCTGATGGCCACCTCCTTCTGCTGGAGCGGCGTGAGGTACGGCTCGGAGGGCGCTCTCATCCCAGACGCCTCCACGGAGGCGGCTGGCTTGGATCTCCTGCAAAGCGAAACGTTCGCGTTGTTGCACGTACGTTAGTGGCATAACCGGTGTCGGGGGGCAGGGGGTGCCTTGGCCCCCCCACCCCCTCCGCCCTGGTGGCCAAAGCTACGAGTTGGTGGGGCGCCCTTGGCAACCACCATGAGATATGTTTTGAACAGCTTAGTGTTGGAAGTAACACGGTTTTTGTTTACCGTAAAAAAAAGAACATTGGACGTAGAACTCCGTTTCGGGGATGTTTATTTTATTAGACACGCGTCAATTATATGGCAAAGAGGTAACTACGGAGCTGCGGTGGCTGCATTTTGCGAAGACGGAGCTCCCCTACAGCGTTACATGTTCGAGACCGTGAGCGTAACGAAAATGTGATTAGGCGAGAGGAGCCGCGATATAGAATAACCTGGGTGCGAGCGTGCGAGACAAATCAAATATTGGGGCCTCACCTGACCAATTGCCGCACCCCCTGATCTGATAATGTCGTCACACAACTTATGTATGTATGTTGAACTTTTTTCGCACCGTACGTGGCCAAATGTGCTAATCGGAGGTGCAGGGAAAAGACAACAAACTAAATACAAAACGCAGTTCTCAAGAAATTAGTTTTCAATCTAGATTTAAAAGTGCGTGGCTCCAGTGGCTTCCTAATATCGGACAGAAGAGCGTTCCAGACGGCCTCAGAAGCGCATCTGAAAGCGCGCGATGCGGTGACTGTTCTTCTTGCCACGGTGCGTTCCCAGTAGTGATCAGTAGGATTCAATTGTACAAGGGAGACTCTAAAGGTGATGCTTCACATTTTTTCTGAGGAGCTTTTCATCAAACCAACACAAAATGATTTGAGTTGACCTCTCCGATTATTTAAGTAACCGATTATTCTACCTCTGTTATCACGTGTGTGCCGCTGGATGGGAGGTGAAGCGGGGGATGGGGATGCTTGGTCATGTCATTCCGCATCATCAGCCATCAGCCGCGTCACGCTGGCTGTGGATTGTAGGGGGTTTCCTACCTTCGGTAGGCAGGTTGTCAGGGCAGCCACCATTTTTAAAAGTGATCAACCACAACTAACGCAGTCGATTACAGCGTTTAGCCAATTAATCAAGTGAGCCGGTCATGTTATTAATTCATGTGAATGTCATGTCATGGACATGTGTGTGGCAAAATCCCTCCTCCCAAAAAATGGGAGGCCACACACAAGCCTGATAACATCAGAGGCCATTGTACAACATGAGCAGTATTCGCTACCCCACCCACCAGAGCCCAGATCTGGCACCTTCACACTTTAATCTGTTTCAGGTCCCTTGAAGGATGGTGGGTTGGCTGTGTGGGTGGGCATCGTTTTGACAACTACACTGCTTGAAGCTCTGTCGTCCCAACAGGTCTGTCCCTTTCACCTGAAGAAGACCACTTGTGTTGTGGCCGAAACGTCGTGAGAATTTGATTGTTTTATTTTATTATTTTATTCTCATTCTACGTGACTTTACCGAAAGAACCAAAGAAGAACTACACTGCTGTACAGGATGCTATTTGTAAATGGCTCCGCGATTCAGATGAATCGTTTTACCGTGATGGAATGCTCGCACCTGGTTCCAGGTTGGCGCAAGTGCATAGACTGTGTTTAAACCAAGCCAAACATTCATTACATTGCCATGGATTCATATTGAGCCAGGTACACTAGCACAGTGCAGCACTATGATAACTCAGTGGAGGCTGGATTAAAGCACATCTTATATAGGCACAGCTCTGATGTGCTCGATGCATGCTTACATTACACTGGGGTGAGGAGAGGCAAATGGCAACTTCGACACGCTACTTCGAACATAAGCACAGCTGGCCTTCCTGCAAAGGGTGTGTTTTTTTATCTATTCTCTCCTGTACTGTACCGTATTGTATGTCTCTTATCAAAGCACCCTGGGAAACGGATGTATTGAGACGCTCAGTAAAATCAAAGTAGTATCATTGCGATATAATGACCGCAGGGACTCCATTACTTACGAACACTCGACTTACGAACTTTCAGAGATACGAACAAACCTGTCCGTATGTCTGGTTGCCTGTTCGGACCGAAAGTCGTGAGTTCAACCGCCGCACAATAGATGGCGTTGGTGCCATCTACATCTGAAGATCGTGAAGGACCTGTGACATCTACATCTACAGATGATACAACTTTTAAAGCCATTCCCCGTGTTTAGTGTGCATGCCGTACAACATGTTTGGAGTCGACAGGAGTGAAGTTGGACTTACGAACAAATCGACTTACGAACAGATCTCTGGAATTTAACTTGTTCGTCGGTAGAGGAGACCCTGTACAATAAGCCTGCGTCTGTGCATTCTTGGCATCGTCTGTACTTGCATCATCCACTTATTTTCCCCCACCTCTTGTTGTGCCGCTCTCCAATCTGTGGAACGCTTTGCCCGGTGCTGTTCACAATTCGGAGACTAAGGGCGGTGTGGTCTATACCCCCCGGCCTGAATACCAAGAGTTTATTCTCTCTTGCTTTCAGTTCTCTAAATCAGCTCCAACGCTTCTTTGTTATTCCATCGCTTGACCAGCCGTGTATTTAGTTATTTCTGCGATGTGCAGCGCTCTGAGTGCCTTGCACGTAGGCACTCCGTAAATACAATTTTTGTATTATCGCCAACGGTTTAAACATTTTTAACTATGATGATGGCGGCCTTGTCTTGTATAAGTTCTCGTTAGCTGTACCACTGAGCCCTTCATGTTGGCTTGTGCTAAGGCTCTTTGTCGGGTAGCCATTGCGATGAAACCCAAGACTCCAGACTGTAGTCTCGTAATGGGCGGATTCTAACAATCCCCGGCAATCTCAGCCATTTTTGTTTGTACATCTGATAAGGTCAATTAACCCCAGGGATTTGGAACCCAATCAATACAATAGGTCACCTTCCATCACTCAGGACAATGCATTCACCGTGTAGTTTTCCCTTCTACTGGTATTGTGAAATATTCTTATTCCCATGTATATGTCCTGCTTGTTTTGTATTTCAGAGTTAGCAACCCGAGTGGTGAGTCATATTTTAAGCAGTGGGCCTCCCCGAGATTCGACTCAACCTTCATCAAAGGCGCTCCATAAATATAAAATAAGAGGATAAAAAACGAGTACCTGGTGCAAAAAAAGACGAAGGCAAGCCGTGCGTGGTGGTGCTGGCAACACGTAACTTAGCAATCGCACACAAGGGCCCCGTTTGCACCACCAAAACAAATCTAAACGGCAAATTCAATCCATCAGCATCCGTCTGTCGAAGGCTAAAAGGTGGGGGGGGGGGGGGGGTGGTGCAATCATTGTCTTCCGTTTACCTGTGTGTGGGGCTGCCCTCTCCAGCCCGGCCGTAGGAGAAGTTGCTCGTGCAGCCATGGGACGGTGTCCCCGAGTAGGGTTTAGGTTGGGCGGCGGTAGCACCGCCGCCGCCACCGCTGCTGCTGTGGAAGGGCGCCCTCTTCCCCGGAGACAGGAGGGGCTCCGGCGTGGCCTGCCCAGAGCCGGTCGGCGTCACCACCGAGAAGAGGGCGCTGCGACTCTGCGCACACGACCTGCGCGCCGCACGTGCAGACCGCGCCGACCACCATTCAGAGTTGGGGGGGGGGGGTTGTGACTATTCACCGCCAAATCGCACGTCGTGGCCCCCATCCACTGCAGTATTTTTTTGAAAGAGCACTTGTTACTCGCGCCATTCTATGCACTCGACCGGCGCGCCACGCGTACGGACCACGCGGCCAACAATTCATCGCTACCAGCGCAAAAAATACTGATAAGAGACTGATAATTGTGACAATTCACCCCCACATCGCACTTCCTGGCCCCTATCCCCTGCAGTAGTAATAATAAGTAATTAATGTTCGGAGCATTTGTTACTTGCACCAGTCTGAATGCACAAGGTGATCACGAAGGTGCTATGCTTGGCAGTAGTTTCCCAGTAAGGAGGGCATGTTGCTACGTGTAATCCCAATCGAGTAATTTGGAAACATTTCAAAGACGGTAATTGTGGACCATGACGCCAGCACAGAACGATCTATTTGTTTTGAATGCTTCATGGTTAACGAAACCCGCAGTAATAACCACGGCGGCCTGCCGGAGTCGAACCACGCACCTCCCTGAAGCATAGCAATTCATAGAAGGGGTCATGATTCTATCCAAGGTCATGATTCCATTCATTAATCATTCAAATGGATTATCTCACATTGCAGCAAGTGTAGATGGCTCGAGTTGTATGGCCACGTGAGCCCAGTGCGGACGTTACACATGCAAATCGATGCATTGCGAGCTCGGAGAATCAATATTGCCGCACGGATCGTTAGACCCCTCGAGTTACAAGAAGTGCTTGCATTGTGGTCGCAGACACACTGGGGCAGGGATCACACAGGGAAGGGGGTGCCACGGTGGCGAGATGTTTACTACCTCGCCTGGATTGTGGCTTCGACCCTGACACTGACGCGTGCATATTTGGAGTTTGCATGTTCTCTTCCGTGGGCGCGTCCATTTTTCTTCGGGCCCTCCGGTTTTTCTCTCCACATTTAGAATCAACATGCATTTAAAGTATTTTTGCTGCTATGAATGTCCACATGGGCCACGTCACCGAGCTATTATTTGTGGCCAGGTCGCTTCTGAAAAAGAGCTATGTAGCTCAGTGAGCCTTACCCGGTAAAATAAAAAAATATATAGTTGAAATCGTTTGTAGTTTATAAGGGAGATGCTTCACTGTGATTGTCTCCTTGCTCCGACAAACCAACGTAAAACTACAAAATTACATCCACATGTTCATTGTCACAGACTTCTCACAGCCGAAAAGTTACTTCTTTAAAGTATTGCTGAAAAAATGTTTAAGCCCAACAGTCATGAATGATACACTGCAATGTGGCACAGTAAGAACAGGGACAAGGAGTGTCCGATTTGAAAATGACCTTGCATCACACTGCAGAATCTGGCGGTGCAGAATGAATTACAATTTTAGTTGTGACATTGGTCGTACAAAGGTGTGAAATTACAAACGTTTCGCACGCATGAGTAAGAATTTTCAAATGTTTTGTTGTATTTTGCATACATTACGGAAGTACATTAAATTTTCTCTCAAGGATGGAAGCATTCATTTATATTTTCTGTAACCCGTTCTCACGATATGGCTAGCGGAAATTACGTGACGTTTTTTTGACGATTGATTTTCTTCCATTATATATATTTACGCGATCTAACCCAAACAAAAGTCTATTGTGGATGATATTGGTCGCGAAATCCTACGTGTTAAATGTATTTTCTTATTTACCCGAACACTTGAGGGTGGGGGGAAGGGGTGAAATGGGGAGACGGAGGGAAGTGGAGCTCAACCACCGTGCACAGTCTATCAAAATCATTATAATTAAAGGTGATTGGTGCTTAAGCTTTGTCACAGTTATCAGGCCCTGAAAGCTAATTTCCTCCATAATCGCACATTCACATCGCAGACAAAAACCACTCTCCATATTGGGTACATACAGTGCTTAATTTCAGTCGGAACAGTGCGGAACATTGTTCTAAGAATAATTTTGGCACCTGGTTACATTAAATCTAACCTTATGTCGTCCTTGTGATACTCCATAGAATTTATATAAACCTCATCATAGGATTATAGGAATATGGGGTAGAATAATAAGTTATGGATAGGTTCGGTGTATCTTGAGCTCGACTGGTAGTGCCTTAGACCAATAATCTCGACTCCAAGCCAGCATTGCAGCATTCCGGAAAATATCGAGGAAGAAATAAAAAAATTACGAAACTAAACACTGAGCTATACAGCTCTTTTTCAGAAGCGACCTGGTCACAAATGTATAGCAGCCAAATACTCTAAACGAGTGATTTCGATTCCAAATGTGGAGGGGAAAACCTGAGGACCCGGAGAAAAATCCACGCGACCGCAGGGAGAGAGACGCGCAAACTCCAAATACACAGCAGGCGCCAGGGTCGGGATCACATCCACGACCTCCTGCATAGCAGGCGAGGTAGTTGACATCTCCAAGCCACCGTAGGTGTCCACGGTGACGCGATTAAGCCATGGGTACAAGGATCAAAACAAATAATACAAAGTTGGGCAAAGCTCTGTCTGTTGTTGTTACTGTGGACAAACAAAGCCCCCCCCCCCCCCCCCCCCCCCCCCCCACATGGCATAGCTCCTGTGGTGGTAAACGCTGCCACTGCATCTGAAGACGACGCAAACTGAGCGAAGCGCTCGGCTGCAACAAGCTCCGTCCGTACCTCAGAGACGTCCGCCGGCTTCCACTCGTGTTGGACATGGTGGTGCCTGGGACTGCCGCTCCGCCACCAGCACCCTGCTACCGCCGCCGCTGTGTGGGGTGGCACGCAGGCGCGCGCAACCGGTCCGCGGTGTCCGCTTTCCCCGTCGTCACGGGCGGTCTGGGCAATCGAGCGTCCGTCGGGCGAGCCGCGAGAAGTCCAGGTGGCACCACCGACTCAGCGCTCGATGTCTTGTTGCCGGAAGCCCATAGCGCACCTCCAATTAGAGCGGTTGGCTACGTACGGTGCGAAAGAAGTTCAACATAAATATACAGTCACGCCTATAGACAAAACCCATGGGCTTGCACGGCGTATGACAAACAGGGCTGGATTAAGTTTGAGGGGTTGTCCATGGCTGTGGTGGGGGGGGGGGAAGGCCCTCTTGATGATCGTAGCTAAACATCCCCATTGTATAACATCTGTACAGTCGAAGTGTCCGCTTTCCTTTCACGGCCACTGAACAATGAGTGTCAGGTGAGCCGCGAAGCCAGGTGGCACCGTCCCAGTGCTCGACAGCTTGGAACCCGGAGCCCATAGCGCAAGTCACCTCTAATAGGTGAAACCCGTGGACTTCTACAACGTACGTATGACAAACAGGGATGGTTTAAGTTTGAGAGGTTATCCATGCCTGTTACAGTTTTTTTTTATGGGGGGGGGGGGCTCTTGATGATTGTAGCTAAGCCCTTTTCTGTCTAATATCTGTACCGTCGCAGGATGCCCAATTCTTGCTGAAATCAATGAAGTCTAATCTATAAATCATTGTCATATTCAAATCTTTATTTCTACTCTTTTGCCACCACCCACACCTGATGGCGAATTTATTTAAGTTAAAGATTTCAGTGTAATATTGGTCTGGAATGCCAATAGACCGATGGGGCTGAAACACGTTTTTTAAAATCATATATGGAAACACAGAATGGAGTTCTGCTTATTATTATTAAATCACTTGCTTACCCAGGATAGCCTCACTGAGTCTCAAGACACTGCTCCTGCTGTGTGTGCTCCCAATTGGTTAATTTGCAGGTAATGTTTCAGCATTGCAATGTTTGGCCAATACCAGTTACTCTCGATGTATATTTGAGCCGTGGGTGGTATCCGCAGAACATGGAGGAAACGCGTGCAGAACAGTGGGAAGAACATACGAACTCCACGCAGAAAAGATACCGAGTCAGTGATCTGACCCAGGAACTTCTTGCTGTGGCAGGAACTTCTTGCTGTGTGGCAAGAAGTTCCTGGGTCCAGTGCTACGACTGGACCACCTATATACAGCAATACCCCGATTTACCTCTCCCCTTTTTACGTCGTTTCGCAAATGCGTCGCCACTTTATTATTATCACCGCCACCCGATATGTGTCGCTTCAAACCCCACACTGCTGGAAATCGTTGAGTGCTGCCGACGAGTTGAAATGTGTATTCGTCATCATCGTCGCCGTCATATTCTCGTCAAGGAGCATACACCATCATCGCGCGAACTCCGTGCCACCCTCGCAGCAGCGGCTTTCCGCTGGCCATCGAGCACTTCTGTGGCCGTCTGGAACGCTCTTCCTTCCGATATTATGAAGCCACTGGAGCTATGCACTTTTAAACCTAGATTGAAAACACATTTCTTGAGAACTACTTTTTGCGTTTAGTTTGCCGTCCTTCCCCCGCACCTCCGATCAGCACGGTTGGCTATGTACGGTGCGAAAGAACTTCAACATACGTACATAGATCTCACATGATAAATCCACTGGCGGATGAAGGTTTCCTCGAGCCATCGCCATCTCTTATGGCCCTGACATGTAGACAATCCAACTTGCTCCTGCACGTGAGCTGCTTTGATCCCTGCATCTTTGTTTTTGGTTGATCTCTCGGGCGAGTTCGACTCCATCATCTTGCCCAAGCTCACTCGCTAGTCTTGACATTCTTTGGGTCTTTCGGTAAAGTCACGTAGACAGGTTCAAAGAAAATAACAAAAAACTACGACATTTCAATCACAACACAAGCGGTCGTCATCGTCATCGACCGCTTGTGTTGCGATCGAAAAGTCGTAGTTTTTTGTTATTTAGTTGTTTTTTTCTTTGAACCTATCTACGTGACTTTACAGAAAGACCCAAAAAATATGAATTCCTGCAGTCACGAAAGCTTTAAGTCCAGATTTAACCACAAGTTTTGAGTCAGAAATTCCGCATTTAACCCGTGTACTGTAATTCACGTGTCCCCCTTTCTGTCTCTCAACGTAATTGCAAGCATCCACCCCTTGATTCTTCCTTTGCGCGCGTTGTCAGTTTCTTGCGTTGCCTTTTCTTCGTTGTAATTTACGATACAAGTCTCAGGACACTTCTTCTGGGGCGGAGGGCAAGGGATGTCACATCGCATGGCCATGAGAGAGATGGAAATGGCTTGGGCAAGGGCCTTCATCCGGCAGCGGATGATTTTTCGCAGCCGACGATGACCGCATTGTGATGCTTAGCCAATTCAAGGAGTGCTTTTTGTGCGTGTGGAAGGGGAACAACCCGAGTAGCTGGTAGAAAGCTCACGCACGCGGGGCACTCAACACACACCTGCACAGATATGCTCATATGCCAATTTGCTGTACTGCCACATCCTCACCACCTTGCAGCCCCGAGGAGTTTGCGAGTTTCACAAGTCCATGTGATCCACCCTTGTCTCGAATGTGCTGCCGCTATGTTGCAGTCGTGAGTTAAACTTTGGAGCTCAGCTGTCACGTTTTAAGTTAATGAGCACGCTTCTAAAGCTGCACCACAAACTAAACAGTTAAATCTTGGCGGTGCATATCATTGTTTTGGCAATGCCTTAAAAAATAATCATAGGTTGCCGCTCGACAGTAATTCGATTAAAGTCGAAGGAAAAGGTGCAGTCCTGCAATTTCTTGCGAATGACACTGTTGACGGAAGGGCATCTTCCATGCTGGATAGACCTCTTCTTGGCAGAGGTGAAAGTGATGTACCCACACTCTACCCCACGGCACGCAAACCCGCCGATCGACCGTGGGTGTGCCCGGTTTAACACTGCTGGGTGGACAGAAGCGGAGAGATTTAATTAACTTTGCCCATCGGTTTGGGAAGAGTGCGACTGACGACCTCTGGTATTGCAAGTCCATTACATCCCGGCAGCATCCCCCTACTCGATTAAATTAGTTCACATATTTCCCCGGGGACGTATAGCGCATGAGCAGAGGATTAATCAATCACTGGATGCGAACACAGGCAGGGCCTAGACTAGACAGAGTTCACTGGTGTTCACTTATGTTGAGTGATTATACAAAATAAATACGATCCATTTGATGAGAGCCTTACCGTAGTCCCCCGATTATGAGACCCACTATTTCCCAACCCCCTGCGTTTCAAAGCACGCGTTAAAACGGCGCGACTCGCGTGCAGTTCGGAGAAATGGAAGGAACCGGGAGAAAAAAAAAAGACAGGAAGAGCGATCAGGGGCTTGACGACGACGCCAAAAGGGTCGGTGCCAGAAATTGGTGGCAGAAAGAAGTGCGCACTCCTTGAGCAAAAAATTGGCAGGCGACGCAGGGAAGTGGGAAAAAAATACGAAATACGCAGCGGACACCGACGGGATATCTGCCTATGGATCGAGGTTGCTGCTGATGATCGTACAATAGTGCGACTTCCAATCCAATAAGTATGTGGGTGCGAGACCAGACGTGTCTAAATTTAAGTTTCAAAGGCAATGCATAGACTCTCAGAGCAGGTATATTTGTCTGCATCTTCACCACAAGTATTTGTGGTTTATGCTGACAAAGATTTCAGTTTGGTGTTTGAACATCTTAACACTGCTGTTTAATTGCCAGAAAGGGTAAAACTTATTTTTATATTTTGATACTGCCAAGGACTTGTCTAAGTTTATTGACACCGAGCACAAGTTTGGAGTGCGTCTTACTTTCTGGAGCGTCTTGCAATCGGCAGAATACGGTACCGTCATGGGGGATGTGATTAAAGGAGAGGCGTCTGCAGAATATAAACATTCCCAACAATGCAATTGTCTACATGAATAAATAAACCCGCGGACGTCTAAATACCTTTCAGATATTTTGCATTCCTGTGGGTTTTCTGTATTGTTTCTTGTCGTTGTAACGTTCTGACCCGCTCCAATTGGACATCTGTGGAAAAGAGCTTTATAGCTCATCGGATTTCTCCAGTTATACATACATGTTCTTATTCTAAATAATAATACAAATACATACAGCCGTGTATCTATCCACTGCTGGTTGAAGGCCTCCCCAACCTCTGTCAGTCATGACGTTTATTTGGCCATACTTCACCAAACTGTGCGTGAAGGCGAGGGGGGAGACCCAACTCGGCTGATCATTATTCAGATGTCACTCGCCACTCTTCGCTGTGACCGGGAATTCAACTTAGGTCGCAGGGTGCATAACACAACGAGCTAATAACCACTCCTACGTAATTTAAAGCACATTGCAGGGATTGCAGTGCAGTGCTCGATTGGAAAATATTCTATCTGCTTTTCGTTATATAGTATGATACCCTACACAACAAAAGGGTATTATTATCCAAACTCACAGCGCTGTCTGCATATTATACACAGCTTAAAGCGAACTATATTTATAATCGGAAGTACATTTTTAGTTGTATCAATGAACCAAAACACTGTTAAGAGAATACAACCTGAGCTCATGAATAATTTACAGGCCGTACATTATGCACGGAATTAATAGGATTACATGACGAATAGTTACGCAACACCATGACATTTACACAGTTTGCATGATCGCATCACATCCTGTAAGGGTACATTGTTTTCTTATCTATGTAAACACGACCGTCTCTCTCTCTCCATACATATACACACAGTATCTTTATTTAACAATAACACATGCGGTATGGGGGGGGGGAGCACGCAGAATGTGAACATAACCGGACATTAGGATTGACCTTTTCATGTTATTACACGCGCGCAGCACGCACACACAGAGAGGTGACGTTCCAGCTCTCTGCCCAACAGCACAACAAACCTAACGGCGCTCGCACGACTACGAAAACCCAGGAGCGCAAAGTGTACGACAAATCAGCCGCGCGAACCCGCAGCACGCACGCACGCACCTGCATTGCGGAGGCGACCGGCAACCCGCGTGCAGCAGCGGCAACACAATGGCATTAAATGTCTCTTGTAGACCACATTCGCGCGAAGTTAAAATACCGACAACAAAAAAAATTCCTCTCTCACCAGCGGCTTGCATCGGCAACCCTCCTTTTTTGCTCGCTCCTCCCCATGCTGCAGCAACGCTGGCGGTGACGTCGCAGGGCCAATTTGGCAGTGGCTGTGCGTGCTGGCTGGGCTGGCTGTGTGCGTGCGGCGCCGTCAGCGGCGGTGGATGCCCGGGCAAAGGCACATTGACCCAAGTGGCCCAAGAGGTGCGCAATATTGGATGCATGGTAAATATATATTTTCTTTATTTCCATTTTTGCCAGCTGAGACCCACTGAGCTATGGTATATATTTAGGTGCAACAGGTAATCAGATTGAATTCATATTACTTTTACAAGGTGCTTCAAAAGAAATGTTAACACTTCCGAGAATTTGCAACAACACCACAATAAATGTGCTGCTGCCTCCGGGCTCTGGAGACCACCTGGAGAAGATTCCAGGCCACGTGTTGAGAACGATGACTAACGAGTGGAGACTCTTTGACTTTTTGAAGCTATTAACATTACACTTGTTTTCATGTTACAGTGAATTGGCAGTTCTTTTTCCATTAAAAACGATAGTCCCATAATAAAGTATTAAAGCTTTCGTGACTGCATAAAATTACTCATTGTTTTTTTCGGTAAAGTCACGTATGTAGAAATACAATAAAATTATATTAAAACAAAAAAACAATCACGACGTTTCGATCACAACGCAAGCGATCTTCATCAGGTGTCAAGAACAAATCACGGAGGTAAATACAACAAAAAGATGAGAGACGAGAATTCAACAAACCTGAAAAAACATTATGTGAAGCACATCCAGTCAGGCCAACAACACAGTTAGACACTTCCTGGCGGACCACGAATTTCAGAAGAGTGAACACGAAATTTAACACTTCTGAAATTCGTGGTCCGCCAGAAAGTGTCTAACTGTGTTGTTGGCCTGACTGGATGTGCTTCACATAATGTTTTTTCAGGTTTGTTGAATTCTCGTCTCTCATCTTTTTGTTGTATTTACCTCCGTGATTTGTTCTTGACACCTGATGAAGATCGCTTGCGTTGTGATCGAAACGTCGTGATTGTTTTTTGTTTTAATATAATTTTATTGTATTTCTACATACGTGACTTTACCGAAAAAAACAATGACGATAGTCCCATGTCAGTGTTATCATGTTTTTGAAGCACCCTGTATATACTGTGTATTTGAAAAACTTCATAATTACAATGGCACTATTAAAACATTATATTACTTGTCATTACTCTATTACCTTACTTATTTCGCACGACTGTGATATTAATTTCGCAGTTCGCCCATGATGTGCTGTCTGTAGTGATGTACCACGCGCAATGATAACACACGGTGGGGGTTCCAGTGGACGAGAATCAAACCTTGGTGCCATCACCACCGGCAACAAACCCTCTGCTTAAACATTGGCACTGTGACCCTGGCACCAGGGATTTGGTAAATCCCAGCAGTGTAAGCAGGGGCTTTATTTATCATGGAATAGTTTCTAGAGCCCCCCCCCCCCCAACACATAAACTGTCACCCCCCCCCCCCTCCTCCTCGACATCGGGTGAGCGGAGATACCACATGAACATGAATATTTTCAAAAGCTCAGCTGTCTTATGTGTTGTCGGATTGTACCACGTGCTGTTTGGCACGATGACTGACGTTTTCACTGCGTGTAATGGGCGCTTCTTCACGAAGCTGACCATTAATCTCCTGAATAATCGTTTTTTTCTTCATGTTTTCCTCTGCTGTTATACATTTCGCTCCACGTGCTGGAAGCTTCTTCAGGAACTGAACGTGACTATTCAGTTCCTGGTAGAGAGATGCGTTCCAGGATAATGGCATTGATCAGCATGGAGCAGTGTGGTTAAAACAACCCAGATAACTTCCAAGGCGTGGGAAAGCCTTCAGCCACCAGTGGACTGACAAAGTGCCTGTACATTTACCTTGTTATCCTGCATCTCTATAGCTACCAGGAGGATGCGGGTGCCGAATGTGTGATCAGTTCTTTTACATTGACCCTGAGATGGGAAGGCACCATGACCCGAGGCAGCTCAAGGGAGCCCAATGCGTCATCCGATGAAACTTAAAACGAGCAACCGATCTCGAGCAGCCCTAATTACCCTGCTCGCCGATTACATTACTGTACCGTGCAGCCAGTACATTAACGGATAAACGTGACATTACCAATTAGACTCGTCCCGACTCTCCCAATAATGACTAATAACCCTCTCAAGGCACCCGTGTGATGATGAAGCTAATCACGAATGCCATCCTCGAAGTGGTGTTAGGTAATTTTATATTGACACTGCAACACAGAGGAAGCGCATACACCCCTTCAGCCTGAACGCACCAATTTAACTCGGCCGTTGTGGCGCATGTCTGTAATCTAGCACTGTGGAGATTAGGGTTGGTGGACCACACTAAACGTGACGTAACTCCCTTCATGGGTGGACGTTGAGGAGGTGCCATACCCTGGCTCGCCAGGAGAAAGCAGTACGGCAAATGTGGACTCCACGTTCTCCATCCGTTTGGGATGTGTGATTGTCCCCGTGCACATGTGGGTACTTCTCGGGGGGGTGCTCCTGGTTTCCTCCCACATGTGAGCACTCATTCATTGGCCGATAACAAATTCATGTAGTGAGGACCGCAGATCTTGGGCAATTGTTGACGCAGGCTGGCTTCCTGCTCGTAAGCGGTTCCTCCCGCCTCTGAGGTTGATCTCTTTCTTCGAGAGTGAGCGGGATACTGTGCAGCATGTTACAAGGTGAAATTAGCGCCGCTTGTACTTCTGTGCTAGATCCAACGAACATAAAGCAATCCCAAAATGTTATAAAAATTCGCCAACAATCACGTGCGTTTACACGTTTAATAAGCTCTGAATTAACGCCAGCAACAACTACATTACATTTGTCTTAATTTTAGGAATGTTAAGGTATTGCAACAATGTAAACTTTCACAGCATCACACAATCATACAAATGGTTCAAACAATCAAAGTCATTATTATTGCACTCTGCCAAACAGCATTAACACTGCCCAATTCGAAGTAAATATTCATCTGCAAATGCGTTTCCACTGCACTGCAACATTTAACACATGTGTTACTTCACAAGGCAAAACAAATATCTACTATGGGTACTTAATGGGAATGGCCAGATTGGGCTGGCCAATACCTGGTATGTGAATAACCAAATTGTTAGGTTTGGAAGTAGCTCTTGACATCCTACTACAAAACTAGCTAGTACGAGACTTCAAGAAAAATGCATGCTTTCCACAGGAATGTATCACAGAATGCGGGGAGCGTGCACTGTCAACTGCACGACACAGCATATCCATGTCAGACCCACTCCAATTTCACATCAGTAAGCTCGCGTCACGTAAACCCACGCTTTCACCATATCCAGCACCACGAATCTCTAAGGATAATGAACATACAGGCACCATAGAACAACATCTAACGTCTTTGCAAACTGTACGGAAAAACCAGTGCCAACATCTATACATAAGCGATACACTCCAGTTTAAATGCACTCAAATATCACCAAGGTCGATAAGCCAAAGCGAACACTGCTACCATATTTAAATCAATTGGCCAAAGCATTAAGCAAATTACATTTTGCATTGCGCTGTTATTGTGCTTTGAATTAGTATATACGTATAAACTATCTCACGTAACAATGTATTCGTAATACCCCTCTTATCCATGACCATATTACCCCCGACTCCTATTATCTGCAAAAGCTGTACTAGTTGCAAAAACCCATATTACGTGGAAATTTTTTTTGCGGAAAAGAGGTCTTCGGCAAAAATTAATCCCATTATCCGCAAAATATTTCCCCGCAGATAAGTGGAGAAAAAAATCGCGGATGACCCCACAGGTGTGTTGAACTCGTTTCTTTAAAACTGCTTTTGTGCTTAGTTTTTTGTCCTTCCCCCGCACCTCCGATTAGCACGGGCGGCTACGTACGGTGCGAAAGAAGTTCTACATACGTGCATTACAGATAATCAGATAAGTGTTGATCTTCCCGAAAATGACCGCCGATACGAGGGAGTTCTACCGATCCAACTCTCACGAGCGACCGTGTGGAGTTGCTTATGACCTCCTGCGCCCGTGAGCTTCGGTGCCACGAGCGTCAATCTCCCGACCGCCGCCTCTCGCTGTCATCATCTTCTGGGTGCTGCTACTGCTGCCGCTGTCATCTTCTGGGTGCTGAAAGCGCTGAGGCTGAAACCGGACATGGCGAGGAGCATGGCCACCCAGTTGCCCTGCCCTAGCGGAACCATGGCCAGCCTCTGGGTCGTCTGGGTCTGTAAGATGGGGGGGGGAGGCATAGCGCACAGTCAACCGTCGCACGATGACAGCTCGTGTACGTATGTATGCACCGTACGTAGCCAACTTGCACTAATAAAGCTAATGCATGTCAGTAGCTACAGCAACAGTTATTACACTAATTTGGTATCCTACACCATTCTTATAGCGCGAGGCTATAATTGCGAAGGCCCTGTTTTAACAGACGAGAATAGACTGCCAGTAGGGGGGGCAACGTTGCTTTGTGGTTTACCCAATTAACCATTTCCCGTTCCGATGACGTACGTGTATGAGTAACATGACGTATGAGTAATTGTTCAACGTTGTACGTTTTGACGTACACGTACATCATCAAAACATGTGGCAGAGTTTGGCGTCAGCTATCACAGAGTATGGTCGTGTTGCTACAGTTCTCTACAATGTCTATTTTTTTAAAAACGACACTTTACCTCTCTCAATAAAATTAACGCTGAGCTGCTTTCCGAGATTCAGAGGTGAACAGGATCCACCCTGCAACTTGCAGCCGTCTCTGAACGGCAAAGGGTTCAGAGACAGGTGAGTGATTGTTCAACGTTGGGTAATTTGTACGTTGACGGCGGCACACATTGTCTACGCACATCATGGGATCTTTAACATCCACTGTGAAGCTGACGGCACGCAATTTATGGTTGATGCTTCCGCAGTATTAACCAGGGCAGCCGCTAAGTCTCAAGCACAACCCTCTGCAATAAGGAGCAAAATGTGCTCCCGCTGAACAGTGTCACCGCCCCAACGGCAGCCACTTGTTGACTTGTCACAACTTTGGTGATGCAATTCTATTCGAAGATCTATTAATCTTTATTCTCATTTTAGATATCTCGCTTGTACTCTCAATTTGTATCCTTTGCACAGTTTAGTTCCGTCCACGAGCCTTAAAGTAACATTATCTTTTCATTTGCGTGAATAATAAATAACCGTTTCTCACGCTCACAATCGGTCGCACGTATCGTGAGCGAAAGGATTTTGTTTTAATGGAAGAATCGCTGCATCGTTACGTGAACACCTGCACATTCAATGTTTGCTCATGCAATGGATTTCTTTTTTTTTGCTAATCTGTCACTCGATCTCAGCATTAAAGAATGGGAAAAAAATGTCAACCAGAAACCACCGCATTTCCATAGGTCAAGTTATTATTCTTAGCATCACAGTGCAAGAGGCGCGGTTAAATGCACGTTTCGCCACACAGGTGTGTCCACAGCAGCGATATGAGAATCATTATTCTCACGGTGCCCTTATTACATGGTGTAATGCAAGCTGTCTATTCGCCCATTCATGCGAAACTCTTCGTGAGATATTTTGAGCTGAGGACTGGTCAAGAGGACAATTGAATGAGTGACTAGCAAGTGAAAACGAAATACACTGACAATAGTCCATCAATGTATCGCAACCACCAGTCCACCCTCCTGATCATGAATGTCATTCTTTGGATGGAATCGGCCACGTGGAATTTATTTCGTCTTACAACTATTGTGTCAGTAGGGATTTTTGGGAGGACACATACTGCACACGCTTCCTATAGCTGTGCAAAAGTGTAATTGAATGAACATTACTTATTCAAACAATAAAGTTAATTGAAAAGCGGATAACTGGCACTTCGTTCAAACAGTCCCCTCATGCTGTTTACAGCACTAAACCGTGTGTGGGCATACGAGTGCTTAGAATGTAACTTTGTGGTGGGCAATTCTACTTTTAACATCCTACATTGGCTGAAAACAAATGTGTTGTATACAGTCTCGCATCACTCTGCCAGTGCGGTGTTTTATTGCTGTACCTGAGTGTTTCTTAACCATTACTGCAGCCTCACACCCCTTTTGTTCTCAATCGTAAACGAGAAATGTACAATGTTAATAAATACACGGGGGGTTTGATGAAACAAAGTCGTCGTACTTATGTGACCGTGCTTAATTTGTCTTTGCGATGATTTACCTTCGAGAAACAACTGGCCATGCCTCGCACCCACAGATAGAATGTGCGTGCCCTCCAGGTTAAGAACCACTAGTTTATCTGGAATCTCTTCAATAATCCTCAATGGACTTGTTCCTGCCTGTCCCCTCTCATCTCCCTCTACTCCCCTCCACACTCTCCTACCTCTCTCCTCTCCCTCTGCTCGCCTCCACGCACTCTTCGCTGCCACAACTAAGTCTTTCTGTCAAAATCCCCAGTCAACCTCTGTTCATTGGGCGATCACTCAGTATCCTCTACTGCCCCCGTCGTCTGGAATGTCCTTCACCCAGCCGTCCGTGCTGTTGACTCCTTGCCCCTGTTCAAGTCCGGACTCAATACCTTGCTTTTTGCCTCTCATATAACCCACTGCCTCTATATATTTAACATAAATTTGCCAACTGTGTTTATACAGCAGCATGAGATGTGATCCTATTTGGATACTATATACTTCCAAGTTGTATTGTGGTGTTATATTGTTTTATTTTTACGCACGACTTAAAATACAGTATACGCAATAACAATTCATGATACCTGAAGGAGCCGAAAGTAGCCCGGAGTCAGTCGCCTGAGTCGCAGAATCATTTTCATCACCCAGCGCAAGCCTCCAAGGCAGTGAACGTGACTTGTTGTTACAGGGCCTAGAGGTATGACACCTACAGATGTGTGAAGAGGCTCTCTTGCCTTCAGAAATGGCCACCAAGAGACTTTATACCCAGCTAGTTTGATCCGGGTGGCTTTGCCTTATACCTGCAGGGATTTTCACAAAGCCTCGCTTTACATCTGCTGGCAAGAACTAATCAGCATTATCCCAACTTTCATGTAACCTTAGTTCATGGTCATTGAGCTTGCTATTTTTGTTACTGTAAAATCTGTAGGAAGCATGGCACACCAAGTCATCCTAAAAATATATAAGCACAACTTTAAATGCAGTAAACGACTTCTGCAAGACGACAAGCTGCTTTCAAAAGCAGTCATGCCAATTTAGAAATGTTGAGCGTTAATTTAAATATATATTTGATAAAAATTAATTGAGACCTGGCATTGTTGTACTTGATAAAAAAAAACTTTTACATCACAATACTAATCACCATCAGTCCAACGTCAATCAGCTGCTTGGAAAAGTCATACCCAAGTCGCTGCCATATCTGGCAATCCCATGATAAAACAATCCATCCAGCACCTACACTCGAGTTGATTTCATTTCTTCATCTCCTCCGAGGACATCCCCTCATATAGATTCCATCCCTTGGCTGCCACTCCATGATCATTGGTCATCAGCCCTTCAAGCAACGTGTCCTGCACGAGCACACTTTCGTCAACAGTTTCCGTTGTGTCTTTAACCTTTGTATGTTCCCGACTCCACGTGTTCCTCTTTCAGTCTCTCAATATGATTCCAAAAATAAGAAATATATCTACGCTACTTTGGCCACTTTTGGTTTATTTGTTTCATTTGTGTTTAATGGCAATGTTTTTGAACCATGTAATATCAGATAAAATACACTGATAAATAAAATGTTGAGACACATTAGTACTTCGTTTGTCACAATACTGCTGCTTTAATACAGCTTTGTTTTCCACACTTGTCACGGGGGATTTAGCTTTTATACAGCTTAAAGCTCGCTCTGTGCTTGCTCTAAACAATATTCTAGCATGAAGCAGGTATGTACGCTTAATGTTCGCGAAGTCACGTAGCACCACCCACGCGCCATTTTACGAAACACAAGTTGCATAACTTGGTGGACCACTATGTTTAAGAAGCAAAGTTCTAAACTGTTGTTCAAGATTGTGCTACCACTCACATTGAGAGGCACTTAAACCTATAAAAGCTCTGGATTATAAACAACGAACTCTGAGCAGAGGCCACGCTCTGTACTGCAATTATGCAATGTTTCCGCATGGTTATACGTGGGCAGTGTTGCATTCTACATTTATGTGCCAATCTCAACCCTTGAATGCTGCCCCAAGATAATCTGCCCTTAGCTGTTTGGCCAGGCAGCAAGAGATTATGCTTATATAGGCAATTAAGTGACTTCTCTAATAACTGTGAATTCGCATTAATCCATCCGTGTTTTTTTTTTGCTGAGAATTTGATAACATAAACCAAACTACATTTTCAGCAGCATAACATAACCGAAATACCAGCGTGCTTTGTGACGTTAAGATGACATCACCGTTCTTACAATTAATATGTTCTGTACACAGCCTTGTTAAGAAATCAACTGAAGATGGGCCATCTGATTATTATTTCAGTTATTGATTACTCGAATAAATTATCAGTTTGCTTCCTTTGCTATTTGGATAACATAAAAGTTGGAATGAAAAAAGGTGCCTTCCTCCCTTCCCATGCATGCCGCTGGATGGGAGGTCATGGGCCGGACTTGACATCATCGGCATCACCAGTCACGTCACGCCGGGCATGGCTTGTCAGGGGTTTCCAGCCTTCGGGAGGCAGGATGACATGCAAATTGCTCAGCGGCATCGCTGGGATCACAATGTAGGGTGTTGCGATGCAGGCGTGAATTCTGGCCGAAATATCTCGAGTAGGCCTTGGACTGCAAATTACGTCTGTAGAGCATGGCAGAAAAGGGGTCAGGGGTTCATCATCAGCGCATGAGCCTCCAGCACACGGAGGATTGAATTTAATCCATAGTGGAGCAGAGCAAAACCAACCACTCCCTGCCTAATAAAGCCTCACTGCTGCTTTATATACCACGGCACTGTCAATACTAATGCGATGCAGTTCGACGTTGTGTGCCACCGTCAGTATATGACAGATACATTCATAGCGTGGCACTGAGAAACGCAGAACCGAAGCTGGGTGATCTCAGTGGGGCTATACCATTAAAGCTGTACTGTTTGCATGCACCCGTGCAAGCGGGCACTTATGTAGCCTCTAATTATTGCCTGGTGACGTCACGCCTCTCCACTCTCCTCCCCTGGAAGGCTGACAGATAAATCATCAGTCGAATAAAGTGGCGGTGGATAAGTCAATCAGCCATCACCTTCAGTCAAAGGTCACTGGAGCTGTACAGAAAAAATATATACTGTATAACTGCCACCGATCTGAGTGCATGGTGTTGCCACGTGTGTCACAGAAGTCACAGAGGTAACCAGAAGTTAAATATTAGAAGTGGGATCTCAACATGTGCTAAATAATAATGGAATTAGACCAGATGATGGAATGAGACCTCTCATGGCTTTGTGGTCCATTGCGTGACTTCCGTATATAAGTTTAAGGTATAGTTTTTGGGATCAAGAATTGAATATTCCTATAGGCAAATTTATTGAAGGTTAAAACACTCACTGCCTATGCTTTATTCACTCTGATATATTAACTGTGCTGATTAAATGATGAACAGACCTTGATAATATTTTGTGCAGAAAAGAGGAACATGTTTATCTGGTGGTTTGAACTGCCCTCGATAAACCAGGAAGTGGTATTCTGTAATCTTTGGTTCTTTCGGTAAAGTCACGTAGGTAGGAAAAAATATATATATATCACGACGTTTCGATCACAACACAAGCGGTCGTCTTCAGGCGGAAAAAATAATCCAGCAGTGGAATTGCTGAACCAGCGAGAGAGCTGTTACAACAAGACGTTATTTATGTGGCGATGGGCAAGCAAGCGCGGTCTGAACTGGAAAGTAATTCCATCCCCGGACGCAAGTACGTCAGTTGTGTTAATGGGAGAGATTAGGGAGAGAGGGATTAGGGAGGGAGATTAGCATGAAATGAGCTTCCATCACAGCATAAGAGTATCATCTCCGCATATACGCACAACAGCAGTGTTAATGTTGATGGGAGAGATTAGGCAGGGTGATTAGGGGGATTAGTAAGTTAATGTCAAGTCTATGTGTAACATAAGCTGCGGCGCTGCCAACTGCGCTGTGAGGCAAGCGTGTCCAGTGAAACACAAAAGCCCATCAAACAGCCAGAACCATCGAGACATCGAGGCTAAGGGAGCAGAGGTGGCCATGTTAGTGAGACCCCAGCCCGTTAATGCAGAGGCACCTACTGTAACAGGGCAATGCAACTCAGACAGTCGGAGATAACAGCCAAACGGCAGGGAAGAATGGAAGCGCCACAGCAAGTTACGACTTTGCTTGATTAATAACGTCCTTCCAATGATTCTTCAGCTTATACCCATCTTCTCGGTTGAAATTGTCTCCGTGTCTATATATTTGGATGGCTTCATGGACAAATCTTTGATGGTAGCCTGAAGGTTTGCAGAGTACCTTGGTCTCGGAATAAACAATATCGTGTGAGCCCACTGCATTATAACAATGCTCAGCCACTGCAGAGGTATTGTTTCTGCCGTTTTTCAAATCTACCTTGTGCTCGCGAACACGGTCCGAGACATGTCGTTTAGTTTCCCCAATGTAACTGCTGCTGCAGACACAACTTAGTTTGTAGAGACCACGGTATTGCATGTCAGGAATGACATCCTTCACAGATGGGATCAAATCACGGATTTTGTGTACTGTATTGAATCGGACCTGGATCTTGTGTTTGTTTAAGATTTAGTAAATATTTTTGGTAACACCTGCTATGTATGGCAAGGTGATGGTTTTGATTGAGTCTTCATATGGTTGTCTCCCCATGGTTGGGGCTACAGATTTGCGGATTGTGCAGTCTGAGTATCCATTCATCTTGAGGGCTTGGTGTACGTGCTCCAGTTCACTGGCTAGGTGGCGCTGGTCGGAGATGCAGCAGGCCCTATGGTGTAGTGTTTTGATGAGGGAGTTCTTCTGCACCGGATGGTGGTGGGAGTCAGGCTTTAGATAGGAATCCGTGTGGGTGGCTTTCCTGTATATGGAATGTCCCAACGAGCTATCAGGCGTCTTCTTGATCAAAACATCCAGGAATAGTAGCTTGCCATCATTTTCCACTTCCATAGTGGATGTATGGAATTGATGTGGTTGAAAAACTGGGTCAGTGTTGTGGCCAGATGACGAAAGTGTCATCTACATATCTCTTCCACAGGAATGGACGTAGGGTGGATGTCAGGATGGCATCTGTTTCAAATTTCTCCATGAAAACATTCGCCCCCACTAGTAATAAGAGAGAACCCATAGGGGTACCTTCATTTTGTTTGTAGAATGTACCATTACAGATGAAGTAAGTGTTGGTAAGGCAGTGCCTCACCAAAGTTGGCACATCAGAATTCAGTCCCTGTTGGACCAAGTCTTCAATGATTGCTATAGTACAGGCACCTTGGTGAACAGAGAGACTACATCGAAGCTGACAATCAAATCATCTGGAGACAGTGAAATGTCCTTGATTAGGGCAACCAAGTGAGCTGAATTAAGTACTGCTGAGGTGGTCTGGCCCGTGAATGGAAGCAGGGTTTCAGACAGAAATCGGCCCAGTTTGTAGGTAGGTGAGTTGATGGTAGAAACGATAGGACGGAGTGGAGTACCTTCTTTATGGATTTTTGGAAGACCATAAAATTAGTGATGATATTGTTGTTTTTTGTAGCCAGGCGGTTGGTAGGATCTCTGTTAATTTTAGTATAACTGCCATCATTAAGAAGGTCCTGGATTTTGTTGTTGTATGTGGTTTTATCTATGATGACCGTGGCATTGCCCTTATCGGCTGAAAGGATGACAATATCATCTCTCTTTTTCAATTGAGCGAGTTCAGAGCGCTCGTCCCTGCTGATGTTACTAATGGGTTTCTTAGCGTTTTTGAGGATGGCGGTGATTTCAGATCTTGCCACGTCTGCTTTGAGGGCTACGTCAATCTGGGCAATGATATCATCCACTGGGATGTGTTTGGGGGTGGCTGCAAAGTTCAGCCCTCTAGCTAGTACCGATTATAGGCTATCGGAAATTGGGCTGTTACTCTGATTGATGACAATCTTGTTAACATCTAACTTTTTAACGTGTGGATCTGGCTTCTTTTTTGACAGAATGTTGAATTTAGCAATCAGGTTATCTTTACATTTGGTTGAAATTGTCGTGGAAGAAGAAACAGTCATGTTAGCTACAAGGTCTCAATCAGATGTGGACATTTTATCTGTTAATGCTAAGTGTGATTGTAAGAGACATTTGTCTAAATGATCAAGTTCAAAACGGAGCAGTCTTATCCTCTCTGAGATTAGCGATAGGCTAGCTTCGAACAAGATCCGTTTAGCGTTAGGAGAAGTGACAGCCCACGTGACTTTACCGAAAGAACCAAAGAGTATGGATTCCTGCAGGCACGAAAGCTTCAAATCAAGAATTAAATTATATAAGTAATCATTCCCATTCTCTAACTTTAATCACATACAGAAGCACTGCAACCAACATTTTCACACTATTGCCGGCGGATGGGCTTTTGTTGTATGTACGTTGAACGTCTTTCGCACTGTACGCAGCCAACTGTGCTCATGTCAATGTAAAAAAAAAACCATACAATTCTTGTAAGCTGGCTCTTAGTGCGGGTCTTCGTAAGTGCAGGTGTTCATAAGTGCGGGTGTTCGTAAGTGGGGGTGGTCGTAAGTGGGGGCTGTTAATAAGTTGGGGCTATTCCTAAGTGGAGGCTGTTCGTAAGTGGGGGCTGTTCGTAAGTGCGGGTGTTCGTAAGTTCGGGCTGTTCCTAAGTGCGGGCTGTTCATAAGTGCGGGTGTTCGTAAGTGGGGGTGGTCGTAAGTGGGAGCTGTTAATAAGTTCGGGCTATTCCTAAGTGGGGGCTGTTCGTAAGTGGGGGCTGTTTGTAAGTGCGGGTGTTCGTAAGTTCGGGCTGTTCCTAAGTGCGGGCTGTTCATAAGTGCGGGTGTTCGTAAGTCGAGAACTGCCTTGGGGGGGAGGGGTACCCGCTCTAGAAACGTAAGAAACCGACCGGCGACCGCTCGGCAAAACTTCGGCTCCGCTCGGCAATCTCCGCCCGAGGCGACGCGGAAGCGCGAGGAGAGCCGAGCCGCAGCTCGCGCCGCATTTAGATTCCGCAGTGCGGATCGGCGCATCGGCGAGCCCCGAAAAAGGCCCCAGCAACCCGATTGGCCGCGCGCTGACCCGCCTCAGCCAATGGCGCGAGGGGGGGGGAGGAAGACACGAGACACGCGCATCCGTGTTAGAGAATACAAACGGAGTGGGGGTTTGGGGGTGGAGCCAACCCGTCGCTCCTCCCCCTCCACCATCTCCCCCCCCTCCACTCGGATCCCCATTGGAGCCAGCGGTGGTGGCGATCCGGCTCCGTGTGGTTGGAATCGTCGGCGGCTGCGTGGCTGTCTGCGTCCAACTCGCCCACCCCCCCCACCTACAATCAACAACAACAACCACCACCAACAACCACCACCACTAAACCCCTCTACCTTCAGCCGCTGGGTCACGGTAACGTTTTGGCGATTGCCACTTTTGAAGTGGGGGGGGGAAGAAAAAAACCACCCCGTGGCGCCTGTAAGTTAAGAAGAGTTTCGCGAAGGAACACCAACCCCGCCGATCGCGAAGGTGACAAGCGCGCGGTTGTTTTTGTTGTTGTGTTACGTGACTTGTACTTTTACCGAGTCTCTCTCTGGCGTGCTTGTGTGTGACAAGTTCGCCGCGGTTGCGAGCGAGTTGAGTTGACTTTTGTAAGTGTTGACCCCCCCCCCTCACCCACCCCCCTATCCCAAAGCATCCTTGGTCAACTTTCAAAGTTGTTAAAGTTGCCCTCCCCCAGAAGAGCGACGCGTCGATACGAGCGAGACGTGAATAAAATCCCCTCAAAATGTGTGGAACAATGATGAAGAAGGAGTTTTGTTAGTGGTTGTTGTTGGTGGTGGATGTTTGCCGCCACCCATGTCGCCTCGCTGTTGCTGGAGTGTAGTCGTCGTCAAGTTAACTCTGCTAGGTGCGTGACCTGCTCGGGTTTTTCACATCGTTTTTCGTTTTACATTTCATTTATTTTGGTATAGCTGTCGGCCAAGATGCCATGGACCTTTAGCGCAAAGGTTATTTCGACAACACCACCTTGGCCTTCGTGGATAACAACTAATTTTTTTTTATTTGACCGGCTAAAAGGTTGTTGTTATTCTTTTTTTAAGAAGCCATCTGGCGATCACAAGCGATAGCTCCATTTGAAGCGGCTTATCGTCGTGTGGAAATGTATAGCAGCCAAAATAACTCTCTGAACGCGTTGACGTTGCTCTGAAATGTGGAGTCGGAGGAAAATCCACGCGATCACGGAGAGAGACACGCAGAGTACAAATATGCAGCAGGCGTCGTCAGGGTAGGGATGGAACCCACGACCTCCTGTATACCAGGCGAGGTTGTTAACATCTAGACACCGTGATGATGATAGAGACACGCAAAGTACAAATATGCAGCAGGCGTCGTCAGGGTAGGGATGGAACCCATGACTTCCTGTACACCATGCGAGGTAGTTAACATCTCATAGCCACCGTGATGATAGAGACACGCAAACTACAAATACACAGCAGGCATCGTCAGGGTAGGGATGGAACCCACGACTTCCTGTATACCAGGCGAGGTAGTTAACATCTCCTAGACACCGTGATGATGATAGAGACACGCAAAGTACAAATATACAGCAGGCGTCGTCAGGGTAGGGATGGAACCCACGACCTCCTGTATACCAGGCAAGGTTGTTAACATCTCCTAGACACCGTGATGATAGAGACACGCAAACTCCAAATACACAGCAGGCGTCGTCAGGGTAGGGATGGAACTCACGACCTCCTGTATACCAGGCAAGGTTGTTAACATCTCGCTATCTTGTGAGCCCTCTAGCTTTATTTCAAAATCTGAATATTGATGTATCCTGGAGGAATCCGATGAGCTATAAAGCGCTTCTCACTGATGTCCAGTAGGGTCGGGTAAGAACGTTACAACAGGAAACAATGCTCAAAGGTACGAGAAAGATGAACTAATCACCCAAACACTTACAAATACAACACTAAACCCCCCATCCTACCAGGCAAAGTCCACTGAGGTAGTAACTTTTCAAAGCGACCTGGCACTAATGAAAGCTCAACAAAGTGGCTTATCATTTGGACATTTATAGCAGCAGAATAATCTAAGTCTATAAACGCATGTTTCTAAGTGTGGAGGGGAAAAAACCAGAGGGCCCGGAGAAAAATAAATCTACGCGACCATGGCGAGAATATGCAAACTCTAAATATATACAACACAGGGGTCGGGGTCGAACCCACGTGGGTTGTTGTTCCAATGAATGTGTCATCAGCAGTTAAATCTTGAGATGGTTAACATTGTCTCCATGTTTGTTTATGATGCCTTTGTTTGGGGAAGACTTCTCCTTGTCAGACTCCCCGGTCTCTGTGTGCTGGCTGGATGGGATTCCTCGTCTCAAACTTTGATCAACGAATGTGTGTGGTCTTCATTCTCAATCAAATTAACTTGCCTTCATCTGCACCATGAATGTATGCTGCTGCGATTTTTCGGCGATCGAAACGTTGTGATCTATTATTTTTTCTACCGACGAGACTTTACCGAAAGAGCCAAAGACTATGGATTCCTGCAGTCACGAACGCTTCAAATCAAGATAGAGGTTGGGTTGTATGTTTCTTGCATTCTGAACTGTTTGAAGATAACACTGTTTTCATTTGCATAAACTCTGTATACAATCTCTACTCTGTATTTGGGTAGGCCTTTTCTCTCTTACCCCCTTTATCACTTTAAACAGATAATATATTCTCTGTCTTCATTTTAGGAAAGCCATTTTTCCAACCCACAGCTGTTTATAGTCCCAATTGTGTAGCACAGTTTAAATATAAAAATAACTTAACTTCTCTGTTTCCATTGATTTAAAAAATATATTATTTTGTGAAATTTCCCCTCTACTTTTCTCATTTCCTTCTCATGCTCAACAAGATGAATGCTAATTGCTGGTCTCTTCATCACTATACAGTCAGAGACTGGTGTCTAGATTCAAAGTTACCTCCTTTGCTTGACAAAAAAATTGTGTGAAAATAACATTGCATTTTCTATGACTCTCTAGGAAGTGGTCTTCTAACTCGAAATATAATGTTATAGCATGTATTCTGTACGTACATATTGCCATCATTTGTAATGTAGCGAGTGAAGAAGCGTTGACGGTGGCATGCACACACCGGCTTCCAACCCGGGGTACCTGAGTTATATTCCTGGCAGCAGCCGACATCAGTGGCAAGTAATAACTGAACCAGGCCAGGGCCCTCCTGCTTTTACCAACCCGCACTGATGACCTCGTGGTTAAGTACAGACCTCGTAATTTGTATGATATGGGGAGGTTATCATCCAACAGTTGATTGACCAAGGGCTGTAAAATATAATTGTTACAGTTCTTGTCATGAAACATGCAGTAACAAGATATGGGTAATATTGCTAGTTGTGATAACAAAAGTAAGGGGTGGGTTGTTTGCATTTTGTCATGGCATATCGGTACAGTAATACAAACATTTTAAACACAGGGAGGTGGACAAACGGTCAAAATGAATTCGTGAAACAATATTTACAAAACGAATAGAGATTTTTTTTTACGTTGTGCCCACAGAAGAGATTTTTTTTGGCTATTCAGCTAATGCACACATCTTGTGTTGTGTTACTTGGGTATCAAAGTTTTAGTTTTATATATTTGCGTGAATTTGTCTTAAGGGGAAATCTACTGCAACCCAATTTGGCACATATTTTTGTGTCTGGCTGTCCATGGGTGGGGTGTGATGTGAGGTGTACAGTAAGGTTTTACCGTGTTGCTGAAAAAGCACCTTAATTTGCACAGTACAATGTCACGCAAACATAACCATAGCGATGTTCAATCAATTTCTGGATGAAGCCCTCTCCAAGCCATCAATATCTCTCATGAACATAAGCTGATCTTGTTTATTCATCTCCATGGTAGATACAATATACTCTTGGGACTGGCTCTCCCTTGACTGCCAGTCCATGGTTGTTCTCGACCATCATCCTCGACATTTGCAAACATCTGCATATGTTATCTGTTTCAGCACCTCCATTTCACCATGCCTTGCTTCGGCAATATTTAATTATGAGTATGAAAAATGCATGTATTTCCAATTTTCGTGTATGGGTAAAGGACGCATTTGAGTCAGGGCCGACCACGTGTTTTCGTGGGGAAGTATTTCTGTGCTCTTAAATATTTTTTTTTGCAAAAAGATAATGGTCACAATGCAAATCTGACTGCTGTGTAGACTACAATAACATCCGACATTTGTATCATTTAAACTGAGGTTGCAACTCGGTTACATTTTATTTAGTACTGTTAACATACAGAATGTTGCTAAGTCTGTGTAGAAAGTGTGTTTTTGTTGCTGTATTCCGCAGGATTATCAGAACAATCATTTCAGAGTTTTCACAATTCCTGAAATTTGACACTGGTAGACATAAACCATCAGAAATAATCTAAAATTTGCCTACAAGTCTTGCTTTCATATGTTTATGTTTAAAACAACTGCATTTATTTAACATTTTTCATGCCATCATAAATAGGGAACTTTGCAATGTTATTTTCAGAACTAAAAAAGAATGGGGAGATAGTCGACTAGATTACAGTACTTTCATCAACACAACTTTAGTGGGCCTGCTTTACAAGTCAATTGTGTGGACAATTCCACTCTTTGATACTGTAAATCCCCAATATTGAAGTTGCACATACAATTCACAGTGACGGAACCACGTTTGAATTTGCTTTCACACTTGACAGCGACATACAATGTCTGTTGATTTTTTTTGTCGGGTAGGATGGACGCAGACAAGGTGTTGCCAAGTGTCCATATCAACAGCAGCAAGGAGGACACTGACCACAGGAAGAAGCGCTTCACAGTACGCCACGCACTCAGAGCTCAGTTAAAGTACAATGTGTTAGTTGATTGGAACTAGTATGGAACAATGCAATTTAGCATTTTCACAGTGCAGTTTGTCGCATATCCAACTGCCACTATTCCGTTATTACTCAACTTCCCACACGGTGCAGTATTTGCCGTGGTGTAACTGTCTTTTTCTCTGGTATTTTCCCAAATTCAGTTGCTTCGCATACATCAATTAAATATTAATCTCGCGTGCATTTGCTTTGTTCTTGCAGCGGTTTTGTTTTATTTTGCCCAGTTGCCGATATGTGCATGGTTTAACTGTCATTTTCTTCAGATGTTCACAACATCAAAACTTTTCATATAGCCGACTATTAGTAGGTTAAATATGCGACATTGTACTGTACCAATAGCAGTCACCTGAAGTTCCTGATGGATAATTTTTTGTCTTTAAAAAAAATGAATGATATACCATGGTCAAAAAAATATCACCGAGAGTATTCTAACTAACAAATAAACTATTGTAAAATGTAAACATTTAAGCAATAATTCACTTAAACAATTTGACTGGGGCATATCTGGAAATGCTTAGTTGGTGAATGTGGCCCACTAAGAAGCCATGCATCTCACATTACTTGGTACTGAGTGTGTTTTTTGTCGCACTTTTATAGGTGTACAAAATGATGGTGTGCAATGGAGGACAGTCCTGGTTTGTGTTCAGGCGCTATGCAGAATTTGACAAACTCTACAACACTGTGAGTTTTTGTATCTTGTTTCGGACCGCTTCCCGTACACTTGTCTTCAAATGAGGAAAATAACATTGAACAAGGGCCAAAGATGACTAAAGTTCGAAGCTGAGAGGAAGTGGCTTGGAATGGATTTGATTAATGATAGCATTAATACTGTCCAAAAACTGTATGACCTCAAACCAGTGTCCACTTCACCACATCATACCCCTAACCCCTCAATATAAAAAAAAAACATCTTTCTGCCTGTTGAGATTGTTTCTCTTGCAGCGTTGTGTGAGTCAAATGCGTATTTGCCGTTCACGAGCATTGACATTTGGAGCAATTCGTGTTTTGATGGCGACACATGTTGTTCCTTTTGAATACACACAAATGTATCAGTTGCATGCTTTTAATTCGCATGGAAAATGAAAAGTTAAAGTTATATGTATTTTTTTATTTTAGTTCGCAGGAAGATTAATACATACAGTGAGGGAAAAAGTATTTGATCCCCTGCTGATTTTGTACGTTTGCCCACTGACAAAGAAATGATCATTCTATAATTTTAATGGTAGGTTTATATGAACAGTGAGAGACAGAATAACAACAAGAAAATCCAGAAAAACGCATGTCAAAAATGTTCGAATTTGATTCGCATTTTAATGAGGGAAATAAGTATTTGACCCCCTCTCAATCAAAAATATTTCTGGTTCCCAGGTGTATTTTATACAGTTAACGAGCTGAGATTAGGAGCACACTCTTAAAGGGAGTGCTCCTAATCTCAGCTTGTTACCTGTATAAAAGACACCTGTCCACAGAAGCAATCAATCAATCAGATTCCAAACTCTCCACCATGGCCAAGACCAAAGAGCTCTCCAAGGATGTCAGGGACAAGATTGTGACCTACACAATGCTAGAATGGGCTCCAAGATCATTGCCAAGCAGCTTGGTGAGAAGGTGACAACGGTTGGTGCGATTATTCGCAAATGGAAGAAACACAAGAACTGTCAATCTCCCTCGGTCTGGGGCTCCATGCAAGATCTCACCTCGTGGAGTTGCAATGATCATGAGAACGGTGAGGAATCAGCCCATAACTACACGGGAGGATCTTGTCAATGATCTCAAGGCAGCTGGGACCATAGTCACCAAGAAAACAATTGGTAACACACGACGCCGTGAAGGACTGAAATCCTGCAGCGCCCGCAAGGTCCCCCTGCTCAAGAAAGCACATATACATGCCCGTCTGAAGTTTGCCAATGAACATCTGAATGATTCAGAGGACAACTGAGTGAAAGTGTTGTGGTCAGATGAGACCAAAATGGAGCTCTTTGGCATCAACTCAACTCGCCGTGTTTGGAGGAGGAGGAATGCTGTTTATGACCCCAAGAACACCATCCCCACCGTCAAACATGGAGGTGGAAACATGCTTTGGGGATGTGTTTCTGCTAAGGGAACAGGACAACTTCACCGCATCAAAGGGACGTTGGACGGGGTCATGTACCGTCAAGTCTTGGGTGAGAACCTCCTTCCCTCAGCCAGGGCATTGAAAATGGGTCGTGGATGGGTATTCCAGCATGACAATGACCCAAAACACATGGCCAAGGCAATAAAGGAGTGGCTCAAGAAGAAGCACATTAAGGTCCTGGAGTGGCCTAGCCAGTCTCCAGACCTTAATCCCATAGAAAATCTGTGGAGGGAGCTGAAGGTTCGAGTTGCCAAACAGATCTTCTTGGAGAAGATCTGCAAAGAGGAGTGGGACAAAATCCTTCCTGAGATGTGTGCAAACCTGGTGGCCAACTACAAGAAACGTCTGACCTCTGTAATTACCAACAAGGGTTTTGCCACCAAGTACTAAGTAATGTTTTGTAGAGGGGTCAAATACTTATTTCCCTCATTAAAATGCAAATCAATTTATAACATTTTTGACATGCGTTTTTCTGGATTTTGTTGTTGTTATTCTGTCTCTCACTGTTCAAATAAACCTACCATTAAAATTATAGACTGATCATTTCTTTGTCAGTGGGCAAACCTACAAAATTAGCAGGGGATCAAATACTTTTTTCCCTCACTGTACCACATGACAGAGCATTGCCATTGATTCATTCTGGAATTTTGTGTGTTTTGTATTAATATGCACATGTGGCTTTTGTGTTTTCTGCAGTTAAAGAAACAGTGTCCAAATATGACATTGAAAATTCCTGCGAAGAGGATTTTTGGCAATAATTTTGATCCAGGTACAGATTTTATATCTAATATGAAACCATATTTTCATTTATATATCAACCTATTAGATATTACTCTAAAATTAAGTGTTTCATTATCTTCCTGTTAAAACATTTGGTTATTTCCAGCACCGTATATTTGTAATGTATACTTTGACGTCATCGGACCTCCTTTGCCAGTACCAAAATATGAGAATAGGTTTTCCCCTTTTTTCTGGCAACAAAAACAGGTGTTAAGATGTTAAAACACCAAACTGAAACCTTTTACAAGGAATCATGTCTGCATTAACCACAATGCTTGTGGTCAGAATGCAAAAACAAAAATACTCTGACAATATATGCATTATCTTTGAAACTGATTGGTCGACACCAGAGACAGCTTTCTTTTGAGCCTAGTCTCAAAACGGTGTTAGACCAGAGGACGCCAAAAGGCGTACTTATACTTTGACGTGTTTATAATATGGGTTCCTGATCCTCACCGCATTGTGTGTGTGAAGACTGTGTAGGAATCTGGTCAGCTACAGTAGTGTCACGTACGGCAATGCAAAAACAAGTCTGCTTAGATTCCAAAAATATCTCACCTGGTGGACACACCTCTTGAAAACCGCGCTGACAAGAAATGAAAAACATATAAACTAATTTAAAGACACTGATTTCTTATGCGTGTGATTGTGCACTTGTATCGTGGCCTTCAAAGTTAATATTAATTATTGCATCCAATACATTATTACACCGGATTGGTAGCGTTCCTTTGAATTTCCATTGAAATTTTAAAACATTCGAAAAAGTGGATGAACAGATAAAAATATATATCTTCTTTTTTTTAAGACACATTTTTTCATGCTTTTCATAAGAATGTTGGATTTTTTTCTAATGTAAGTATGTCGGCATGTAAAGATTCCCCTTTTCCCCCCAATGATGGAATGATTTGTCACGGTTAGGGTTTATAATTTGATTGGAGAATATGTATATTTTTTTACAATGTGGTGCATGGAATATCACTCGTGGCTGTAAGTGTCACATGAACCCATTAAATAAAATATAGAAGTAATAGCGTTTTTTTTGGGTTAGATCGCGTAAATACAAATGCACCGTAAACCTACCTCCACAGACACAGCCAATTGATAAGGTTTGTCACGTGGAAAAAAGTGCCAATTAGTTACTTCAGCACACCAGTGCTTGTATACTTTTAATTGTATTTATTTTTAGTGGCCTGCTTACCTATTCTCTGCACTCCTATCGTTTTTTATTGTTGGTTAAACTTGCTGACCCACCTCGACTGGACATCTGTGAAAACGACTTTTCATGGTTCATCCAATTCCTCCAGTATATAAATCAATATTCTGATGCTGAAACTTGCAACATTTACAATTTTGAGTACGACTTTCCGCTGGTAATTACAACCAGCTTCCATCAGGCGACTGCCAGAATTGTGAATAAGTCTCCCTGTTTCCGGTCTTAAAATACAGTAGTGTGATATCATCAATTGTGCACCTCCAAGTGCGAAGATCCCAGGAGGGTTAATGTATTCGCATACATGAAAATGGATTACGTTAATCTGAAAATATGCAGGACATACTATGTGTTGGGTTGCAGTTGGGTTTACAAAACATTTATATTTACGTGATCTAACCCAAAACACTTTAATACGAATAATGTTGGTCACGAAAGCCTATGTGTTAAATATATACAAGTAAAAATCAATTAGTATCATTAGCGATACAGATCGATTTTTTTTTCCATGAATCCAGATACGTCGCTGAGGTTTTTTCATTTCCCCAGTTTCATGCCTCGATATGAGCTGCGAGGGAGGGCACAATATCAATAATAAATTATGATGATGAAAGTGTTTAACCATCATACATTTGTATAATACAGACTTCATCAAGCAGCGTCGAGAGGGGCTCGAAGAATTCATTCAGAAGTTAATGAGCACTCCAGAGCTTTGCCAGACGTAAGTGCTCTCCTCATAGCTTTTAATATTAGCAACAGTACTATGGACAAATGCATATGATGTAAAGAACCACCTTTTGCAGCAGACTGCTCCAATAACTAATTGAACTCTATAATTCTGCTGTGCTTGGTTTGTTCCTGTGCATGGCTATAGCAGTGCAGAGTGGCTATAAAAGTAAAAAAAATAACTTGTGTTTTTCTTTGCATTGTAGCACAGATGTCCAAGACTTCCTTAAAATGGACAACCCCCGAAATAAGCCAGACTTTCACGACGTTGGCATTCACAGTGACATGGTGAGAAAAATAATTTGTTGGAAGTTAAATTTTACTAGCATAGAGTCCTCTTAATTACACTTAACTATGAGATATTGTGGCACTTGGTCTGGTGTTGTTTGGTCCTTTTTAAATCTTTCATCACACAGTGACATTTTATGATTCTAAATTGGTCAACATTAATTGATTAGTTTGAGACCTAAATCAATACCTGTTGAGAACATCTTTGTGCTGACGATAATTGCAGAATAGTGCTTACAATCCGTCCAAACCTTCCTGTAGACATGGAACATAAATGAATTTTCCACAAAATGGTAATGCCTAGTGTATGAGAACACGGTTTGAAGCTTGTGTGTGCTCTTGGTTACTTTACAGAACAATGGCTCTGAAGAAATCAACCTCGGCCCTTCTGGAGACCCGCTGTATGTATTGTGCTTTAATATCAGGGGTGGAGCCAGGATTTCAGGCCAGGGTGACATTCAACAAATTTTAATTTCAAGAATGATTAGAGAGTCAGGCTGTTGAACTAGACGCCATCGGTTGGCGACACACTCTGACAATGCAGTTGCACGGAGTCCGCCAGACCGAGTGTCGTACACTTATACGCAGAATGTCACCCCTGTCACCCCCCTGGCTCCGTCCCTGTTTAATATGATGATTTTTTTTTGTGAAATTTTTATGGAAAATTTTAAAGGTTAGTTAACATCAAACTTGTAATTGGTAAAATTGCCTGACCGTGTCCTTTCTGTGTTATAGGGCCAAACCTTCGGACTTTAATTTCCTGAATGTCCTTGGCAAAGGGAGCTTTGGCAAGGTAGGTCCTGTGCACGATTGCATTTCCACATCTTTTATTGGAATGCAAGACGACGAAACAATACAGTTAATATCATACAAAACACTCAGCATTCTGTCAATGTCACACATTTGTCAATACATCTCTTTAATAGGTTTTATGCCTTTGCGATGATAATTTGATGACCCTCTGCGTCCATTCACATGCATTGTATCTTGGAGGCGCCAGCTGACTGAAGCCTTCAGCATTGTAACGCGAGTAAACCGCTTTTCTTTCCTGCTTAGGTGCTGCTTGCAAGGCACAAAGTCGATGAGAAATTCTACGCTGTCAAAGTGCTACAGAAGTCTGTTATATTACAAAAGAACGAGGTACACGGTGAACGTAAAAAAATCCAACGTAATTTTTGTTGTTGTTATAATGCTAATATAACCACGACACTTCTCTCTTTGTGAAAAAAAATACCCGAGGACTTCTCTGTATCATTTGAGGGGCGCTCTTGGTGGTGGTTCCTGTTATTTGGGTTGATCCGCATATTTCACTTTCATCTCGTACTGGGATGATTAGTCGATTAATAAAAAAATTGTAATCTACTTTTTTGTGTTTTTATTGCGTGGGCCGCTTAAAAATGGTTGGCCGCGCCCACATCCTGCCTCCTTGAAGGCAGGACATCCCCCCCCTAAAAGCAACACCTAGGATGATATGGCTGATGATGCCACCAAGGGCCTGCCCATCACCTCCCATCCAGCATCACATGGGACATACAGTAAAACCTTGGATTGCGAGCATAATTCATTCCGGAAACGTGTTTGTAATCCAAAGCACTCGTATATCAAAGCACTCGTATATCAGTTGTGATCACGTGACGCTCGGCAGACAAAGCGTACACGTACTACTCGTATTGCAAGACCTCGCTCGTTTATCAAATTAATATTTATTTAAAATGTTTGCTCGACTTGCAAAACACTCGCAGACCAAGTTACTCGCAATCCAAGGTTCTACTGTATATACAACAATTTATCAAGCAATCAAAGGTATAGTTGGTTGAATAATCTATTATTTAAATAATTGGATAGCCCGGCTCTGCTCTCATCTACGTAAATAAACAAGGGTGAATGCACACAGTAGGATGATTTTGCCCAAATCTCTGCCTGCGCCTCTTGTTGACAGGTAAGCATGGATAATTCAGAGATCTGGAGCAATTTGGGGTGATGCGGGGTGTAATATTAATGACGTAACGTGACGGCAGACGAGAGGCGTTTCACTGTTTTGGTTTTCCACAGCAAAGGCACGTGATGGCTGAGAGGAACGTACTCCTGAAGAACTGCAACCACCCTTTTCTGGTGGCGCTCCACTACTCCTTCCAGACGAATGACAAGCTCTACTTCGTGCTGGACTATGTGAACGGCGGGGAGGTATGCTGCTCCGCGCCTTACGTACGGTTGTCAAGATCAAGGTGCAGCCCTGCAATTGCTTGCTCACTCACACCTCTATCGGTGGAAGGGCTTCCGCTAGATGGAGTTGTACACAGCCCCTCCAGAGCAACCGAAATAACAAGAGCCATTTTTTGTTAATTTTGGTACAAAATGCAGCATTTCAAGAACCGTGATGCATGGGAATACATGCATCGCGTCACGAGGCAGTCCGTAAAGAGCTGCATGCGTCTCAGGAGCTATAGTTTGCCGATCCCTGCTCTAGAGGGTATTTTGACCTTCGTTTCCACACTGTCCAAATGTCTTGGAAGAGGTACTTGGAGTATACCATACCGTAAGTGACCTACCATCTTATACTGTTGGGTGGACGTAAGTGTATGGGGGCGTGATTTAAGAAACCTGCCCATTGTTCAGAATCTGCATATTTATTTATACTGGAGAAATCCGAAGAGTTTTAAAGCTCTTTTTGAAATATGTCCTGGAAGGGTGGGAGATGTCCAGTAGGGCAAGAAGAACAAATTAAACCGGCAACCTCTGGATTGCAAGTCCAATGTGCTAACGTATGTAGAACTTCTTTCGCACCATACGTAGCCAACCGTGCTCATCAAGGTGCAGCCCTTGTGTAAGATACATAATAAAATCCATCAGCGGGGAAACGTGCTTCCTTTTGTGGTCCCTTCTGGCTCTTGCTGAGGTGTTGCGTCTAAGCACCTTCCGCACAGACGTGCTCCTCACTCAGCCCTGGGGAGCCCACACCTCCAACAGGGTGGGGTGTGGAGGAAGGTGATGAATCTGACACCTCTGCCAAAAACACGTAGGGAGATCTTTGGCCAAGCTCAGAGGTGGTTTTTGAAAATACCTGTGGGAAAAAAATTAAACACTTGCGCATTAATGCTCACACCTGTGCATGAAGTAGCAGTGCTTTGTGAGTGCTGAATAACATCACATTGGATTCATGAAATTATTTTTTTTGTATGGGTTAATGAAAGGCATTTAGCGCGTGTAAAATTCTTGTTTTAGCTGCCTGAAAGCACCTACTGTGTTTGATGAAATGGTCACACCAGGAAAAATTGAGGAATATCGCAGTATTATATTTTTCGAATGCCTTTATATTTCTCACAAAGTATATAATATTGAGATAATTTTTATTACGTACATATTTATAGTACATACACTGTTAGCGAGTAATCGGTGTACATCTTGACATTTTAAATAGGTGCGTGTTTATAACAAGTATTGCAAAGCATTCCAGAATGGTTTCATTGGAAAGAATGTCATCATCATTGTTGAATACACTTCATTGACAACTACCGTTTTAATATTTCATCATTAATCGGTTTTACTTTAATAAGAAAATGTTTAATCCACTGTGGATTTTAGCCCTTGATGGTTAGAAAATTGCTTGTAAATGAGGATACATGTAAATTTGACGAACATTTTTCATTTTCCAATGTGCAACATAAAATGTCACGCACGGTACAGGTGTGCTAACCTACTGCAATACATTCCAATTTGGATTTATATGGAATGCAAATGCGACCGAATCTCGCAACGCCGAAATCGCTTTTGCAATTTGATAAAAATTCTGACCTCGCTGTGTTTTGCGAGCAGCTCTTTTTCCACCTGCAACGGGAGCGCACGTTCCCCGAACATCGTGCTCGCTTCTACGCAGCCGAGATCGCCAGCGCCATCGGTTACCTGCATTGCCTCAACATCATCTACAGGCAACGCTCGCTGCACACTCTGCCCTCCGAAACATCGCACTCTAGTACAGGGGATCGGCAACCCGCCACACCGGAGCTGCACACGGCTCTTTAAGGACCGCTGCGCGACGTTATTTATCAGGGACCACCGTCTCGTATTCGCATGCCATGGCGCCGCGGTGGCGTGGTGTTATCAACCTCGCCTGGTATGCAGGAGATCGTGGGTTCGATCCCGACCCTGGCGCCTGTATATGTGGAGTTTGCATCTTCTCCCCGTGGTCGCGTGGATTTTTCTCCGGGTCCTCCGGTTTTTCCCTCCAATTTAGAAGCATGCGTTTAGAGTATTTGGCTGCTATAAATTTCCACGTGATAAGCCACTTTGTGGAGCTATCATTTGCGGCCAGGTCGCTTCTGAAAAAGAGATGTATAGCGCAGTGGGCCTTACCTGGTGAAATAAAGAGTTAAAGTTTTATAGTTTTTCATTGCGGCTCTTGACATATCGATTTTTTTGCACAATAACAAAAAATGCCTTATTTTAGTTGCCGACCCCTGCTCTAGTGTTTTATTTATTATTGAGTGCTGTGATTTGAATCCGTGTATGTACAGTGAGGGAAAACAGTATTTGATCCCCTGCTGATTTTGTACGTTTGCCCACTGACAAAGAAATGATCAGTCTATAAGTTTAATGGTAGGTTTATTTGAACAGTGAGAGACAGAATAACAACACAAAAATCCAGAAAAACGCATGTCAAATTTTTTTATAAATTGATTGGCATTTTAATGAGGGAAATAAGTATTTGACCCCCTCTCAATCAGAAAGATTTTTGGCTCCCAGGTATCTTTTATACAGGTAACGAGCTGAGATTAGGAGCACACTCTTAAAGGGAGTGCTCCTAATCTCAGCTTGTTACCTGTATAAATGGCACCTGTCCACAGAAGCAATCAATCAGATTCCAAACTCTCCACTATGGCCAAGACCAAAGAGCTCTCCAAGGATGTCAGGGACAAGATTGTAGACCAAGGCTGGCATGGGCTACAAGACCATTGCGAAGCAGCTTGGTGAGAAGGTGACAACAGTTGGTGCGATTATTCGCAAATGGAAGAAACACAAAAGAACTGTCAATCTCCCTCGGCCTGGGGCTCCATGCAAGATCTCACCTCGTGGAGTTGCAATGGTCATGAGAACGGTGAGGAATCATCCCAGAACTACACGGGAGGATCTTGTCAATGATCTCAAGGCAGTTGGGACCATAGTCACCAAGAAAACAATTGGTAACACACGACGCCGTGAAGGACTGAAATCCTGCAGCGCCCGCAAGGTCCCCCTGCTCAAGAAAGCACATATACATGCCCGTCTGAAGTTTACCAATGAACATCTGAATGATTCGGAGGACAACTGGGTGAAAGTGTTGTGGTCAGATGAGACCAAAATGGAGCTCTTTGGCATCAACTCAACTTGCCATGTTTGGAGGAGGAGGAATGCTGCCAATGACCCCAAGAACACCATCCCCACCGTCAAACATGGAGGTGGAAACATTATGCTTTGGGGGTGTTTTTCTGCTAAGGGGACAGGACAACTTCACCGCATCAAAGGGACGATGGACGGGGCCATGTACCATCAAATCTTGGGTGAGAACCTCCTTCCCTCAGCCAGGGCATTGAAAATGGGTCGTGGATGGGTATTCCAGCATGACAATGACCCAAAACACACGGCCAAAGCAACAAAGGAGTGGCTCAAGAAGAAGCACATTAAGGTCCTGGAGTGGCCTAGTCAGTCTCCAGACCTTAATCCCATAGAAAATCTGTGGAGGGCGCTAAAGGTTCGAGTTGCCAAACGTCAGCCTCGAAACCTTAATGACTTGGAGAAGATCTGCAAAGAGGAGTGGGAAAAAATCCCTCCTGAGATGTGTGCAAACCTGGTGGCCAACTCCAAGAAACGTCTGACCTCTGTGATTGCCAACAAGGGTTTTGCCACCAAGTACTAAGTCATGTTTTGCAGAGGGGTCAAATACTTATTTCCCTCATTAAAATGCAAATTAATTAATAACATTTTTGATATGCGTTTTTCTGGATTTTTTTGTTGTTATTCTATCTCTCACTGTTCAAATAAACCTACCATTAAAATTATAGACTGATCATTTCTTTGTCACTGGGCAAACGTACAAAATCAGCAGGGGATCAAATACTTTTTTCCCTCACTGTATGTTGTACGTCTTTCGCGCAGTATGTAGCCAACCATGGCAATCGGAGGTGCGGAGGAAGGACAACAAACTAAACACAAAAATCAGTTCTAAATAAATTAGTTTTCAATTTCGATTTAAAAGCGCATAGCTCCAGTGTTGTCCTAATAGGCATCCATGCCCTTCTCAGATTCCTGTCGACTTGATGGCTGCAGAGAAGCCGAATAAAGTCTCTCCACCGTTTTCAGTCGAGTACTGGTTTGAAACAAGACACTAATGTGTGTTAAAAGCATATGCAAACAAACCATCAGCATTTCCTGAATAAGTGCATTGTGGTCCTCTTGGCTCACCACCCAGAAGAAATGTAACAAATGTGATCGACTGACATCCACAGTGATGCAGTGATAGACAATTGTGCACCTGTTTTGTCCTACTTAAGGTTCATAAGCACAGTATATATTCAGTTATTATGTGTTTTCCTCGTCATTTGATACTAGTACGAGCTTCATGGCTTTGTTCAATCTTGATATATTATTGTTGTATGTTAATTGAATTGTGTCTATCCAACATATCCTCGATCCTTCATTTATCGTTCCCTACACTTGGGTGTCTATTGCCACGGGGCATCCTTTCTTGGGTGTCTATTGCCACAGGGCACCCTTTCTTGGGTGTCTATTGCCACGGGGAATCCTCCCTTGGCGTATATGTCCACCGAATAACGTGCACACATCCTAATTTTCTCATACGCTAGAATTCTTACTCCCATCGTCTATTTGAAGTTGAGCTGTTTGTAAAATAATTTTGTTGAAGAGAAGCCCTCGAGCAAATGACCTGAATAGCCAATTACAGTACTTTAAAGTTAGTGGTCAGCGGTCTGACACAGCCAGTTTTGATCCAGGTTACGGATGCAACTTTTAATGAGAGGTCTGAAATACTCGCTTTATAATAATGGTGCCATTTGTTACCTTTGTCACGTGCGCCTTTTTAATGTTAGTGTGTGCAAAGGTGCTACTGTTGAGCTTTCTTAGCCTCGGGAATGTCTGATGTGTAATCAGAATCGCTATTTAGACTGCAGCAGGAGGCATCTGATGAGCTATGAAGCTCTTTCACAGATGTCTAGTATGGGCGGTTCAGCAAGTTATAACAGCAAACAATACGAAATAGGATAGGAGTGCATAATAGGCAAATGGTAAGGAAGTCACTAAATAGAAATGAATTAATTAAATAAAGCCAATTTATCAAGATTGGGCAAGGCAGCAAAAACAACAATCCCAGACCACACCAAGATAACAGACAGGAGTGGTCCCTCAATAAAATTTCACATTAACATTGAGCTATCATACACAGAAAATTATCAAAGTTACAAATCATCAGAATCCCCATGCAGATTATTTTTCAATTATACATCTCGTTCTTCCCGTTGGACATGCGTACCTATGAACGTCAAGTTAAAGGATTCACTGTAGTTGTGCACGCGTGTGAAATTGCATTGCCCTCGGAAACGTTTTAAATTATTATTTATTCAGGCTATTTATTTATTCTGTATTCCAGGGACCTGAAACCTGAAAACATTCTGCTAGATTCTGAGGTAAGTTGGTCAACATGATCAAATTCATATGAAATAACATGCTGCAATACAGGCGGTTCAGAGTTTGCTTGGTTTAACAAAATGTTGCGAGATAATTATTGGTATAGAAAACCAATAGGCTGATGGACTGTTGTATTTATTATACTCTATGCGGAGATATTGATTGCATTACTGCTTGTATATACGGGAGTATACAATCTCCGCTGTATTTTAGAGGGCCGTCAAATTTTACAGTTGATTCCAGTTTGATAAAATAACCTATGTTTTTGATTCCGTAGCTTGTTTAAATTAAGTAGGTATTTGTAAATTCGGAAGTAGTGAAACCCTTCTTTCTAAGTTTGTTTTTAGGTTCGTAAACGTTAACTATGGACGATAAAACGTTTTGCGTAAATATTTATTAAAACTGCAGGCTAGGAACCATTTATTTAATTAATTCACCTCATACCAAGGTACTTGGCTGCAGTGCATTGATTGGGTGATTAACCTATTTTTTTTAAATAACCACAAAATTAACTAGGTCGACATTTGTAATCCCATTCTCAAAGCATGTTGGCCACATACAGAGAGAAATTACCATAAAAATTAATAACTTTGAATAAAGCCTGCTATGATTCCCATGATTTGTACTAGGCCTTTGTGTTATAAACCTCACCTGGTATACAGGTGGTCGTGGGTTCGATCCTGACCCTCTTGCCTGTGCATTTCGAGTTTGCATGTTCTCCCTGTGAGCTATAATTTGTGGCCAGGTCGCTTCTGAATAAGAGCTATGAAGCTCAGTGGGCCTTACCTGGTAAAATAAAAGGTAGTTAAAAACATTGTTTGGAAGTTATTTATGTACTTTCCATTTCACATACTCCCCAGGGGCACATCAAACTAACAGACTTTGGGCTTTGCAAAGAAGGCATGGAGTCAACGGAGACCACGACCACATTCTGCGGCACTCCGGAGGTAACCGCCTGGTTCATTTAGACGAGCACGGATGTCATGATTACCATTTGCAATTTATTAGGCACGCAATGTTTAGTTTTAATCAATACCAAACACAGTGGTCACTAACACTTCCCGCGAAGGAGGATAAAATGTATAAGGGGTGACGTTTCCGGCGTAGCTTGACCATCGATGCTTTGAAGAAGAGCCACTACCAGAGCTTTTGTTATTTGTGCCTGTGCAGGACTGGCAACTCAATATCAACAGTTTTTTTTTTGTGCTACGTCAAAGATACTGCCTTGGGTGTAATGGTTAGCACACTGGACTTGCAATCCAGAGTTCGCCAGTTGAAATTGATCTTCCAGCGCTGCTGCAGCAAAAACAATGGACAGGTTTCTTAACCCCCTCCCCCCCACCTTTGTCCACCCCACAGAAGTGAATGGGAAGGTGACGTGTAGTGGGATACAGTGTGGGCACGCCCACCTCGTTCAACGTTCAAGTCGTCTGGAAACATACCCTATGTCTAGAACACGAGAGCTCCCAACTTGGGCTCTGTAGAGCTCCCTTTAGTGGAAGACCCTTCTGCTGGCAGTGGCATGAGCAAGTAATTGCAGGGATGCACTTTTTTTAGCCTTAAGTAAGCAATAGACTCCAATGCAAGGCCGCAATTATAATATATATTTATTGGGGGGGGGGGGGGGGAATATATCCCCCCCCCCCAATATTCAAATATGCTCAAAATGTCCCCCCCCCAATATATTGCTAGAAAAATATTTTTAAAAAAATAATTATTGCGATGTTATGTAAATAAAAATAACAATTTTCTAAACCTTGGCCACAATATCTGGACTTGTCTTCATATAACAATGCATAGATTTCTGTTTATATGATTGTGGTTATGGTTGTACTTTATGAATCCCTAATCTCTGCCATTATACACAATGAAACAATAAAAAGTAAAAAACACAGCAATGTAATAAAATACACTTAGACATTATTGTAAAAAATAAATAAGTCCATCCCACGCGTTAGTGATTTTTTTATATTTTAGGCAGGAAATTAGTTTTCAAATTTAGATTTTTTTCTGGGGGGGGACCCCAGACCCCCTGGAAGATTTGGTCCCCCCCAATGTTGACTCCATGGCTTATGGCCTTGCTCCAATGTATTGACTCGTTCTCTCGCCTGCAGTATCTGGCCCCAGAAATACTGCGCAAGGAGCCGTACGACAGAACCGTTGACTGGTGGTGCCTAGGGTCCGTCCTCTATGAGATGCTGTTTGGCTTGGTAAGTCCTTGACGGTTGCTTTGTAAATGTTTAATGCGTTAATGCCTCAACCAAGTGGGGAAAAAAATGCATAGTAATTTTAATTACATTCTGTGAATTATACCCCTTGATATGAGAGTTCTTAGATATGATGTAAAAATATATGGACAAGCAGATGTTATCCTGAGGTACTATTTTATTGGTGTAATAACAAACTTAATTCATTGTTCGTGGGTGTGGCCAACGGAACTCAATCATGCATGTGCTTGTGTACGCGTCGATAAGTATATGCATGGTTATGCGTGAATACGTGGATGCTTGTGCCCTTGTGTGAAGTATGATTTTGACCCATGGCATTCATTTTCTTGTGAGCAATATCTATCAATTGATTTCTTAACTAGTCCTGGGTTTCCCCTCGGTCGACTCGGCATTAAATGTGTACCTGATGCGGTGTGTAAACATCAGTTCTAGGGAGACATCGGTGGCCAGGCATGATGCTGGCCACACTATACCACCTTGTACACTGCCTACTTTAATACGTGCTCATTAACAGCACTTGTCCCGACAGTCTTGTTACGTGGGTGGTCTTTGTATTTGCGCTCGTGTGCATTTTGGTGTAGACCTAGTGCTGACGGCTGTCCGTCAGCTTCAGTAATGCTGATAAATACATACGAGGACAAACGCATGTTGGGAAGCAAGCGTTACGTGATCGACGCCACATGCATTACGTTTCTTGCACTGGCCCGATTCTCGCAGCCTCCGTTTTACTGCCGCGACGTGCCAACGATGTATGACGATATCCTGCACAAGCCACTGCTGCTGAGGCACGGCAGCCCCGCCGCGCACAACATCCTGGAGGGGCTGCTCCAGAAGGAAAAGCGTTACCGCCTGGGCTCACACAATGACTTTGTACGTTGTGCGCCACGTGCACTACACCTGCAAATCAACTGTAATAATTTGTACGTTTGGTAAACCGTGGTGTTTGGCTGTCACAACGGGAGCTGTGTTTCACGGTCGAGCATAATCTGCATCAGTTGCATAGTTACGGGCAATGTTTGCTATGTGGTTTTACCCAATTGGGTGTTTTGCAAGTTCTTTTTTTCAAATTTCGACTTACGGCGACACGCACGGCCTACTGTTTATATTTTAACGTCACGGAATCTTTGGCGTCCACTGTCAATTCACCTCCAGTGATTAACCAGGGTGGTCATGGGGCTTGAACGCCCTACCGCTCCATGTCACTGCCCCAATGTTGTGCAGTTTTTCAACATAACGGTTGTTCGATTACGGAATGGATTATCAAAGTTATGGAATTGGTAATCGTAAAGAGTGTCATTTTACTAAGGATTGAACCAAGTGCCCTGCGAAGCCATCCAAATCGCACGGCACATCCCACTGCAATTGGTCGCGTGAAAAGCGATTACTTACAAAATATTTTTTAAAACGCTTGCAGCACTTTGTCATTCCACCACTGAATGAAGGCTACCACCGTAGCATGTTGGTCATAGTCCTTGATTGCCTATACTGGTCAGTGTTGGTTAAGGTTGGTCAACCATAAAAAAAAACTTTTTACATGTGATTATTGAAATGCTAAAACTTGTAAACAAAATTAACTAGCCTTGTTCAAGAGGATTCGTTAATTGCCCTTTTTATTAAGTAAAGCAGAACGCAACTGTGCATGTTTTAAAGCTGTCCCGCGTACCGGGTAATGGCCATTAAAGCCGGTGCAATTGGTTTCCGGTCATGTTTTATTAATGTCGAGTATTCAGTCAGGGTGTGTGCGCTAGGGATACCATTCCTCCATTTGTGCTTTATTTACAGGAACATAGCATCACATTTACTGTAAAACACTTAACATGTTCATTGGTGTTTACTGTTGGTTTTTTCCTTGCAGAAGGATATTAAGGAGCACGTTTTTTTCATCTCCATCGACTGGCTGAAACTGGATGCGAAAAAAGTGGTGCCACCCTTCAACCCAAAAGTGGTAAATTTGTCCTCACTCCTAATTGAAAGAGTGCGCAAATAATTTGCATGTCATTGGTAATTAAAACACACACTAGCACATATGGCTTCCTTCTGGCATCCATTGTACAGTAATAAGTTAAGACTCAATATAATTCTACTTGTGTTAACAAAAAAATCATACTGTGATGTGGACCCTGTTTGCTGTTTTGAAAAGGATGGGCCCGATGACCTGCGTCACTTTGACCCGGAGTTCACGGAGGAGTGCGTCACGGCTTCCATCAGCCAGCCCGTGCGCGTGAGCGTCAATGTGATCGAGGCAGACGATGCCTTCCTGGGCTTCTCATACGTGCCACCCTCTAACTCCTTCCTGTAGCCCCCGCCTCCCCCCCATCCGCCCCCTTGCGCATATCCAAGATCTGATCCGGCCCCTGGAACATGGACGCTGTTTCAATAGCGATGTTACAAAAAGGCTGCCACATAATCCCTGTTTACGTGTCAGTATTTTTTTTATTACACCAAAATCTCACTGCACTGAGGAAGATGAAACCATGACACGCACCCTTGTATTTTTTGTTTATATCTCAAATGTTGTGTTGATAAAGGCAAAGGGAGGTTAAGACTGCCAATTAAGGGAACTTCCCAAATGAATGCTCATTGTGATATGCCCCTCTATCATCACGGCCCTGCACTGGGTTATTAAAGTGCTTCTAAGGCTCGTAAAAAAAAATCATGGGCAGATGCATAGGATGTGCGTGCTTAGCGAGTGGGATTTTCAGCTTGAGCGTGTCTGACTGCGGGGTTCAGATGTAACCTGCACCTGTCGTCTAAATGCACAATGTGAGGGGGAACGGTCGAGTGTTCACTCAGAAGTCCTGTGCGGCGTTGGCGTTTTTTGCAAAGCAGTGCTTTGTCAAAGTTTATTAATGATCACATGTTTCAACTATTTTGGTTGGTAATGTGTAGATTGTTGAACAACTTTCATGTGTGGGTCATGCAGATAATGCTATATAAGCCTTTTTGGGGTCCTCTGGTTGAGCACCAATTGGGTCGAGGCTCAAAAGAAGGCTGTCCCTTGGTGTGCACCTATCCGTTTCAAGGACAATGAATATATTATAGTATGTTTTTTGTTTGCATTTTGACTACAAGTATTGTGGTTAATGCAGACATGAATCCTTGTAAAAAGTTTTGTTGCCAGAAAAAAGGGGAAAAACCCTATTATTACAAGTTGTATTTGATTCGCTTTGCAAACTTATTCCAAATATACTGTATTAACGTTAAAGTTTCATGTGATGTTACCATGTAAGATATTTGAAAGGTTTACCAGCAGTTTAAGCATTTTCAGTTTTTGACGATTGGAATGTAATATATTTCTCCTTTTCGAGGGTTTGATTTTTTTTGTAAAGCATTATATAGTGCAGCCTACACAAATAAGGTAAGACTCAATCTATTCCATTGTAGAATTTCTTACATTCTGTACCACAATTGGCATACAATTTTAAAAATATTACGCATTTATATTGAATGTAAATAAAACAGTAAAGTTACTTTTTTTAATAAATGTAGGGTACGTTCAATATTGTTTTATTGGTTGACGATCTTATAATATTCCTGCTATGCTTCATGGTTTTTTTCCTTCAAAATATTCTGATTTATAGTGGCCAAAATGTTTTGATTAATTTCACTTTTCCAATTAACAGGGAGAGATTATTGATATTTTCTTGGTCTTAGTTTGTCGTATCGTACTAATGTATATTTAATGCTGAAGCTCATTATGCCGAGAATTATGATTGAATCCCAAACGTTGGAGCGAATATCTGACAATCACTGTATCATAAATGCATGATAATTTTAGGCTTTGAAAAGGGTGATTTGTGGAATTACAGTAAAAAAAAATTGTATCCATTTATGTATACTATGTGATGATTTTAAATTCTGTATGGTTCTTTTGACGGGAAGAGTTTTGTTATTTTTTCACATTTAGATGGTTTAAACAAAATACTGTTTAAAATGGGAACGGAATACTGTACGGTTCTACAAGTGGAAAAATATTACGCATTAATGTGCCTTTCACACATTTCAAGCTGGCAAAGCCCCATTATTTGGGGAAACAGCAGTTTTTTTCTGAATGTTTACTAAAAACAAGCATTTAATAAACTCAAAGAATCAGCTCTAGTTCAATATCATTTTTGCTGTATAAGTTACACAAATGTGGCAAAATTGGCCGTGTGCGCATTGTGATCTTGAATTCTTTGAATTCACACATTCGGTGCCTTACTCACCCTCTATACCCTGTTCATGGCAAGCTATAGTCATGATAAAATAGCTGTTAAAAAAATCCTTTCAACTACGAGTGAACCATATTCTTGAGTTACTACAAAATACCTGTAGTATTGATATGCTTGATTCATTTACAGACTTTCATGAATCTGCTGAATGAAGGCCTCACTCGTCATTGGTCATGAGAGTTATTTGACCGTACCTCATTACGCTGGTCAGTGTGGTTTGGTCGCTAATGTTGACAGTGGCCAGGAATAGTACTGAGGTCACCAGGTAGCAAGCTAAGTGTTAACCATCTGATGAATCCTTGCAGTCACGAAAGCTTTAAATCGAAATTTAAGTGTTAACCACTTGGCTACTGTATTTCCCCAGCAGAATTCGGTTTTATAAATCCACCCCTCCTGTGCCATGCATGCCATACAGACTATCCCACGTTTCTGATGATTAACAAAAGGTGGCGTGACATCGCAGTGAAATGTTTCGTGTGAATCTCTGCATGGAGATTGTGTGAGAAGTGGTTTGTGCTGTCGTTCGATGATTCCACTGTGCACGTGACGCTGCCCAAACCCACCCTGACGAGGTGGCGTGCCATCAAAGTGGATGGTTGTATAAAACCCCTTAAGCGCTTTGTTTTTTTACTTTTCAAATTACAAACTAATCGAAAAAGCCAACTTAATGTGTTTTATGCCACCGCGCCTATGTGTTCTGAACAGAATGTGGGTGGATCCTTTTTGTAAGTATCACAGCTGTTTTCTGTGTCCATTGTTGTGTTCGTTTCTGCAAAGTGTTGGAACTGATTTGTTCATCCCTATTCTGGCCATGAATAAGGGTTCATTATAACCGAGTGTTTCTTTGTACAAGTTGTTGTTTTTCTCCAAACAGAAGAAAGTCATGTTGTACACAAATCTCTGATACTCAAACTGCTTATGTTTACCGGTGTGTGCAAAGATGACATTTTCTAACAAGCTTGTTAGTAAATGCTAGCAGGCCTAGCATAGTGCTTGTGCCATTTTGTTTTAAAACAAAGCTGTACCAAGGGAACATGCAACAGTTGTTTACAAGTACATTATTTCTGATTTAAGTGGGTTTTATAAAACCAATCTGGCATGCAGTAGTGAGGAACCATTATCAGATATTCTCTTTCAGAAGATTTAGATGAAAACCCATCTGATTAGAAACACGTTATAATAATCAAGAGATTGATTTGCTACAGCACCTTCCCTTAAGCAATGATTGTGTATTGAGGGTTTCTCTGATGGTAGGGTCATTTGTTTGGTAACCGTTTTCAAAGCGTCTTCATCAAAACAGGCTTAACATTTTCAATTAACCTGCTGCTGCATGTGTTTTTTTGTGGAGTGTTTTTTTAATGCATGTCCACTATCCGGTATTTAGAGATAGTGACGTTTATAAACTTTATAATTCCCCATTGAATTTATTACATTTTGTAAGCAATTTGAGCATTGGCTGAGTGTGCATCAATGTAGTACATAATTGGTGCACACAAAACGGCAAAGTGAACCAGTGGCACACAGCAGGTTTCCAGAAAGGCCGAGGTTGATTTCTCCAGAGCTGTTATTTTTTAAAGCTTAATTTACAGTTTTTACATATCCAAGTTATTCCACTGATGGTTTTGTAATTAAATGTGACGAGTAAATGAAAAATTGCCATCTTGTGGACCTGACATTGATTCAGTGGTCCAGATGAGTGCACACCTCTCTGGTCGTCTGTCTCTTGATCAAAATGTCCTAAGTGATGCTTAAGAGTAAACTAATTACAACTTTGTTAAAAGTTCTCATTTGTAATCACCCACGTGGTTGTGAAACATAGTAAACACATCTCAACCGAAAAAGGCATTCATGAGAAAAAGTGACGCAGTTTAAAAAGAGAGATGTGATACACTATACTGGCCAGTTGTGTTGGCTGAACCTGATGTGAAAGCCATTCTCTGGCCGAGCCATCCCTTGCCAACATAGCTATAATGCATTTAGATGAGTGCTAGAAGGGGGTGGGGATTGCCAGCATCGTTGGCTTTAACTCCCAACAGATGAATGTGAAGCTGACTGTTAGGCTTTGCTGGGACCTCATCCAAATACTGTACATTTCCCCAAATATAAATGATTGTGCATGTTTTGTACAGTGTTAATCCATTTAAAATGTTAATTCAACCATGTAGGAAAGTGGGATTTAGGGATTTGTATTGAATCACTTCTGCGTTTCCACAGGGAATGTATGCACGTGCTTTCACTTTTACAGAGTTTTGTTTGCCCATATGTTAATGTTAAAAAGGCACGTATGGAATATTGCCTTACATTTGACCTGATGGGTTCTGCATTCAGATTAACGTACACAAATATGCACAAGACACCTTTGCATCCTCTCCTGTAATTATTTAGTACAGTTCTCTTTTACTTAAAAATCATAAATGCTGGTGTGGTGCATTGGTTACCACACTGGACTTGCAATCCAGAAGTCGGCAGTTCTATTTGATCTCTTCGTGCGCGGCTCCCAAAACAATCTGCAACTTTCTCAAATCTCACTGCCCTTGTCCACCCCGCAATATAAATAGGTACAACCACAGTTCAGTCTATTGGTAGCTCTCATGTGGTGGAGTAAGAATATTCCATGCCCTTCCAAAACGTCTGGCCAGTGTGGAAGAATAGGAAAAATATACCCCCTACAAGGGGCTCGATGGAGCTTCTAGTGAAGGCCTGCCTGCCTGCCATAAGTAACGTGAGCAAATAATTGCAGAACTGCATCTTTATATTTACCTAAAATTGTGGGTCGTTGAAATGCCTTTGGGAAAACAATTTCAAATACCAGTAGTACACTAGAACTGTTGTAATATCGTTTCTTTATGTTAAGGCTGCTTGTTTAAAATACTGCCATTTACTCAATACTGTAAGTTCCTGTATTACACGTATTATTTTGTAGAAAAAAACAGTTGCTTGGAACTGATTTACTAGTTGCATGTTCTGAGTCATCCATCTCACGTGATCACATCCTGTTCATGGCACCACATCCAGCCATGAAAATAGGATCTGGCATAGCTTGACCTTTGCGTTAGAAACTGTTGGACACTTTGATCCGTCACACTTTAAAAGGTGTGTGCGCGAGTGTTTACAGCAGTTTTGTCAAACATTGGATAAGCTCCCCCCCCCCCAACTTCGAAACGTGAGCGTTATCTGACCATGTTTCACCATGCAGGTCTAAATGCAGGAGGGGAGTCGAGGTGTTGGTGCAAGAGTACAAAGGATACTCTGGAACTGCCCCTTGTGGACACTGTAGCCAGATTATATACACAATTGTGTAATACTAACAAGGTATTTCAAAGTTGCCGATACATTTGTCATGAAGCCAGCTAGTACACCCACAAAGACATTTTATTGATAAAAAATACAATATTTGAACGATAATTCAGTCATTTCAAATTCTTACCGCACACAATTATTTTCTGAGAATGCCAGTGTTGGCTATATTATTTATAGGATTCAGTGTGCACTGTTACAGTGGTGTTCTTGCAGTCCATTGTATTGTGCATACGTGGTTGTGTGGTTATTGTTGCATCCTCATTCATTGTTTTGTCACCAGCAGATACTGATGGCTGATTATAAAGCTGGTTAGCCTTTGTATTTATCTTCCTTTCTTTTTTCTCTCCACACCTTTCAGGAATACAAAAAGATGATTCCTTTATTGGTTACATTTACACCAATGAGCTTTCAGTATAATTTTCCATCATTTGTATTTATAACGTCTTAAAGAATTTTAATACAGGTGAATAGAAATGTGAACAGACAGCAATTGCTGACAATATATTTTACAGTCGTGGTGTTCTAAAATTCACTCACCCCAAAATAGATTGTTTAGCTTCTCTTCCAGGATGTAAAATCCAATCACAATGATGAAGGAAGAAGAGAAAAATATGACCCTGGCTTCGAAGTTCATTTCAGTCAGCAATGGATATGCCCAGATGTCAGCATAATGTTTAACCCAGAGAATCCTGAAAATAAAGTACGCCAGGTTGTTGGGGACATATAAAATGAACATACAGAAGCATTAGCTATAGAGAGTTCATTACTTTATCCCTTGAGTCATTGTACATTTGTAGAAATCTCCCAAGCAAAGGTAAATGCAATAATACTCGGTTCATATCTGTCCAGTGCTGTGCAGCCAGGAAATGTCTACAGCCAGGATTGATTTCGCCAAGTCAAATCCAAACCCATTCGCTTCCCCTTCAATCGTTTTGGATTCGCCAGAAACCATTATTATGTACGTGTGATGGCCATCACATTTGTACATCTGATTATGCTCATCTGTGCATTCAAATGTGAGGTCGTTTGATGTTAGAACCGTCAATCAAATTTCATGGCAAATTTGTTTCATTTTGAACCCGTCAAACAAAAATACTCATCTAATGCAACTTGTGGCCATAAAATACGTTGCCCTTGGTTACCATGCTCTTTGTAGGTCTGCTTGGTAAGTGTAAAAATTGAAGTCAATCGTTTTAAAAATAATACATTTACTACCGAGTGGACTTACCATGACACATAGCTGATGCTGAAAGCTGCAAGAATTGCTATGCCTGCCTTCTTGGAAGGGTACACGTGTCGTGTTGCATACATCTCTGCCAGCGCTATTGGTACAATTGTGGTGTGCTGTAAAAAGAAAGGGACATTTTTATATTGCTGTTCATTGTGGACGGACACCTGTTCGAACATATTGCAATAAATGCAGGTACACTTACGTGTTTATAAATGCAATCTAAATGTAATAGATATTTCCTAGTATACTTCACTGTGGCAGATGATATGTAAAAAAAAACTGTTTTGCACAATGATAAACTGAAGTGTATTACGGAAACTACTAACTACAGTTAAAAACAAATGCCGACAAA